TTCCTAAATCTTTCCCAATTTTTTATTTTTTTTGTTTTTTTAAGATCTATATTCATTTGTTTTAATTGAATAATATATTCTAAAAATATTATCTTTTGTATTCCAAATTTATATTTCGATAATTTGAATCTTGAATTTATTCTTTTAAATACTTTGAGTATTTTCAATATATATTCTTTATATTCTTTCTCTTTTTGAAAGAAAACTAGAATATTATTTAAATAATAGATTATAAACAAATTGAACTTTTTGAATATCTTATTGTTTTGTTGTTGATATATAATTAGTATATTGATTAGTTCGAATAATATAATTATATATTTTTATAAATCCGATAATAAAATAAAGATTATTTTTTATTTGTAATCTTTTTTTATTTATATTAAATTGAAAATGTTTCTTTAATCTAATTTTGTATAGATTACAATTCTATTTAATTTATCCTTGAATTCCTAAGTTTTTGGTATTAAATACATATTTTTGATTGTTTCATTATTAATTTGATAATAATCTTTATAAAATCGATTATTTAAATTGCTTTTCTTAAATACTAATAATATATTGAATATATAAAGAAATTTAGATTTCCTAATTTATTCTTTTTTTTCAATCTTAATCTTGTATTCTTTCTACATTTATATAATACTAAAGTTATATAATCTCAACTTTTCAACAAAAGATATAAATCTCTTTTTGAAATTGATTTTATAATTCCAAGATTTATATTCTAATAAAACCCTTAAATCTTAAGGATTCTCGAAGAATTTAACAAATCTTTTATATTACACTAGAATTTCTTTTTTATCGATTCTATCGATTAATAAAGAATTCGTTATTATTATAATATAATATCTAATCTCCCAAGAAATCTATTTTTTTGAATTATATAATCATTTATTATTACAATTATAATAATCGAATATTAAAGTATTTTTTATTTAATTGATATTTGAATTGTATTTTTTAATCTATAAGATATCGAGAACAATTGTATATTTATTTAATAATATTAAATCTATCTTGATTTACTCAATATATTTATTTAATATAATCATTTTAACAATACTGGTTTTTTTATATACTCAATCATCAATTCTAGTTTTCTTTTTTTTTAATAATATCAATTGATAAAAATTCTATTTTAATTTTATAAGAATTTTATTTTCTTTTATAAAGTTAGAATTTATAAATATATTTATAATTCCAGAATCAATCAAAACATTGATTTGTTGATTCTTTAATTTGATTTCTATAATTAACTATCCGATTTTTATAATATTATTTAATTTTAATAATAATAATTCGATAATTTGTTTTTCAATAAAAAGATTCAATTATTTATATTGATATTTGTTTATATTCAATAATCGATAGAATATAATAAATAATAATCTTATTGATTTTATTTAGAAATTTTGATAATAGTTTTGATTTAATACTTTTTTATTATTCCTATTAATTCTTTATTAGATATAACAAATCCTAATTTATAATAGGATTTTTTATATATCTTTAATTTCCAAATTATATTTATTATATTTCTATACTTTATTAAAGAATAAAGAATTTATATCTATAATATACTTTTTAATATTATTTATTTCAATATTTTCCTTAAATACTATATAATAAATATCATTGTATATTATTATATAAAATATTAATAAAATAGAATAATTATAAATTTTGTATTTTTTAATAAAATCAAATTTCTTCTTTTTATAATAGTATTATATTTGTTTCTTATTTAGATAATTGATTAAATATTATAATTCATTTTCTTAAAGCAAATAATGAAATTTAATTGATTATTGATCTTTTTCGAATTCTTCAATTGATTCTTTATTTCTTAATTCGAGATTTTCTAAAATTCTTTTTATAATCAATACTATTCTCAATATTGATTCTAAGATTTTGATTATTAATATTCAATTCTTTTAATTGTTCGAGGTTAGATTGAAATAGATCTTTTTCTAATAATTCTATTTCCCTCAAATTTCCTTCTAAAATCTCTACTTTTCAAAAATTTTGTTTTTTGTTCCCAAATCTCATTTATTTCCTATTTTTTATAATAAATAATTTCTTCTTTTGAAAACAATTTTGAAATATATATTCACTTTTTCTACAAATAAAATATAAATTATTTTTTTTGTACTTTTTCTTTTCATTAATACTTAAATTATTTAATTTTATATAATATCATTTAATATTATTCAATTTTATTAAATTATTGATATTATAATATTTATTCTAACGATAAAGTTTTTAGAATTTTCTATTTTCTTGAATAATTCCTTTTTTTTTCATTTGTCATTTATAGAATCGATTATTAATAAAAATAAAAGTTTCGATTAATTTGAAAAGGTTAGATAATTTCGAAGTTCTTATTAATTCGTTTTTAATGATATCTTTCAATCCTTTATAAAATTATGATTTTAGATAATTATCATTCTAGATAATATATTCAATATATTATTGAAATTTAATAGTATAAATTATAATTGATTCAATTTGTTTGAATTGTTGTAATACTTTTTCAGTTATATAATTAAGATTTACTTTTTCAAATACTTTGTTAAATCCTTATTTGAATAATTTGTAATTAAGAAATAAACAATGAATCTTAGATTTTATATTTTCGTTTAATTGATTATTAATAATCTTGATTATTAAATTATTGAAAAATGATTCAATTCAATTGAATATAATTCCTTAGAAAAAGAAGATCAATTATAAAATCCTTTATATAAAAATCAAGAAAAATTATTTATTAAAAATATAATAAATATCAATTTGTATAACAAAAGCTCAATATTTATTATAATCTTTATAAAATAAATCAAAAATGAATATCTAAATCATTTATCTATATTTTATAATAATAATAATCTGAATAAAGGCCCTGATTAGATTGAATAAAAACAATTCGATAAATTATTAATTAGAAACTATTATATTATATATAGTTTAATTATAACAATACTCAAAATATAACAATCTAATCGAAACAACAATTATCTTAGATTTTTGTATAATTGATAATTGTAAATTAAAATTAATAATTATTAATTATTTATTCGAAAATGAATATATTATTAGATTAATTGAAATATAGATAAACTAATTGATAATTAAATTGAATATGAAACTTTTAAACTATAAAATTATTCTAATTATATACTAATCCATTTTGAAAGTTTTTAAAAGTCTACATTTCTAAAAACTTCAAAAAGCTTATAAAAATCTATACTTCTGAAAACTTCATTATATAATTAAAATCAGATTATATATCTAAGTTTACTAAAAATAAGAAGATTATACAAAACAATTGCTATACAAATTTATATACAAATTGTTTTACTTTTCAATAAGGTCAAAGCTTATAAAGACAGGTTAACTATTACCTCATAACACTTTATAAAATGATTTCGTGACAAGTGTATACCTGTAACGATCTGGTCGAGGCAGCGGCTGCCTGAGATTTTGTATAATTGATAATTATAGATTAAGACTATTAATTACTGATTATTTATTTGAAAGTGAATTCGTTATTAGATCAATTGGAACATAAATAAACTAATTGATAATTAAATTGAATATGAAGTTTTTAAATTATGAAACTATTCTAATTATATACTAATGAATGAAAAGGAGCTCTGTGAAGCTCAAAAACTTCAAAAAGCTCTTAAAGCTCTAGAAGCTTTCTAAGCTTTTAAGGCTTCTTATTATATGATTAATCCTGAAACCTTTCCTTTTCTAGAATACTTATCCTAGAAGCTTTCCTTTAGGAATCACAACTTTAAAATACAATATCCCTCAAAGTGATTATCTTATTACAATTAATTAGTTAGAATATTTGTTCTAATCTAATATAATTGTTTAGGATACTTATCCTAGGAATCCTGAGATCTTATTCGTATATGATTAGGCCCCTTGAAAGCAATATGTAACGATCTGGTCAAGGCAGCGGCTGCCTGAGGTTTTGTATGATCGGTAGTTGTAGATTAAGGTTATTAATCACTAATTATTCATTTGAAAATGAATTCGTTATTAGATCAATTGGAATATAGATAAACTAATTGATAATTAAATTGAATACGAAGTTTTTAAACTATGAAATTATTCTGATTATATACTAATCTCTTTCCTTACATATTAGCTATACTAATTAACTAACATAACTAGCATTCCTAAGATGCTAGCTTTGCTAACTGACTAGCAGAGCTAGCACATCACATAATTGATCCTGAAACCTCTCCTATCCTAAAACCTTTCCTTTCCTAGAATACTTATTCCAAAAACTTTCCTTCAGAAACTATAACTCTAAAATACAATATTCTTTAGAATGATTGTTTTATTTCAATCAATTAAATAAAACATTTGTTTTATTCTATTATAATTGTTTAGGATACTTATCTTAGGAATCCTAAGGTTCTAGGCTTAGGTAATCAGGACCCCTGAAAACAACAGTTAAATCACACCCCCTCTATAATCGGTATATAAATCACCAACATCAATAATACTACTATAATGAAAACCGTGAATCGTGACACAATAATTAAATCACACCCCCCCTATAATCAGTATATAAATCACCGACATCAATAATACTATTAAAATCAAATCTAATACCTCTCTTTTCAATCACTTTTAATATAAAAATTGTAATTTTATCTATTAATAATTTTATAAATAATTAATATAATTAATTGAAATTTAAATTATATAATTATTATTCTTACTTTTCTTACTTTTTTATTTATATTAAAAATACAAAAATTATAAACAAAAGTTTTAATATTGATAATGTATATTTTAATAATAAATAAATTTTAAAATTCTAGAATTTTTATATTTTTATATTTATATATTAATACAACTTGAATATACTCGAGTAAATCACTTTATTCTCACTCTGGGTCTTAAAACTCTTTGTTTAGTTTTATTTTTTTATTTTTTTATAATATATAATAACTATATAAGAGCTAAATAAACAAAGTTAATTATATTCTTTAAAATCTACAATTAAAGAATTATAACTTATAACAAGCATTTATATAATAAATTATATAATTATATATATTCGATTTCAAAATCATTATATTCCTATACTAAAATAAATAAATCGAATCTCAAATACATAAACTATCAGCTCATCGATAGATAAAGGAATCACATGATCGTTCTTATAGTTCGAGATCTGTAATATATTCTATTCTTGTACTTATTTTCATTCTTATCATTGATATCTTTCTTAACATCTATCATATCATCCTCATCATCTATAATCCATCATATCATTACAAATACATTTTTATACCTATCTCCATCTCTATATCTTTCTTCTACTATCATAAAAAAATAACCACATAGCAAACCCTTAACCCCAACACCCCAATTCCCAGTTCCCACTTTCCAGTTCCCACTTTCCAGTTCCCAATTCCCAATTCCCCAATCAAAACCGAAACCAAACCCTAAACACTCTTCTTCCTTCAACATCCACTTGTCTCCCCTCAAACCTATACCCCCTCCCCTCGTAACCCTATCCACTCTCTCCCTAACCTCTGGAAACACATCTCTATACGCCTCTCTCCCCATCCAACAATCCAAATGTCCATAGCCTCTAATTTCCATCCTCTCATACATATCAAACATACCAAAAGCCTCACAACCGTCCCCATCACAACCCGTCCTTTCCCCACCAGTATCACTTTCCCTCCCCGCACATCCACCTCTACAACAATCCCCCATTTCATCCCTCAAAACCTCCAACGTCTTCGTCGTACTCTCGGGATTTAATACTTTATTATCACTCCCGGAAAACAAAAAGAACGGTATTCCCCTCAACCTCCTAATATTTTTCGACGAAGTAAGAGGATGGAATAATGGAGCATTACCTGTTACGTGACCGACTGTACCCATATGCATGAGGAGATTGAGACAGGTCATATTTACTCCTGAGAAGAAACGGTTGATTTGACGATGAGTTGCTTCGTTTAGGTTGTTGTGGTTCCAGAGACTATTTTTGGGAAGATAGAATGTTAGTCTTTGTGCTTGCTTTTGTGATTTTGATTTGCTTTTTTTTCTCATATAGGGAGGGGAAAAGGAAAGGAAAGGAAAGAAAAGGAAAGAAAAGGGATACATACCGACCGAAAATTAACGAACAACGATGACAAGAAACATTATTACAAATCTCACTTCGTCGATCAGGATAAAATCTCAATAATTGATTAATCCCCTGTTGAAACCAAGTATCTTCCCTCGTACTCGAACAACTAAACCAATCCCCTCCGAAAAATTTATACAATTTATCAAAAGGGATAGGACCTGCCATTGCCTTGGCCAAATTCAAAGTAGCCCAGATGGGATTCATGAAAACTTGAGAACAGGTGACACCTAAGATCCAATTTGCCGGAATGGTACCATCTAATAGACCCGAAGCGAAAGCTACTGAACCCATACAATGAGCAATGGTGTAGATAGGTTGACGACCATGTTCTTTACGGATCCATTGGAGAGAAGCTTTGATATCGAGACGAGCATCGAATGTGGTCCAATTATCTTCAGCGACCATTAATTGACAGATTCGATGGACGACGACGAAACAGCGATAACCGGCTCGAGTGAAATAATTTATGGCATTTACTTCAATGGTGGGAAGTGCGAAGATTTGATGATCGACTGAAGCACCTGGGATGAAAAAAAGATTCTTGGTTTCGATGTTTGGGTTCTGAGGTTCCCAGACGTGGAGAAGAGTTTTAACGTCATCTGAGGCGACGATCTGAATGGTTTGATCGGGTGGTGTGTCGTTGATGTATCCTGTGTATGTTACGGATGGGTATTGAAGATAGGTGAATGGGGCGAAGAAGAGATTAGCTGATTGTCTGGCGAAGAAAGTCATAAAACTTGTGGTAGATTGAAGTCTAGACCAAAAATTACGACCAACAGCTTTGAGTGTGAAAATTTGCGATAGGAAATCTTTCGGTTGAATATGCATCATTCCTCTTCCTACTACAGTTTTATTTGCGTCTTTCTCTGTAATGCTGACGTAAAGTGTGGATGCAGCAGTCCAAAATTTAAATGGACCAAGAGCCACGGAAGAATCAACAATTTTATACCCATGAAAATGTAATTGTTTTCCATCCGTCGAAGTCATGTCGAAATCATATGTTAGATTTCGAGTACCAGGAGCTTGATGATCAACATTGAATAATTGAAAATCTCCACGTTGAACCATGAAAGGACTACCAGGTAATGAAGCACAAACGAATGTACCAGTTAACATAGCTGAATGATCTTGTCGATGCACAACTATGATAATGTTAGTAAAGTCGTATAGAACACTGTGAATTACTTACTCCTATGTGTATCATAAGCTTTAACGCTTAAGAAAAATCTTGATGCCTCACAAAGTCCTCTAGCAGTCTTGGCAGCAATTTCATAATCCTCTCTATGATTACCCTTAAGATTCTTCCCAATATGAATAAATCCTTGCATTACTTCAGTAAAAGAAAATCCACTTGTTTTGGAATCTTCAGTTTCATCAATCATTTTAGTAGCCATCTCCACTTCAGAATTTTGTGTGCTGTAAGTTTGCAATTGCATAGGAGCATGTTTTGGTTTACCGAATAAATCCAATAAACCATTGCTAGTATCGTAATCGATATCGAGATTGAAACTTTTCGCAGCATGAGCAACTGAGCGTTCAGCAAGAGCGGTAATTGTTGCAAATGGATTAACACCAAGAGCGCAAGGGATAACAGCAGCATCAGAAATTATAAGGCCTGGATATGTCTCACTACCACGACCAGTGAGAAGTTCTCCGAAATGATTTGTAGCTCCATATTGAGCGGTGTTGTCTGAACTCATACAAGCACCACCAATAGGATGAACAGTAATTTCTTGTTGACCAAGTGCTGAATAGAATGGATTATTGACAAAAGTTCCCCCAACTGCTTCTGTTGCTTCTTTGAGAATATTATTTATCTTTCTAACATGATCGCTCCGACCAACACCAAGGAACTCGAGGAGAGGTTTATCATCCTTGAGGGTGAGAACGGCTTGATTAGAATCATGACTCATGACAAGATATGTTTGTGTTCTCTCGATACTACCCTTTTTGTAGTATGGACCTAGGAAACGACTTCCGGTAGCTGAAAGTGTATGCCTTAGTTTTTCGAGAGTCGACAAATCCGATGGTGCTTTAGAACCTGGAAGTTTTTCAAGCATGAATTGAAACAATGGAGCAAGTGCTTTTGGTATTGCTCCTTCTTCAATAACATATCCATCTAAGACATTTGCATGGCCTGCTCGATTATCAATGATACCTGCGATGGTAGGCCCTATAGGATTATCGGCTGTGGGAGACACACGACCAATCCCATTAACTTCTTCATTGGTGTTATAACCGAAAGCTAACATATCACCATTTCCACTCATGCCTTTGCCAACTCTATCACTCATATTCATTCCTAAACTCCTACTTCGAAGAAGAATTTCCGTTGTTCCGATTGCACCTGCACCAAGAAAAACGCATTTCTTTGCATGTACCCACATCAGATCTTCGTAGATGTTGGTTTTGAAAGCCCCGCGATTACTTCCGTGCCATGCGAAAAATACGAGATACCCTTCTTCTTTAGGGTCTGGATGCTTTTTAATATATCTCACTTCACATTCACAGAACATTTCTGCTCCCCAGTTCCATGCATCCGAGAGATAGTTGACCAAAGTACTGCTTTTGCTTCCATCATTCACACCAGTACAGTCCATACCCGTCAAAGCAGACGGATACATTTCGACTCCAGTGCTGTTTGGGCCGCCCAGGAATCGAGTAGTTTGTGGTGGCCGGTAAAATTTCTCATGCATGCCGAGTATTCTAGCTTGCTTCTCCAGCAAGGTTAACTTTGGAAGTTTAGGCCAATCTTCTGGATAACTTTGAGGTTGTAAAACAGATGCTGCTCTTTCGTAATATTCTTTAAGAGCCTCTCCTTCTCGTAATTCCTTCGGCCAACAATCCATTGCTAGAGTGTCTTTATCCGCTTCAAGAAATATATTGGCGTTTAAAAGACTTGTTCCACCTAAACCATTGGCTACAAAAGCATTTTGACCTTTTCCAAATATGAGATGATAAAGGCCTGTAGGATCTCCTTCTTCAACCATTGCTCCCGGTAAAAATCCAGGAGCAAAATTGCCCGACACGTGAAGCTCCTCCATTGCATGTACCATGCCAGTGGGATATTCCCCCGGCCACTTTTCTTTCCCTCTCTCCAAAAGACAAACAGATTGCCCAGCTCTTGCCATACGACTAGCAGCAACTGATCCACCATAACCAGATCCAATTACTACAGTATCATAGACATTCCTCAAAACTTCTACCGGTTTTGATATTCGAGGAAAGTCTCTGCTATTGACATCATCCGTGTATGTTCGAATCTTAGCATGTTGCCCTCTTTGACCTGATGCTGTAGTATGAGCAACAAATGATTCAATTCGATGTGATTCATTGATATGTCGATGCTCGTCATCTGATGAACTATCCTCACTCGGCTGGTCTCGACCGTTGATATTCTTAAGATTATCAAATGATTCACCTAATCCACTATCCCCATTACAACTCTCAGCTTGACCGTCCTTTGAGTCATTCCCATTAATACCATTAGATTTATGGCCATTCAGATACCCATTGGAGTGAAACCCATTGAGCCGGTGTTCACCATTCGTCATATTTGGCGAATACAAGGGTTCAGATGTCGCCATGATGGAGTTCTCACCAGTGTCGGTACACCAGTGTGTCACACTAGAACCCCCAGGTGAAGGATTGAATGAGCGTAATACAGGATCTAGAAAGCGGAGAAACGATACAACTTATGCGGCAGGGATCTTTTTGATTGACTGAGATCTTCAATGTGATAACGCTAAGTTTGAGATAGATTGAGAAGAACAGAATATTATGCAGAATTTAAGAAAGTAAGTATTGAAACAAAGAGAGTACAATGGTATTCATGGAATGAGCCAATATTTAAGAAAAGAATGTAAGCATGTTAAAGAAACGACTTCGTTAGTATATCAGGGGTTTCAAGGCTGAGTAACGTCAAGCTGAAAGGAATGTGAATTGGGATATGATTCCAGCCACCAGGTCCCATGTCTCGTCTGAGCCGAACACCAGTCTTCCGGGGCGTACATGAGAACAAATGAAAGTGGAAAGAACGACAAGCATTCATCAGGCTGCGTCGACTTTGAAGAAGTACTCTTAAATTGACCAATGGAAATGAGCGAGATAAAAATTGATGCTAGAAGTTTCATTCCATTTATGACCCTATACCAAGAAACTATTTCTAGATATCAATTAGTTTGGCTGTAGTATGGGGGGCCATTTTTGAAATAGATGATAAAAAATAGATGAAATCAGCCGTGGCTGTAAGCATAAAATCAGTAAGACGATGTGATATCTGATTATTGAGATATCGAGATTGGTTGATGAAGGACAAGCAATGAGTAAGAAAAGTCAGCCCTTGATTCTGCCACTACTCTTTCTTGTATGTGCCATAATCACAATTGACGAGATGTATTCGAGGATCATTACGAAATACTAAATCCGTTTTCCCCCGTCTTTTCTTTCTATCTCTCCTCCATTTTCCCATCTGAGAGAACGATGGATAAAAAAGCCACCAGTGATTTGCGATGGTAACACACCGTCATATCTCGGAAAGGAAATCAACGGAATTGAGGAATTGAGCCAAGTGACTTGTGCAACATGCAGCTAACGATGTGATGAACCTCATTGTCACTACTTTAGAAGTTTTGGCGTCTTTTTTCGATGCGTGCCATTATGACATTGTGCTATTGTGATAAGTCGGGGTGATTGAACGCCGCTGCTGCACATCAATCACGGCACATTCTCATCCCATGTAGTTCCGTACCTAGGTTACTACCTCCCTCCCTCCTAGTACGTACACATTTGAGGATATTGAGCGATATACTGTATACGAGATGTACCGCGTAGGATCAATTGTGCACAAAAGCAGACACCGAAAGGATATCGATGCCTATCATGTCAACCGTTCAACCCGTTTACCCGTTTTGTGACGAAAGAAGTCATAGACTAACTAATTGTACTGTAGTCATTAGAGTGGGGGGTCAGCTTACATGAATTGAAGAATTGCTGTGCCTCGATATATGGGATCGCAAAGAAATTGTTAAAGAAAGGACATGATGATTATGAGTCTAAAATAGACGCACAGGTAAGAAGAAATGACACAGCGGAATGTTCTGTCCGTTTTCGATCATATTCCCATATTCCCATGTTGGTGTAATTATGGATTATGGTATGGTGGAAACATAGCCAGCCAGCCAGCCAGCCCTACCCGCCCAGAGGATTCCCGAGAAAAGATATTGTTTCGTTTCCACACAGTCAGCACCCAGAAATGAATTTGACAGTTTGTCGGTAAAAATGTAAAAACACATTTATTTCTTGCCTGCGAACGCCGTTTCCTCGTGTTTTGATCAAGGGAGAAATGAATGAGGCGGCAGTAAGGGGTTTCAAGTCTATTCTTGTCTTCCAATCTTTGTGATGTGATGTGATTTGAATTGACTTGATTTGATTTGATTTGATGTGATGTGATTTGAATTGAATTGACTTGATTTGAATTGACTTGATTTGATTCGATTCGATGCGGTTCGATGCGATTTGATCCGATTCGAGCCATCAACTCTTGGTGATATTTTACATTTCGAACTCCCGTAAGACGAATCAATTCCCTTGCTCGTCTATGACGAGAGAGGACTATGTATGTCGGTGACTAGGTACACCACTTTCTGATTTTCAGCACCGAAAGATTCCATCCATCCCCGTCCCATCACAGCACTTCAACAAGTCCCCTGTTGTGAAAACCTCAAATCTCCCAAGCAGCCATTCATCATGCCATGTCCCACATCCAAACGGGTGAAAACGTGGTTTCCTAGCGGGGAATCCTTCCATCGTCGCGTGCACACTACACCTTTACCCTTACCCTTACCCTTACCCTTACTTACCCGTACCCTTACCCCTTACCTATCTGGCAAAGGTAGCTAAAAAGCGGCTCAACATGAATACGAGCTATTGATTATTTGTTATCTCGAAGGAAAAACATACGATGGCACTCGCTCGAGTTAAAACTTTTTCTTTCCTCTGGTAACCTAAGGGCTGCAAAAATGGCCTATCACTCATGTTTCCGTTCTCTTCTCTTCTCCTTGTCAATGCTGTCATATCATATCAGTCTGCGCCCCCTTCTTCAAGTCCTTGTAAGATCTTAGTTAAGTCCATGTGTTTGTTTACTACCACACCACTCCCACACCACTCCCACTCCATTTTACCCGTTACATCATTGTTATATGCTAGATAATGTCTGCCTGTAAAATAATAATGTGACTCCGTTTTTGGGTTTTGATATCGATATTTGGCACATTCCTTCGGTGTATATTTTAAGAATGGGAAAGGATAAAACGGTGACAGTAAACGGCGTCGGGGGGTTTGCCCCCAAGCAATCGATACCACTCACTATCCAACAATTAGTTAATTAATCCATTAAAAATGAATGACGCTCCGCTGGCTCTCCAAGGGCCACTGCCGTGGGGGCAGACTAAGTTCTATTCCATCTTATCATCTCACAAAACATGATGTATATAACCTAAGACTAACATATTCCAAGTGAAGCTCTGAGGCGCAGACCATCATATCAATCAATCAATCAATCAATCAATCTAATCACTTACTTACTATAACTACCTACCTCCCTACTTAGGCAGGATTTCCATCCTTGAAATAATATCGTCATTGCAGTCAGCTACTTGCACACATAATTATTACTTACTCATAATCATTACTAGCTCTCAGCTCATCCATTCATCCATTCATCCATTCATCCATTCATCATTCATTCATTCACTCCATCATAATCTTATCAGAGATAGAATATGAAATATATATATGTACGGTATGTAACCTTACTATATATGAAGTCGCGAAATAATCAATAACAATAAGGAGCAGTGTGGGTGGTGCGTCTGGTTGAGATTGAGATTGAGATCACGATGAGTTACAATATTTTTACTCTTTTAATTATTCCATACTTGTTCGACCAGTTACAGTACCAACAACCCATATATATGTAAGACTTATGTAGGTGTCTAGATGAAATATATAAAACTACGTCTTCCAACCCCTCAAAATTGCCAAAAATTGTTTTATAATAACCTCAACCCTCAACCCTCGACCTCACCATAACAAACATAACCTTAAGGTTACCCCATTGCAGTTCCAGTTCCCAGTTCCAGATTATAATCCCCACAAACTGAACCCACTGGAACCAAACCCTCGGTAACTTTATAAGGTACTTACTTCATATAAACTTCAAACATTAACTTTATAATTAATCAATTATATACTCTAGGATATAATCTAATTCTATTAAATCTTCAACTATTCAATTTTCAATAAAATCAATATCTTCTGTCTCATCTCTCCTGTCAATATATTCAAACTATTTTACTTAACCTCCTTTCTTAACTCCATTTCCTCTCCAGCTCCCTCTCCCTCAACTCTTCCTCACCTCACTAAATTTTCTCCATTGCCCTCTCCAAACTCCTTCCCCGTAATCTCTATCCAACCCATTCTCATCCTTCCCTAACCACATCTTCACACGGATTATTAAAAGCAATACTATACCTATCACGCTCCTCTCCATAACCATCACTTCGGTATCCTCATCGTCCTCTGCATTGTTTCCTCTCCCTCTATTCTCCCCATCCCTTTGACATCTACCTCGAGGAGTAACAACCCTATGCCATGTACTCCTGCATCTTCCCCCACTCCACCACATCGCACAATCCCCAATATTAACTACTACCTCCCCTTCCCTCGGCAGGATCTTAGTCCATTTATCCTCCCACCCAAATTCACTCTGCACTTCTTTCCCCGGACAAATTTCCAAACCCGCTTGCCCCTCCCTCTGAAAAAGTAACGTCAGAAAACTCCAATCGACATGCGGTCCCGCTCTTATCCACTCCCCATCCCCAACCCCGTCCTTCCCATTCCGCTTTCCAACCTCTCCACCCACAGCAAAATAATGCAAAAGTCTCAAAACCGTCTGACTCTCCCTTCTCCCAATATCATGCGCACGTACAAACAAACCCTCATCAACCCCTAAACCCCGCTCAAAACATCGCATAAGTTTCACACTCAATTCCTGACACGCACTCATGAACCCTCGAACGTCGTTCTGAAAACCAGGGAGCAGGGATTCGGGAAGCCAGTAATCGCTCATAGTGGGATTGAACTGTAATTGATAGGATTCCTTTTTGTCGGCCACGCCAGTGGAGGGTCGGACTTGGGAATTAGTTTCCCAGCCGATGTTGTGGATGGGGGAGAAGGGAATTAGGGATTTAGTTTCGGTGGGGAGGGAGAAGAATTTCTCGGAGGTGCTGAACCTAGAAGGGGGATGTGGGTGGTTAGATGTGGAGAGGAGATTGTGGGAAATGGAGGATGGGGAGGAGGTAACGGGAATACGTACATGTGGGATATAGTAGATAGATCAATACCATGATTAATCAGGACGAAAAATCCATCGGTTTCAGCGGCGTGCATAAGTCTATTGAATATAAATCAGTAACCATAACATAACGTCACTATCAAAACATAACCATCACCATCAAACACCTCAACCAAAACTCATTCCACATCTTCTCACCCAAATTCAAACCAACAAGTAAATCCAGAAAGAAAGAGAAAACTACTAACTCCTCAGTAATAACCCCCATCCTCTCCTCAAAATCATGCAGCGAGATCTTCGGTATCGATCTATCTGCATATTTCGTTTTCCTCATTTTATCCATTTTACTTATCCTTTCAATCTCCTTTTGTTTCGATTCTCCTGAATATCTTTCTCTCACCCAACAGACACAGAAATACCAAAAAGTAAGATATACTATTTCACTTCTTCACCATCCCTCTATTTATAACCCCAGAATCCAAAGAAGTAAATCCCTTATCTTCCCCTCTCTTGGTATCTTTCCCCGCATTCGGGTGTGCCACCTGTGACACCTGTGACACCCCCCAGCAACCACTTAGATGACGTTGCAGCTGTCTGCAGAGAAAGGCGGAAGACATTTTTTGAAAGGGGGAATTTGATCTGTTGAATGGAGAAATTGAAGTGAAAAGTAATTCGTGAGAATGCATAGATATCATTACCTATATGTTTTGTAGATAGACACACAAGTATTTCTCATCCACAACCCTAAATTCAAATCAAAGTATCTGATTGGATAATGAGGAATGAGATACTTATCCCAGAAATTGATGGGCGCATACCACACCAGGACAATCTCTCATCATTCTTTTCTCGATCCGGAACAGTATTAGGAAGGTAAATACATCTCCCAAGGAAATATCTTACTAAAACGGCAATTTGTTCCTTTATGTTATTTGTACATCCTAAATTGATTTTGATACAGCACTATGTTCCGACTCAGAAATAGCCACTTTTGTTGTATTTATTATACAATGCATTTGTCCCCCTATTCAAGCTAAAAAAAACACATCGATCAAACCTCCAAATTGAGCTTGAAGAGAACCAGATCCTAAGTTATTATTCCTTTCCTACGTTTCATCATTCAATCATATGTGCAATTGATATCGCTTGAAGATTTATTCAGATACAATCTTAGTCTTGATCTTAGAGCCGCCGCTCTTAACACGTCTTGCGGATGGCCGGTTAATGTGGTGGTCAGGAATCCAGCTCTCATCGTAAGCTTGTTGTGCCAAAGATTGAGTTGTAACAGCTGGTCCATCAGCACCAATAACAGAAACTTGATCCTTAACATCGACAGCCTTCTTGCTTCCTCCAGATGAACGCTTGGCACGTTCACCACCTTTACCACCTTTGCGAGTTTGTGGGAATAGAGCTTCGATCCATGTCTTGTAGACGAAAAACAGGGTAGCGGCAGTCACTGCGAGGAGGACGAGATACAAGAAGATGCTAAAACATGTCAGTTTAGATGGATTATTAAAAATGGTGTCGCGAAATGAACACCTACATTTGAGGATCAAAGATGCTGGTAGCAGCTTCAACAACAGTAACAGTCTCATTAAAAGCCTGAATTTGGTATACACCTCCTTTTTTACTAGCCACAACCGCAATGATGTTCAATCGCAAATCCTGAGGGTTCAAGTCGGTAGTAAATGCATAAGGCAGAATCTGCTGTTCACCTGCCTCAACCTCAACATCATATCTTGTCGAGGTCAAGTTGCGCACAATAGCAGCACTTGGATGAGTTCCTTCTGGTAGTGTTTGAAGAGTAGACAACGCGCCTCCGATAACAGCTAGTTGCACAGATTCAGGTTCATCGTTCTTGATGGAAATTATAGCTTGCGAAGCATGGCCATTGACGAGTTTAACACCGAAGATTTCGGATTGAGGGAATGAAGCAGAAACGGAGACGGCAAGATTGGTCGGGGGAGTTTCGAAACCTTCTGCGGCAGCTTCTTGACGATGATCTTCAGTCTGTTGAAGAATTTAAATTAGTACTCTTGAGCTCCGAATAGCTTATGTAGCTTTTGACAGCTGTCAACAACTATGAGAAACTTTTAAACTTACACTTTCTGGCGCAGCGAAAACGCTGACAGCACGAAGAGCAAGAATAGCAAGAGCAGAGTACTTGTAGAATCCCATGATGGCGAATCAATTGAAAGAATTGAAAGAAGTGAGAGAATGTGAGGAATTAAATGTAATATGTACAAAGTAAAGGTGGTCGGATCGTGTTATGACGAATTTATGTCACAGCTTCAGAAATGTGTTCTCGGTAACTAGCGTATAATTGTCACCACTAGGTATTCAAGCATCCTAGCAAGTGCAGCAACAGATCAACATGTATGAAGTCATAAATTATCCTATTGGGAAAATAGATAAGAAATACCTCATGAGATACCTAATGGAATACAGAATTTAGTATTTATTCGTTCAAAATCAAACCGCATAGTATCCGTTGACAGATCGTGAAATTTCAAGGGGATAAATTTCTATTATCACAGTGGCTCAAACATAACAGGACGCAAGTAAGGTTAGGTGAGCAAGCAGCAAGCAAGCAAGCAAGCAAGCAAACAAACCTCATTTAAAACCATCCGTTTTTATACTAAGAACAACAGCGTCAATCAATCACTCACTCACTCACTCACTCACTCAAAAAGGGATATAAACTTTGATCATTTTTTCATCATTTTGATCCCTGGGTCCGTAAATACGTGATGCCCAATACTATCCATACCATGCATTGCTATTACCAGTTTTTCCCAGTAGTCATCAGAAACCTTTCGAGGCAAAATGTCCCAGAAGGCATGCTATCATGAAATGCAGCCTTCTCGTAGGGAAAGCACCGCCTTTCTCTATCATACATACACGGGAAAGTTCTGGCTTGTTCTGTATGCCATATTTCTAAAACAACATCGTGCTCTGGGTGCTCATTCTCAAGAGCAGCTGGGTCATTCAACCTCTTATCGGGAATGACCTGTAATTTTGGTATAAACAGCGTGTAAATCCATAAGCAACGAGTCAGCGAGCCAAAAACACGCGGAGCTTTTTCTTTGTTGGGCCAACAAATTTGAAGGGCGAAGACGTTTTTCTCTCAAGTTCAAGCACCAACCATTCCAGGTCCGTAACTTTGACGCATCGGTCCTTGAAAACCGTGAGATGTTGGAGTCTTTCCCTTGTTAGCTTGCACGTTTGATGGATATAGCACACTACCCACCTTCTTAGGTCGCTTTCGACCACCGGCTCTGTCATCACCATCGCCAGTGGAATATCCAGCTTCGTCATCGATGTAGCCTTCGCCATAACCTTCGTAACTGGCATCACCATACGATCGCTTCTTAACAGTTCTCTTTGGACGTGCGATATCTGCCGCTCCCCTATTCTGCTTTGGAACACTCATAGTGCCCTGCGAAATCGGAGCCTTTGCCTTCGCGGGAACGGCTTTCAAAGGATCGTTGACAATTTGATTACCCATTTCTCCAATAACAGAATGATTCCATCTGTCTTTTGGAATGGTACCTCTAGCCATGATTACAGCTTTGCTGAGACTCGATCGTAACTCGTCCGGGATGCCTTTATCAATTTCTCTTCCTTGTACTTCAATTTGATCCCACGCTTCCCTAACCGCGGTGGGTCCCCCGGGATTGATCAAAGAATATAGTGATCCGGGTTGGTCTGGCTCAGGGCCCTTCACTGCGTCAAACTGTCCAGCAATACCCAAAGATTTTACGTATCCTTTGTAAGTTTTTCGAACTGTGTTCTTCTTTCCATCTGGAGTGACTCGAGCAAGACTGGCAGCAATTCCCTGCAGACCAAACCGATCATATAGATCTTGTTTGATATTCAAGTGCTGAGGCTTATGAACTGTACATCATTTCATGTTAACAAAATGTTTCATATACATGGTGGATAAGACATATGATTCAAGTTATGTGCTTGAGATTGTAGCCACCAAAAGGTTAGATCAACTAGAAAGAAGGAATCCTTACGAGTTCTGCAGAGAAGGTATTTTTTACCGACATCCTGATGGAGATCGTCAATACTAGGTCTGCTGTCCTCGACATGAACTTTCTTCTGGTCTCGATCGCCAAGATCTTCAACATCTCTCTTGCGCTTGTTCGTGGGATCTTCCGACTGGGATGCCTCAATGGCAGAATTAATAGTTGACATGCTGCCGTTAATGCTGTGAGCGGGTGTTGGAAGCGACGTATTTATCCGTGGAGAGACTGTATTTTTCGAGGATGTATCGGTGGAGCCTGGGGTATTGGAAGGACTTTGTGGTGTTTGTGGAAGATCAAAAGGCATTTCGATCATGAAGGCGGGTTTTGAAGTACTCGACGTTGTAGGGAAGACGGGAGGTGATTACGGTTTGTAGAAAACTTGATTGTTGTGGTTTCGGCCGTGCTGAAAATGTTATTGAAAGGATTGTGTACGGACGGGTATGTGTACAGGTATCAAAATGCGCTTCGAGTTTATTTAAAAAATGAAAAAGGCGAGGTGTATTGTACAGAGTATTGAGCGAGCGTCGAGGATGGAAAAGGTTGTTTCCAATCGTATTCTCGAGGTTCGAAGAAAGGTAGGAGGGAACGAAGGAGAAGGTGGATCGAGAAACGATTGTCGCAGAAATGCACCTACACCGCCGACGGCAGCGCTAAATCGACCTGTGCTCTTATTTCATGTAGGTCGTTTGAATGTTATTGTTGATGCGATATCGTTTTTTGTATATCAACGCTCTATTCGTTATGTCGTTGATGGTGTTGTGTTTGTGCTTAGTCGAGCAGAATGTTAATGTGAGGTCAATGAGATTGGGAGACGCCGCTTTGTCAAATGGAATTGGCCGATGTGAAGATTTAGCGCCCAGTCACGTGTAAATTAGGCCGAGGTCATCCTTTTCATTTGAATTCTTTTCTTCTGTGCTCTTCTGGTTTTTATATTTACTTAGCCAGCTCTGAAGGTTGAAGGAACATCACATAATATAATATATTTAATAATATCTCCAGAATCATAAAATAAATGACACACGGTAGAATTCAACGGGCTTTTGTTGGAGTCAATATTAACACTAACAAACACTTCCGTATGATTCCAGATTTTTTACTTCGTAGATAGCCAAGATTAATTTTGAGTTGTTCCAGTAAGCCGCAACTTTATTAGCTCAATTGACCAAGCACATATGCACTAGTCTATATATAGACTAGCTTGAGTGGAGATTGCCGGGTTTGATACTGATAGGAAATAATTTTTTGATATGGAGAAAATTCGCTGTGGACATATTAATTCTTTGAATTTTTGAGTCAAGGAAGCAACAGAAACAACAAATATTTGAATATTGAACAATACAATCATGTCTGAAGGAAGAAAAAGGCCATTTAATGATGATTCTGCCATCGAGGCAGTATCTGAAGAGAACCCAGGGCATACCTCGAAAAAACTCAGGAAAGAAACAAATGCATCTGCCCGCCGTTCATTGTTTGTTCGTTCTTTACCTGCAACAGCTACAACCTCAGCATTGACTGAACTGTTTTCCGACAATTATCCCTTAAAGCACGCTACAGTTGTACTCGATCCCGTCACGAAACAATCAAAGGGATATGGATTTGTTACCTTCGCAGATGCAGAAGATGCTCAGAGAGCCCTAGACGAATTCAATGGTCAATCATTTCAAGGTCGCAAAATGAAAATCGAGATCGCTCAACCACGTTCCAGAGAAACGCCCGCGAAAGGTGGAGAAGAGGGGTTGCCAGTGAAGAAGAAGACTGCAATTGCTGCTGAAGCTGCTGCTGTTAAAAAAGCTCGACAGGAGAAATTGGCCGAATCAAAAGCACCTCCTAAACTTATCATTCGAAATCTGCCATGGAGCGTCAAAACTCCTGATGAATTGGCTAAACTGTTCATGGGCTTTGGAAAAGTCAAATACGCTACGTTGCCTAAAGTCAAGGGGAAGGAAGCGGGGTTTGGATTTATTGTGATGCGAGGCAAGAAAAATGCGGAAAAGGCACTGGCTGCAATCAATGGACGTGAGATTGATGGCAGACAATTAGCTGTAGATTGGGCTGTTGAGAAGGATGTCTGGGAAAAGAAAAAGACTGAGGATGCAGATATGAGCGATGCGGAGACTCCCAAGGACGAGCCCGAAGAACCAAAAGATAAAGCGGACGATGATGATGTGGACGATGATGTTGCCAATTTTATGAAAAACTTTGGAGATCAATTAGAATCGGAGGATGAAAGTGATCCTGAGGCAGTTGAAGACAATGAGGATGACATTGACGATGAATACGATGAAGACGATGGCAATGAGGAAGTGGATGACTTTGAAGATATAGATGACGATGAAGATGTTGAGGAGGAAAAGCCCAAAAAGAACTTCATCACCGATAATTCCTCGACACTCTTTATTCGCAACCTCCCCTTTACAACTCTTGATGCAACCTTGAAGGAACATTTTGAACAATTTGGCCCTGTCAGATATGCTCGAGTAGTCATGGATAAGGCAACTGATCGTCCTAAGGGTACTGGCTTCGTTTGTTTTTACAATGTCGAAGATGCTGATTCTTGTTTCCGAAACTGTCCCAAGTATCAACCCACAGGCGCCAACGCAACTAAGAAGGGCGATACTCCACAAATTAAACACTCCCTCTTAGAACCCGAAAACGCAGACTCTACAGGTGCTTATACCATCGATGGACGACTCCTTCAGATATCTAAGGCCGTTGAGAAGGACCAAGCAGTGAAGCTTACCGAGGAAGGATCACATTTCCGTGATAACCGCGACAAAGATAAGCGAAAGCTTTACCTTCTTCAAGAAGGTACCGTGGCTAAGGGTACACCTCTCTACGATTTACTTCCACCATCTGAGGTCAAAATGCGCGAAGATAGCGCCATGCAAAGAAAGAAACTTATTCAAGGCAACCCCACTCTACATCTGAGTCTCACCCGTCTGGCCATCCGTAATATACCCCGCAACATCGATTCCAAAGCACTCAAAGCTTTAGCCCGTGAAGCTGCCGTTGGATTTGCCACAGATGTGAAAGCAGGAAAACGCCAACAACTTTCAAAAGAAGAATTAGCACGAGGAGGCGAGGAGATGCGCGAAGCGGAAAAACAAAGAAAAGCCAAAGGAAAGGGTATCGTCCGACAAGCTAAAGTAGTATTCGAAGGTAGAGAAGGCAAGAAAGTTAGCGAGGAAAGCGGAGCAGGAAAGTCAAGAGGGTACGGTTTCGTTGAATACTCAAGTCACAGATGGGCACTCATGGGTCTTCGATGGTTAAACGGCCACGCGCTCAAAAACTCTCAAGGAAAAACTCAGAGAATGATCGTCGAATTCGCTATCGAAAATGCACAAGTCGTCTCGAGACGAAAAGAACAGGAAGAAAAAGCTCGTAATCGTTCAAAAGAAGTTTCGGATAAAATCGCCAAGGGTGAAATCGTTAGTTCGAAAAAATTGGCCGGTAGAGATCAAGATATGAAATCAATGAGGAAAGGTGGGAAAGGTATTAAAGGTGCTGGGAAAAATGGAAAGAGATTTGAAAAGGAGAAAAGTTTCGATAGAGTCGCTCTTAGGTATGTTCACCCATTTACCTTTACCCTTTTCCCTCTTCCACTTTATCCTTGATACACATCCTTCCAAACCAAAATTCCGCATCACATCTCATACTAATACATAAAACAGGACCACCAACAAGCGCAAAGCCGATGACGACCTACCCTCACAAAAAGATAGTAAGAAACCAAGAAATCCATCGACAAATGGTGCAAATGCAACTGAAGGAAATGACGATGATGGAAAACAGAGGAGAAAAGCACAAATTATCCAGAAAAAGAGGATGATGAGGAGAAATAGAAAGGGGGGTGCTTAAGTATTGTAGTCGGGAATCTTGAGGAGGGAAGACGTTGGGGAGGGGAGAGGGGGATGCTTAGATGTGAATTAGCTAAAGGTTAAGCTTAGATTGAAGCTTAACCGAACTTCATTTTGTAATTACCTAGATTATCTAGATAGTAGGTACTAGAGTATAATACCTACCTGTCTGTCTGTCTGTCTGTCTGACTGTCTGATAGCAAAACAATAATTATCTTTCTTTTTCATTCATTCACCCATCCACCCATTCATGCATAAGCGCTTTAGCATTCGATGTGTCTGATGTATCTATCTATCGATCTATCTATTTCCTCATTCTGGACATTTGATAGTGAATACTCACTCTAATATTTGATATTGTGGCTATAAATAACATAATGTATAAAATGCATGAAGTCCAGAACGCACCCCGCCTTCCCCCTCCCCCGTTAAGCGATTTCAATTGTTGAAACTAGATTCGAATAATGAGGGTCGATTGTCCAGATTGATTCTGAACTTTGCAGGTTTATTGTTGTAATTAGAGTAGAGCAATGAAGATCTATTGTCGAAACTGACTTCGAACTTTAATAATGATTGTCAAAACCAGAATAGAACAACAAAGTTGTATTGTCCATCCGAAGTTGAATTTTCGAAGCCATGCATCCCATCGATCACATAATTCCGGGACTTATATATGTCTTTTCACGTGAGGCAACAACATCACATATACTGAATAAAATCCATTCATCTCAATATTTCTCCTATTTATGTTCTCCGTTAAGGGCGAACAAGTCACAAATTGACCAAATCTAGCTATTTTGCAAAATATTTCCACTCATATCCATCCTCGTTGAGTGAAAATACCTTAGAGCTCGGTAAGCGATTGACCCCTTTCGATAATTTGATGTTTTCTATCATATTGACTTAATCGAGCCCAAAATAACTCCGTTCAGTGGACTCCTGACATCTTTTTCATTGAGATATATCATCACCGATTCATATCCTCGTCGATAATGACTGCTTTCAGGAATCGGATGATACTTCCAGTTATATTTATCCAAATGAAGTCAAAATACCTTAGAAATGAGTAATTGATGAGTCTTTTTCGGTTATTTTGAGGATATCTCCATTCATATGTATCTATATGGAGTCATTATATTTTGAACGCCAAGCCAGTAATGATGATTTTTGGTCATCCCAGAATGTTTAATCATTCATGTCGGTTTTCATTCGGACTCATATTCATACAGTCATCTTCAGCATATACGATCATGTTCATTCGTAGTACCTAATATCTATTCATGGTCATATCCACCTGGGTATTCACTGTCACATCCATTCACTGTCATATTCACCCAGATTCATATTTACTACTCTTAGGTCTGTCTATTTACAGTCATATTCACCAGATTCATATTTACCACTCTCATACCTATCGATTCACACTTATATTTTACTTATTCAGAGCCATATTCATGTGATCATTTTTTGATATCCTTCAGTCACTTGCGGATGACGTCAATACAAACAATCTATTCAGAGCCTCTTAACAGACTTAAACGAACGTTTGGAGTCAGAATACAATCGTCTCAGACTCGTATGTCTTTATCTTTTAGTCATCCCTCATTCCCTTGACTCAAATACCTCATTTTAAACATATTCATACCCTGAAATTTATTTTTGGAGTCAAAATACTCTCAGTTCGGACTCATTTCTTTATTGTCTTGACTCGAATACCCTATCACAAATACATTCATACCCAATATGAAGATTTTCGAGTCAAAATACCCTTGCTTAGAGCTTATTTACAGTCATTCTTGGGACTTCGAGGAGGGATAAATAGAGCCCGTTTCCCCCTCTTGGTTAGACTTTGGAAACAACAAAACATACACATCCTAACAATACATCAAAGTACACCAAGAGGCTGCAACTCGGGAAGATATCTTCATCATCCTTCCATATCAGGCTTTCCTAAGTCCACTCATCGGCGCCACACTACGCTGCTGTCCAACAACGTATCTAGGGGTACCACAGCGCTAAAGTATCGAATACGCTTCTGCTATTGGGCTGCTGGCTCGGTTAACAAAGATAGTGCTCGTCTATCAATCTCGACAACTGACATTATCGTCGGTCAGATTCAGTACAGAAGACTAGAATCCGTGCCTAGACTTGCTTTTAAGAACTATGGCTCAGAATTCAGCACAACGGACGCGCGACCAACTTTTACGGGCTGGATGGACAACAGAACAGATAGATGAGGAAAGGAGCCATTATCCAAGATCCTCGGGCCAAAATCATCCTGTGCCATCTGTTGCATCAGGAAGTTATTGTTCATATAGCACATCAGTGCAGTCTCAGTCTGTTGGGTCGCAAAGCAATCATCCATCAGTAAGAAATACGGAAGAACCCAGAGAATATATTTCCTACTCCGCAAATATTGTCCAACCTCAACCGGTTTATGCCGCAGGGAACACGAATTTGCCAGATTATTCTTCGGGTGTACATACCGTGCATTCTAGCGATCTTCGTGCAGCATCAATCGTAGATCCCCGTGAAGTTCAAGCTCAGGGTTACGGAAACGCTGCTATTGTTTATGCTGCAGCTCAATCTGCAACTCGTCACTTTGTAGACGATCAGGCTCATGGGCAACACCAAGGCTATTACCCACTTGAGCGTCAGGGTTCTATCCGCCCGGGAACCGTAGGGACACCGGTAGGAATAGAGCAGCTAAAGACTGAAATACCAGGAGCAAAGGCAATTCCATATAGGGGTACAAGGGATGATCCTGGAGAACGACCTTACGGAATCTGGCCTGATTCACCATGGGACTCGGGTTATTCCCCCACCTTCACGGGGAAGAATTGCAATGAAGGTTGTGTGGCTAATTTATGGGAAGGTGTCTGGAGGGATGAAACGGAAGAACAAGTCTGTCTCCTATTTGATCATGTGGATTTCTATCGACTAGCATACATCACTACGGTTCATCGGGGAACGGTTGAGAGACCAGGATTCACGGAGTTCAGCAAAGAAACACAAGATTACAAGATTATCAACAGTCTGAATGACATAGTGAAAATACTCAACATCGCCGGGAGACCACCAGGGTTCGAAAGAATAAGCCAAAGACGGCCAGGTAACGGCTTTACTTGTCAGCAAGTGTCAGACTTGCTTTCTATTCTCGCCAACAAAGAGAATCCCAATCGTGGAAATGCATTTGGCCAGGTACTGGCATGGGCAAATTCCGGTGATCTTTCTCCAAAGAGAGTCCTTCGCAATGTACCAGAAAGCATTGTGAAATATTATGGATTCCAAAACCATGAGGCTTTGGCCGATAAGCGATTCCGCTGGGAATGGCTCATCAAGAGTTTTTTATATAAAGAAGATCCTAACCCAGATCACGCACACTGGTACATCGAGGGGCCATCAAAGGGCAAAAAGGTCAGGAAGCCTTCAGAATCGGACAGTAGGACGAAACGTTCTACATCTTCCAATACGGTCTCCTCGGACCACTCTCGTCGCCCCATTGCTTTCCCAAGTCAAGATTCTCATAAGCCACGAAACAAAAGGCATCAAGCTGAGGAACACTAATCCTGACGGTGGAAATCGAGTGTACAGGAGGAAGCGACAGGTGTTAGATATTAGACGCGCTGGACGCCTTAATTGGATATTGTTAGATATCGAGAGGTTTGATGCGCTAGCCGCACGGCCGAGGATGCCTTTTAGGTAAAGTAGGGTAGTCATAGATGCTGGTCGCACTGCCTAAAGACATAGGTAGACTACCTAGAAACAGATAGATAATACTTAACCATGTTGCCTTTACACATCCATTCCCTTAAATTTTGCTTTTGAATCCATTTGATTCTATGAAGTATTAAAAGCATTTGCCTCCGGACTGAGATCCGAGACCGGATAGTTATCCAGTAGAGAGTATGAAAGGCGGGAAGGCTAGGAATTGATGTCAATCCATCGGAAACTCGTGAAGCAGATGTATTGAATGAAAGATTGACAGTTAGGATCATATTTCATTGACCCCTTGAGATAACACGTCAATGATAGTGGGACGAACGGCGGCGGATCCATTGCTCAAGCCGCGCCATACTCTGGCCTCACGCATACCATCGATCTCGACCATTTCCAAAAAGCATACTGGACCTCTCGTGCGGCTAGAAAGTATAAAACTCCGAACGCTACGGGATGATTCTTCTTATTTGTCAAAATATCCCATTTTCGAAGTTTCCCTTTCTTTTTCAACACTGCGGTAGCATTCGGAGTTTATACTTTATGGCCACACGACCTACCCATCGCATGTTTACCGGTGTTATTCTACAGAACTAGGACTAGGTACGGATGCACATCTATTCAGGACCTGTACCCCGCAGAAAGCTTAAGGTGTATTGATTGAAAGCGGGTTTGAAGGACGGTAAAGCCATACTTGGAGGATGTTGCATGTTGCACGGAGATTTTTCGATGTTGGTACGATGCACCCATGTTGAGATGCCGAATTTCGCTACTGTGTAGAATGAAGGGGAAGCTCGGAGAGTATAAGCGATGCACTCGGTTAGATACCGAGTGGTTGCTAGCGGGATACCGAGAGATGTCCGGCGCGCTATTGGATGAGAGATGGTGTAACACAGAATATTACCCCGCAATCCTGCAGCAAGGGATGTTTTGGTAGGAAATGATAGCTCAAGTGTACAGCTTACACTGGACACGGGTACGGTCATTAGGAACATCACAGGAAGCTTTGCATATGTGTTACAAGAGGTTGGAGAGGTGGGTGAGGCTTGGTTGGTATACAAGTCGCTTGAGGTTCATCTGAAACTCCGTAGAGAGTTACCATTGAGATGAGTTCTAGGTGGGTCTTTTTGTTACTGGGCCTACGAGTAGCTCTATCATAGCTCTCATCAGACTATAGTTGAGGAGAGCGTCGATTTATCATTATCGTACTGATGAAGCTATGTATCCCCACTAGAATGGCACCTGCCATATTATAACCTAACACCGTCAATTATCACTCAACGAGAAAACACCTTGTGTTAACAACCCGAATACCGATTCAATATCAAACCATCACAGCTCGGAGACGTGGACCAAAATCATCATAGCCAAAGTGGCAGATCCGATTCTTTTGCATTTTCCGACTTCTTACCAGTTACCTTGTTGGTGTGTCTAGGTGGGGATGTGATGAAGCCCTCCGAGTCGACCACTTTTCATTTGTGGATAGTTTGACCTAATATTGTTGGTAAAAGAGGGGAAATGGTGGAAATACTAAAATCCTTGAGCATTGACGCTTAGTGAATATTATATATTGAAGAGCTGCTCCCAAGCTTCTTGTCTGCATCCATACTCATCATCCTCATCTACTTTCCATTAGACATACACAGCAAAGGTAAGCTTCTAACTCTCCAAAGCACAATATTAGAAAGTTGCACAACCTCATATGATCGAAAGATCAATAGGTATTGAATCCATGGAACTATTCTAGTACTTATTCAGCCCCCTGTTTCATTATGTTACATGCTTGATGTACGTGTTGCTGATGACATTCGCCAACATAGGTTAATCAACTCCGAACCCCGCACCTTCCAAATACAGCATCTAACAGAGCATCTACGAAACAGATAAATACTCTTTTATCTCTTCATCCTACAATCAATAAACACATTTCAAACTACAGACCAGTTAAATAATAATTCAAAATGGTACTACTCACTCGTTCCCTTCATCGTTTGGCATCAAGACCGTCTCCTTGTGCCCGTTCAATCTTCACAGCTTCTGCTTTTGCGAGACCAACACCCACATTGACGACGCGATCAACTGCTTTTCGCTCGCAGAAGCTCAACCATACTTTTAAAAATATCAGAATGCTAACGGGTGATAAACGTGAAAAGGTTAAGGTACTCCTTGTCTTGTACGACGGAAAGAAGCACGCGGAAGAGGTATGTTTCATTTACTTTACCCCTCAGCTCAATGGCGGGTAGTTTATCAACTACACTCCATTGAGCATCTGCACTAAGAACAATTGACTAACAAAGTTACAATTAGGTCCCAGAGCTTCTTGGCACAACTGAGAACGAGCTCGGTATCCGCAAATGGCTTGAGGATCAAGGACATGAGCTCATCACCACCTCCGACAAGGAGGGAGAAGATTCCGAGTTCGACAAGCACTTGGTAGATGCAGAGATTATCATTACTACCCCGTATGCTACTCATAATTCTCTATACAAATCTGCAGAAGCTAACAATGGTTCCTCAGTTTCCACCCAGGTTACCTCACTGCCGAACGTCTTGCAAAGGCCAAGAACCTCAAGATTGCGATCACAGCCGGTATTGGATCGGATCACGTCGATCTCAATGCTGCCAACAAGACCAACGGTGGTATCACCGTTGCCGAAGTAACCGGATCCAATGTCGTATCTGTCGCCGAGCACGTAGTCATGACCATCTTGGTTCTCGTTCGCAACTTTGTCCCCGCACATGAACAAATCCAAGCTGGAGAATGGGATGTTGCCGCTGCTGCCAAGAACGAGTTCGACCTTGAGGGTAAGGTCGTTGGTACTGTTGCTGTTGGAAGAATTGGTGAGCGTGTCTTGAGAAGATTGAAGCCTTTCGACTGCAAGGAGTTGTTGTACTTCGACTACCAACCTCTTAAGCCAGAGATTGAGAAGGAGATTGGATGTAGACGTGTTACTGATTTGGAGGAGATGTTGGCTCAGTGTGATGTTGTTACTATCAACTGCCCTCTCCACGAGAAGACCCGTGGTCTTTTCAACAAGGAGTTGATTTCCAAGATGAAGAAGGGTATGTTTTCCTACTTTTCATTCTACTTGTGTGAACAAATAATTAACATTCCTCTTAGGATCCTGGTTGGTCAACACCGCCCGTGGAGCCATCGTCGTCAAGGAAGATGTTGCTGATGCCCTCAAATCCGGCCACCTCCGCGGTTATGGAGGAGACGTCTGGTTCCCACAACCAGCACCAAAAGACCACCCACTCCGCTACGCAAAGAACCCCTTCGGTGGTGGAAACGCCATGGTTCCCCACATGTCGGGTACCTCCTTGGATGCTCAAAAGAGATATGCCGATGGTACCAAGGCTATTCTCCAGAGCTACTTGTCCGGTAAACATGATTACCGACCTGAGGATTTGATTGTTATCGGTGGTGATTATGCTACTAAGGCTTATGGTGAGAGAGCGAAGTCCAGTGGTACTGCTGGTGCCAATAAGGCATAGGTATGAGATCGGTTGTAGTATTAATGGGATGGATGGGAATGGAAAGGGATTTTGGTATGCGGCTGGCTTTGATGATTCGGCTGCTGCTATGCTATACGATATAATATGAAATACAAAATGAAACAAGTTTAAATAAATTACTCTAATGTATTGATTCCTTTTGCTTTTGCGTGGTGATCTTCATTGGTGAAATAGGATGGATATAAGCTTAGTTTGAGAGTTGCTGGAAGATTGGTATAGTAATAATCAATCATACATGCCTCGGAGGTGATCTTGGTCTTCATCTTGAAGTTCACTTAGTCCTTCCGTAGTAAGACTTACCTCATCATTGATTTTCATGGTTCGATAATCGAGATTCACTTTCTTTTTTTCAATTTTAATATTTGATTTTTGTTAATTGATATTTAACTCCTATTTTAATATTTATTTTTATAGTCCCAAGCCCTAACTATACCAAGATCTTACTTTAAGAACTGAAAGACTATCACTCAAGCAAAATGTTACATGACATGTGCCAGGAATTTCGAATTCTCTCAAGCTCATCAAGCGAGAAATTTTAAGCTTAAGATCAATAGTTCGTCAGCCAGAGTATTCATAGTTGAGTTGGATATTCATATTGGAGGTTAAACAACGTTTTGTTTAGTCACGATGAAGTTTGGTGGTTTTGATACAGCATCATAGCTTGAACTGGCACGAAACACGTGTTAGAGATTGTTCATGATTAAATGTGTTCCAATGATTATATACATGTTCAAGCTTGCGATCATTGCATGTATTTCTTCTCCGAGCTCTTACCAACTGCCTTCATCTGGATCGGGATATAAATTATCATTGTATGATAAGTCCCAACGAGTTTCGCTAACTAATACTGGAGCTTTCACTATAACTATCAAAACGACCAGTGTCAATTACCTCTTTCCTGAAAACCCGTTCCCTGATAATTGCAGGCCGGCTCGAGTCACTGGTTTCAGCCTTCTCAATTTTCACAATCCTCGGGCCTCCTCCTGATTCTTCATCTTTTGGCTTGAAATTTGCCCTAGAGTCATCTAAGTCTAAACAGGACAACTCTATCGCTTGAGTGTTTGTATCTTGTGTTTTCGAGCCTAGCCGCCGACCGTCTAGCAGCTCTCTCGGACTTCAATCCCGTGATGCTTGATCCGACTAGTGGCTACCCTATCTAGATGAGTAGTCACTTATTGAATCTTTGTTTTGCCTTACTTCAGTTCTTCTGGAGCCTCGCTGTAATAACACGGAATGAAAACCGGACGGCATGTCAACAGTATTGCTTCCAGCCAATCCTAACATGTTCTGATCTAGTTGCGGATGCGACACAGAATGAGATAACGCCTCTTCAATTATTGTTCGGCACCATTCAAGCAGAGGATAGTCTTGATGGGGATTATAGAAAGTGTTACCTTAGCTCGAGATATAACACTGCATACGTGTCTTCGTCGGTAGCAAGCAGAGAGCTCGACGGAATCATACAGAATTATCCATCTCACCATATCACCTATAGATTTCAGTAATCTCGACAAATCGACAATCTGGTTCTCGGGCTCTGAAGAGCGCCAGACCAATTTTCTTAGGCACTTTGCATATGTACGAAAATCACCAAGTTCGTCTGAGACGCTGAGAATCGGCTCCAACAGCTTATCTGAACCAGCTTTGGAGACCATGATGCGCCATCGGGGAGTCTCTCAATTGAATGGTACATATATCAGCATGTTTTCTGAGGGTAAAAGTGACTTCATTGTGATCTTCTAGATACTGAACATTGCTCTGTCGGTTTCTCTTGGTTTCTCTTCGATACACTCTTGTACTTTTCTTCCATAAGGATCCACCTCAGCAGATATTATCTCGATTTGACTTGACGGTGCCAGTCCTCTAGGCCACCACATGCATATCCCTTGCCAAGTTTCTTACATGCAAAGAAAACCGTCCGGGAGTTAAGAAGCAGCAAGAAGAGGTTTGAAGACTCCTGCAACAAGCAGCCAGTATAAACAATACGTCGAGCAATGCTAGATATATATATGTTGATCCATCACTTTAAACATTCACTACTTCGGAAACATCTTCTTGGAAGATGTTCATTCACTACATCCGCCACGGAGGCAAACAGGCAGACACAAAATATATGTTTCTGAATTCCTATAGTCATCCGCTCGTGAGAGCGGAGATTCACTATAGATCGTTCCACTCATGATTAGACCAACTAGCTTGAAATACTGATAGGTGAATGAGACTAAGAGCCAATTCCGATAAATTTGAGGCTTTGAAGATAATTAGCCATCGGAAATTTGTGCTTCGACACGAATACTTTCTATCACGTCAATAGAGCTTTGTTGATTTTTCCGCTTCCCTCCCAATTCATCAAAATCTTTAGCACATTCAGTTCGTAGTCAATAATGGCGAGAGCGGCTGCAAGATTTTCTTCAGCATCGTATTAAAACGATTATTGATCAATCGGAATTTCTACAGCTGAGTTCTCCTGCAACATCACCAGCCTTCGCTTGCTCTGGACGGTGAAGTTTGCCGCATTTCCTAAGCTCGAGACAATGATTGATAGCATCTTTTTTCCAGCAATTCGTCGGCATACTCAACTGTGATTTTAGGAGTTCAATTCTGATGGTTCGTTAAGATTTGTTGATCTTTGCATAATAATATCATTCACACGGGACTTGCGCATGAACATGAATAGAAGCCCTTCTATTTGAACGTCGAGACAGGTTGAGATTTGAAGAGTATCAAGGACATAATCATGAAGCATATGAAATTTTCATCGGCTTTTCGTGAGAACCAAGGACCTGGGACGGCTTCAACATTGATTAATCTATGGTCCATGATAAGGTTAAAACAAAAGCGAAATCTCAACGATCTTGTTGCTGGTTGACCAATGGCGAAGGAATCAGCGAATTTGAGCTCGGCATCTCTTCAGATTTCAGAAGCTCTACATATACCGGCATCTTTTGGCCATGTAAGTATCGAAAGATTGCCCCGTAACCGATCCGCAGGAGCTGAAAGCACTTTCGGTTATATGAGCATCATACAGAGCAGAAGGGTGAAGCTCGTAAAGACAATAAGATATCACTCTTAACTATAGTGTGCTATCAACTTCAAAATCACAGATGATCCACTCTTTAAAATTCTCTCGTTTGCGCCGTCAATTTTCTCTATCAAAAGAAAACACCGACGAGCTCCAGCAAGGGAAGCGATTAACACTTCGACTTCAAATCTCGTTATAGCCTCGCTGGAGACGATGAAAAAAAATCAAACAGTTCATTAGTGCCTATATACTAGTACTACTTCATCAATATCTCGCGACGCGCCCTCTACATACTAAATATCAAACTCAACTCCAACAGAAAACAAGCATAAAAGCATGGGAAACGATAGAGAAGCCAGAATATTCTGATCCAACTAAATAACACTAGCCTTACTACGATTCTTACTACTTCCGAGCCTTGCAGATTTTCTGGTAAGATCCCGCGCCATTCATGATCAGTTGCAAGAGGGTAGCTAGCTTTGGAGAAGGATCGATAATATTCATCTGGATAGAATGAAAAGAACTATCTTACATGTGGACCACGGCGGTGCAAGAGATATAAATACTTGATACTTCTTGCTTTTCATTTGAAGGTAGAAAAGGTATGAGTAAGATTGTCATCTCATCTCAGAGATTCGTACTCCTGGTATTAATTCGGATCCAGTTCGAGCCGACAGATGGATATTAGAACTAAAAGATTTGTATAGATCTAGATTTGTTGACCATCGGTGATATTAACTACCTACCTATCTAGCTTCTACCTACCTACCTACCTACCTCATGGAGATAATATTCTGTTTGAGAGTTATAATATACTCGGTACGGAGTATAAATTTATCCGCTCGGGCTTTTGACATGCTAATGGTTACCTACCTGAGTGATAAGAGTAGGAATCTTTTGAGATTACACGGGGTAAGGTTACGGGGTTCGGTTGCGCAAAATGCTCGTTTGGAGTATATTATTTCATGATTGGAAAAGTAAGATTTTGTATATAATACAGGGTAGCGAGAACAGGAAGGAAAGAAGATCTTTCTGTGAAAATCTTACTGCACTTACTATGTAGAATACGAGGAATCAATTCCTATTACCATATCGAAAACCCAATTCAGCATCTCATCTACAATTCTAATTCTAACTCTCCAATTAATCCCTACTATAACTCGGCTCCCGAAGATAACCTCCCTCGTTCCCTGTCTATACTAGTAACCTTACTTACCTAGATATCTAACAAACTTCAAGTACGAAACGACGAAAATATCTTGCAACAGCACAGCAAGTATCAATCTGACAATGAGTATATATGAGGAAAAGTAATGATAAGATTCTAAGAAAGATAATTAGTAGGACCTTAGTTTGTCACTATCAATACCTAGATAGTGAGTGATACTCAAGTATCTATCTGCCAAGGAATTGGCGATGAAGTTTTAGAGGCTTGGGGAAAGCTTGACTTGACGTCTTTAGTGGCCGAGGGAAGGGAAGGGGATTCTGAATGAGGTAAATCGAATCTTATTGATGATTATAATGATATAATATGATATGATATGATATGATATGTTGGGGATATGGATATCTAGTGCAGGGTATTGATTGATATCCAGACTAGACGAGCGCAAGCAGAAGTATTGATGAAGTCATAAATGCCATGTCTAGTACTCCGTACAAGATGATGATGTCAAAACTCTTCAAAGAAGGAATCGAGAATGCAATGTATACCTGAAGAATAATGAATAGCCTAAATATTTACCTTTCTACGTCTATTTTCCTGTTCTCTCCTGCCAGGATCAGACCATCCTTAGGATTTGCGTTAATTATTTATCTCCGCTCGTAGTCCATATCATACTTATGCATGCGGACCAATTACAAGACTAATAAATATATTATCCACAGCCATCCATATCCATGCCCTTGTCACATCACCACGGCAACCCGGGGACGCAAAAAGCTTGAATTAATCCAAGGAACCAAGCCATCTCAGAGCCAAGATAAGGAAACGTGGAGATGAACTTGACGGTGTTAATCCACAGTCTATCGATTAGAACATGAAACTATTGAAGCTATCCATTCATTCATTCATTCATTCATTCATTCACACATTCAAAGAAAAAGAATTGTACTGTATCGTGTTGTATTTTGTTTGTATTGTTTTATTGTATTGATTAGAGAAATTAATTATTCTCCCCAGTATCAGCATGTATTGTAATTGCCATCATAATATAATCATAAAACCCATCCATATATTTCATTCGAATCTCAATATTGCAGAGTTCGAATCAAATCCCATCCTTCCCTCATTTAAGTTTCCCATTCACGCCGTGTTATTCATGCTAGCTAGGTAGCTACTGTTTTTAACAGCATGATTCTCCGCATCCGCATCCACAGCATTCACATCCGGCGGATTCACCTCCACGGAGGTTGGTCTCGGTACCCATGGCTGCAACTGGCTTCTGTAGAAGAGGGAATTAGTATACTGTGTGTGGGTTGTGAGATAGTGTTGGGGAGGGAGATTTCGTACAGGTTGTTGCATCTCGATACCGGCGTTCTCGGAGCTCATTGGAGCTTCGGATTGGATTTGTTGTTCGACGACTGGTTGTTCGAAAGGCATTTTGATGGATGTCTATTTGAGGGATGGTATGTTAATAACGAGATCAAGTCAAGTCAGATATAAGTATACTGACTTTTTGCGGTGGTTTTGGCTAGAGATAAGAGTTCTTTTGGTTGAAAGTGTAAAGTGTGTTAAGTGTTAAGTCTTGAATATGGATAAGAAGAAGCTCAGAGGGGGGATTTTCTCGCCTTTTTGAATCCTCTCAGATGAAGCAAACAGTTGCTATTCATGGACCGTGCAGAAATCCATTGGTTTCTATGACGTGAAAGTGCATAGTGGAGACGACTTCTGGATATTTTGTTGGCAAAGCAGAACAAGGTTCCAAACCGGGTGGGCTCGTATGAAAAGAATATTAGCCAACCATCACTCGATGAAGAACCGGTGAATACTAATAACCGATTCAGCCACGTATATCTGCAACAAAATCATCCCAATCCGTCGTAAATCAACCCATCCAGACTCTAGAGTTCCATTCGACTCTCATGTACCTACTTGTTTGGTACCTGCGTGGTATGTTCCGCGCGCTTCGTCTGTACGAAGTACAGTTCATCACACACCACATGTAAGTCTCACAACCGACAGATCAGCCAACTTTTGCTTGTGTGTTTCACCAAAAAAATAAGAAAATCTTCTATTCCCTGCAAACGGGGCTGGCGATACCGAGTAGTGTTTACCAGGTTTTTCAATTGTTTGGCTGGCTGGCTGGCTGGTTGGAAGACCCAGTTTGTTTTTTTGTGCCTTTCATAAGCTTCATGCATTATCTACTACGCCACAAGTTATTAGCAGGGACCAATAAGTGGAAGTGGAACCTCATATTTTGGCGAATCTTAGAATCTCAGAATCTCAGAATCTCACAATCCCACACCACCTGAGGTCGTGTTCATCGTTTTCGTGAGGCTACAGAGTACATTCCTGCCATCTCGATCATGGAGTGATGTTACACAACGTGACATTTCAATCCTTTGTTAAATCGCGCAAATCCTAATGGTGAGCATCGAGCAGTCATCTTCCTTCACATCTATCAAACTCAGCTCTTCTGGGGTTTGGATGCATTCGGGATCTCCGAGTATGGGGAAATCCCGGAGAAGGGAGTCTCGTAATCCTCTTCCTTGCGATGGATGTTTTGAATAGAATAAAGTTTGGAAGAGGTTCGGGAACGGACTTCATATTTCATGAATTTTTCCCGAGACGTACTATGGCCACTACAACAGTTCTGCTGTAAATTTCAGAGGAATAAACAGGCTGAATTGGAGTGACGTTTAAAAGCAACGAGTATGATATTAAGTTTATGTTGGTAAAATACATCTATCTAAGAGTCACGTCTGCTAAGATGTCAAAGATCTAATCGCAAACCCTCTCCATCAACGATGACTAGCAACCACTACAATCACAACCACCACAATCAGCACCACAATTATTTCCGCTACCAGCACCAAACTGACTATGGCAAGGGCAACATGAGGCACAGCAACAAATCTCCAAACAAATATCTCCTTCGCTTTCTCCGGTTTTGGAATTGGTACTCATCTTTGGGATCGAAACCTACGGAATGCCATTTATTAGTGTGTTGATATTATGAGAAGAGAAAGCTTCATATGATTGATACTCACGGGTTCTCGAGTGACTGTTTCTATTGTTTCCTGAGATTCCCTGGTCATGGCTTCATTTTGGGATGGTTGTCGGTTAATGGTTAATGGTATTCATCTTGACGACTCCAGTTTTTGAAGTCGTTAAACTCTCTCCCTTCTTTTGCTTTAGGAGCAGTTAGTGCAGCTGATCTTTGCATGTAGAGAAACGCTGTTATGACATACCGTCTGTGGACTAAGGAAGTTTTCCGTCTCGATGGTATGATCTATGTAAGGGTTTTGGATGGAATCTCGAAGATGGAAGTTATTCCCGTACTGTGATTTCGAGTTGTTGAAATGCGTTGTTGGTTGTGTCTATTCTATGGTTTTGCGAGCAGCAAAGATACAGGTACTTGTATCGTGAAGCTATTTCACTTTCGTGTCATTTCATTTTTAATTTCAGTCGTAAAAGAAAAAAAGGTTTCCTGTCAAGAAGAGAAAGGAAGCTTCCTAAAGTACAAGCCAACGCCGCCGTCTCTACAATAATCGAGTAGCAACCTTTCATTCCGTCTAATTATAGTACTTTTCAATACTCAGTCATAGTCTAGTCATCGACCGGTCATTCTGTAAAGTCAGAGTACGTGGTATATTCACCTTGAAGCACTTACTCAATAATCTGAGTCGACTGATACTAGGATAAAGCCCAAGGGAGAATCACTGAAATATCGTTAAGACTCATAACCAATCCTCTAAAAAGCACACTTACAAGATTTTGGTTTTATAGCTCTAAAGCCATGGAGGAGTTGTTACCAAAAATGTGCCGAGGACTTTATCAATTCAATTTTCGGCCTCTTATTCCATTCCTATAAAACTCACAACTTGTTCATATTATCGCCGCTCAGTCCCTCCGTTGCAAAACTCTATCAAACTTCAGACTCGGAATAAACATCATAGTTCAACTACCCTCTTGCTCCTCAATCTATGGCCATATCTACAGCCATAACCCGAATTAAACCTCAACCGAGCAAACTCTTTCTCAATCGTTCAAATACCTCAAAAGACATCTTCTGCTCAGCCTGTGCGGCCTTACGTGTTTAATTGTGCGTTAAAATGAATGGTTATTTGAGCTTTCCTCGAGTACTTCACGGGTTATCGGTCCTTCAATGAGATGGTGTTTAATAATGGTTGTTGGGATTGATAAATGAATGGATGAGTGGGGGTTCGGATACCTTCATATTTCACTAATACCAAATATCAAAAATCAAATACCTAAATTGAAGTCAAGATCAAAGTAAGCCATACATAATTTATTTCGCATTTCTCAATTCACACCCATTTCACACAAAAGTTCATATAGTACCGGCTTTATATTCTGTTCTGTTCTGTTTAGTTCAATTCAATTCGTGTAACTTTCCATGTCCAAAATGACAATATATAGATATAAATCTAGTACCATCACGAAGGAAAGGGTCTAATGGATGCGTGGCAGCGTAGAATGAACAGCTTGGGCCGATTAGAGTACGAGCTCCTATGGTGATCAGACAGTTGTCGAGAAATACGCAATTGAAGTTGATGTAAACTCCTGGATTTTACACCACATGAGAACACCAAAACCATTACCCCGCTTCTTCCTAATAACATATACCATATCATATACCTTCTCTTATCCCTCCAAATAAAAAATAACCAATATAAAGTACCTAGTAAATTAAAAAAACAAACCCAAAAACTATTAATGAATCCCACCCCACCCCCACCCCCAAAAACTCCTCATACCAACTAGTATTATATTTCCCCTCTCGAAACCATATATCATATACCCTTTTATCCGCATATTATCCCAAAGATCCTCCAAAAGAAATCCTCATATCCCGTACCCCTATATATCCTTTAGTATCCCTCGAATTCCAATCACTCCCTAGTAATTACCTAAGTAGGGTCGTAAATATCTAAACAGCACCCTGTGTACCCGACATACCACCGGTAGCACCAGTGGTCGGATGCGTAACCGGAGATGCTGGATTAGCACCAGCACCAGCACCAGTACCAGTACCATACCCCGTCTGCCCGTACCCCGTCTGCCCAGCACCTGTTTGACCCGTATACCCCGTGCCCGTTTGACCAGTATACCCCGTGTGCCCCTGGCCCTGCCCCTGATTCTGCATCTCCATATCCCCAGCATTTTTCTGTGTTGCTGCACCTGCACCTGCGCCTACGCCTGCACCAGCAGCTGCAGCCCTGGCCCCGTGGTGATGTCTATCCCGATGATTGAGGATGCGGGCTAGGGTGTAGAAGAAACTTATTACGAAGAGGGCGCTATATACCAATTTATTAGTGAATGATAAAGGATTTCTCACTCATTTCTCATGGAGAGATAGAAAGCGGGATGTGAGATTCTTTAATGAAAGAGAGAAAAAGGGGGAAAACTTAAAAAGAGGAAGAAAGAAAAAAGAAGAAAAAACTCACAATTCCACCGCCGCCAAAACCGCAACAGCAATAAAAACTGATCTCCAAGTCCTCCAATACGTATCTCTCTTCTGTAATCCTCCCCCACTCAACTCATCTCTAACCTCCAATTCCAACAAATCCCTCCTACAAAAAAACCATCCGCACCCATAATACCCAAAACGGAATCTATATCTACGAATTTGCACCGCGGCCGTGATCCAAGTAGCTAACCAAAGAATAATAAGAAGAAGATCCAGGAGTGCGATTGCCCAGTTATTGAAGATGTTTGTGAGGCGGTGCGAAGAGAGGAGTGTGTAGAGGAGGATGAGGGTTGTTAGGCTTGCCTGGTTTTGGGTTGGGTTGTGTTGGTTAGTGGGTTTGGATTATGGGAATGGAAGAGATAAAATGAAAAAAAGGGGAATTCGCAGGAAGACATACGACAAAAATCGCCAATATAGCACCTGAGTACGCGGCATTTGCGACGACAAAAGCAGCCATTCCTAATATTGCTAATGCGATGATAAGTTGGAGGAGTCGGAGTAAAGTGGCTCCTATACTTGGTTTTACGCCATGGTCTGCGTGGATATCTTCTGTGCCGTTGCGTGTGGTAGCCATTGTTAATATTGGATACAAAATCAGATGAGATTTCGTTTTACGAAAGAGGGGAGATGTAATTGGTGATGGGTGAGGGGTGATTGGGATGAATTGATGGATAGAGTAGATATATAAACTGATAAGATAGGTGGAAGAATTGGGAATTAGAACCTTTTTGAGAATTTGAAGAATGTAGATTGATTGATGCGTGCAAGTGAGACATATGAAATAGGGATGAAGAATGGATGAAAGGGGCGTTTTCGCTAGGAATAGGCGAGTGGCGATGTTTTCGGAATAAAGAATGGGAAGTTCATACATCATTACCTTTGAAAAACTGCTTGCAAGTTATATTTATGTCGTCATGAATGAAATCGGTTGAGTCTGGATTTAACGTGTAATGTTTGCGTTTTGATCGGAGTTCCAGATGTAAATGTTGCATATGAGTGTAAACTTTGATGAATTTTCTCAATTTATCGCATTCGTCATCTGATGAGATATTCAACGATTGGGTAATTGTCGCATCACGAGCTGAGTACTCGCTCAGTTAATGTGGTTCACTCAAACCATCTTAGCTGTCCCACCAAATAGTTAAAAACACCACCCATACCCCCTGCCAAGTGCTTCTCACTTACAGAAGTATTTGCAGGACTGCTCATATAAGATTGAAAAAGGAACTTAAGAGTCAACATTTCACTCATCGTCCAAATGTGACAGATACACCAAAACTACATCCAGTCAAATCGTTAATTTCCATCTTGCGCCATAATCTCATCCACGACCTCCCAAAAGCTATCAACATCCATCACAGCTCCAAACTGATAACATCGTGATAGACTGCCCAATCCTTTCTTTATATTATTTATGTTCCTTGGTTCAACAAGCTTTCCAATTTCATCATGATATTTCTCCGCTATCATGAACCATGCCTGAACAGGAGTAATCTCAAAGTCAGAAGTAGGTAGGGATTGAGACATAGCATATAGCTGAGCTAAAGAAACAGATGACGAAAACCATGAAGATTCGGGACTAGGGTCATTGGATGCTCTAAATGGTGCTTGAGAGAAGATTTGAGTCGAAGCCATGAGTTCATGACCGGAAGGGCTACCGTTGGGGTCAAAAGCAGGGGCGGGATTTGGAATATGGTGAAAATGGGTACGGCAAGGGTGCTCGAGACTATGAGGTTGGAATCAACATACACTCTGCGTTCAAAGGAGAATGACTTACGCAAGAATGAAGTTCATCGCTACAATTGATAAATCAGGTAATGGCTTCCTGATGGTATTTTGAGGTGCCGGAACTTGTCCAGGAAGTGGTGGTAGAGGTTTGGATAAATTAATTGCCCCGAATGTCCCGAAAGAACTGTTGGATGACTCGCTGATTTGAAGACAAGAAGCGTTTATAAACTCATCAAATTGAATACTGACATGTGAGCCAGTCGCAGTATTCGAGTAGGGGACATCTTGGTTCTTGGAAAAGTAGCTTGTGACGGGAGTATTGTCTTGAGGAGTAAGCATATCAGTGATATAGCTGGAAAGTCTATCATTCTCGGTCTCATAGTTGACAGGTGTTATAGTGGGTTTCTTCTTTTGTGTTGAATCAGTAATGGTAAGATTACTACTATGTGAATCATATTCCTGTGGCGGTAGAAAAATGGTAGGTTTGTTTTCAGGTAATTTTTGATTTTTCGACCGTATATTCGAAAGGTACTTCACGCCTGAAGCTGATAAAGTAGATTTTATGGCCCCATTTTCTTTCATCAAGGCCGAACTTTCATTTTCTGTTGCAGCAATGATTTCACGAAGACGTATTAAATCTTCTTCAAGATGCTTGACGTAGTTCTGTTTCCGTTGTCGATGTTCTCTGAAGAGGAATTAGTACTAGTAAGAGTATCATGTCAAGAGAAGAATCAACATTTGTGCTCTTCGGACTTGAGCTCTTCTAAGTTGTTTTTGAGCTGTCACCGATTTTCTTTCGCCATCATCATCTTTGGCTATCATCCTGTATTAGTGTTGGGTAAAAGGAGATATCGAGCAGCTAGTCCGGTGTTTCCCCTAGAAGGAGAATGAATGTATGATTGCGCAATTGTTAAAGACGAAGGATATGTGTAGAGATGTATAGATATATACACGGGAGAAGAAAGATATTAGAACATAGAACTAAGAGAAGAATCAATTAACTTACTAGTCTTTGGTTTCGTGACATTTGGCATAAATTTTATCTTTTTGGACGAGATCCTACCTATAGAACGATGCCAGAACGATGCAAAGGTTGCATCTTGAGATTCATCAGTCATGATTAGAGTCTGTAGGAGTGATTCGCGTCAGTTGATTCCAGATCTATCGTGTTTTTGTGATTCTCATTCAATGTCCGGTGTCAAGTCTTCAATGTGATACGAGGCTGAATTCCGCCAGGCCAACTGCTATTGAACGGGTTTAGTATGTCAGTGGAGGGGCTGAAAGTTGGTATATATTTGCTCCAACTGATCTGGCCGGGCTGCCAACGAAAACATGAAGAGAGTAATGGTCTATTGTATCTTTTGTTGATAAATCTTGACATGATCATCTTGGCTCTTAATTACTAATTATTGAACACAAAAATGTACGGAGTGTGTATGTCAGATGCAGGTTGCGGAATACAAAGTACTTGATCGAGCTTAGTGCGGGGCTTGTTTGTGTGTGTGATCACGTGATGTTTCCTGAACTATCTATTAAACTCGAGCTCTCTGTCTGTCTTTGTCTTCTGTTCTAAATCTACAATATCTTTGATTTTATATCAGACTTGTGATGACTGGTTCGCTGTTTTTCAAAATCTATTGCCAGATAACTTGTCGCCTTCACCAAACATCTTCATGCAGTCATTTCTGCCCCACTCGGTCAACCTGACAACACCTACGACTTCTTTTGACTTGCATGGTGAGTGTTCCTTGAGGTCTCACCTACCAGTTGTCTACATCTCATTTGCCTAATCGTTGCCCAATGTATATAATGTGTTTATCCATTAATAAATTGGGCTGGCCATGTCGAATCTTTTGAAACAATCAGGAATAAAGAACAGTCATCATTCGATATATACGGATCATTCGGTTCATCACTTATCGGCTTGATTGGATAAATCAATGCATCTTGTTATGCACCTCGCCGGATGATTGCACGGTGATAGCACTTCGCGACCAATGATATGTTATGTGATGAACTGTTGCTTGAAGTTTCAAAATGGCTGAAATACTTAATTCCTATTGGTTGATTTTCCATCCTCAAACATCAGCGCTTATCTATCGCAGAAAAGCATGCACCCTTTCCATATCAGCTTGGTGGTGCATGAAAAGATGTTTTTTTAAGGCAAGCACGTGGCCAAGCACAAATGTGGGAGAGAAAAGAAAAGGTGCCATGTTGTTTCTGCTTTTCTCCTCTTTTGCATTTACAAACAATTAATCGCGTTGTTGAAGCAACCACCTTTTTTCCGTTTATGAAAATGATTATGGCTATTCTTCATTCTTCATTACACCATATTTCAGTGGTGACCTAAACAAATCGAAGATACCATTTCTCCTCCTTACTCGGTGAAGAATTCTATGAGGCTCAATTATTTTTCGTGTTATCGTACAATTGTTTGTGTCACCGTCTCATTGACGAGCCTCTAACATCACCACATCACCACATCGTATGCTTAAATCACAACTTACATTTTAATTTTCTCTCCACTTTGGACTTATTTTTGTCATATCGTCTCCTGTTGATCTATTTTCAATACTTTCTCAGCGTACAGACCTCAAATATGAGTGCGTCACGTCGCATGCCCAAATTTGAACAGGCAGGAAAGTTCACGGGCGAAAATCAATCAGCTTCGAGATGGCTCCGGAGGATTAAACTCGATCTTGCTGCCAACAACCCCGATACTATCTCAAATTCCATGTATTTATGGGCTATTGATGTTTTGCTGGAAGGACCTGCAGCACATTGGTGTGATTCTGTCCCTAAGATCAAAGATATCTTGGAGAATTACGACACGGCGACCATGTCCGAGGTCAAATGGTTGGAGGGTGAGCTGATAAAGCAATTTCCTGGGAATTTCGTCCCCCCACCTGTGGACCGCGTGATTAGGAGTCGTTCACATAGTCTAGAGGCAAGTTCCGACTCAGGCAGCACTGCAACAAGGCTAGGAAAGATGTATATTGGGGAGAACCCCAAACCTTGGAATCAAAGGCGAGAAGCACCACAAGTTTCTGAAGTGCAACAGAGAAATCGGTACCATGACGATGGACAATATAAACGTGGGTCACGACAAAACCCGGCCGAAGGAAATGTCATTGATGAATACAAATTCAATGACAAACCAACGACTGCATCGAGGTCTCCAAAATACCACAATCAGCAGTACCACAGCTCTACAGCGTCTCGCCAAACACCGCAAATTTCTAGGAGTTACAGTACTAATCGAGCCCAACTACCCACATCTCCAAAAAGCATCCTGAAAAGCAACACAAGCTATCACCGGCAGCCAATTACCCGTTCTTACAGCAGCCAAGACCACCCAAACGTCCGCTACTCAAGAGCTAGAAGTCCACCTCTCATTCAAAATAATCATGACACGGACCAATATCGAAGGCCTGGAACTCAACCGCCCCAACAATTACCACATGCGCATCATCCAACTGGTCCATCTCGCCCTCCTGTGTCGAGGTCAATATCCCATAGTTCAAGAACTCCTTATCAGGGAGTCACAATAATACCATCGAAGTCTCCAAAAAGGAGTTGGTCCTATGTGCCATCTAGCTCTTCTCGGTCCACTCGCTATCCAGTCCAAAAGTCACCTAATCATGAACGGGATCCATTACCGAATCCAAAAAGATCAGAACCGACGTCTAGTTCTTGGAAACCATCCAATACGGCCATTGCTACAATTGAGCATCGTCGCCAAGCATCAACTCTGTCTCCTCGGAAGCCGGAACTCGAACGCAGAACCACATATCCGAAAACGGGGGGAGAATGGCGATGATTTCGATGATGAGGCTGAACATCTTAAGTGGCCTGTGTCACTCGAATGAAGGCGTTCATTACATACTTCCATTTTCAGGTGTATGATAGCAATGTTCATATTCACTTCACTGTCCTAGTCGAATCCGAGGGAATGCATGATTATAATTCGTCATTCATGCTAACTAAAGTATCGAAAGAGACACCGCCGCACGACACTTGTGGTTGAAGGATGGGCCACAGGCGTACGTGGTGTAGATGAGAAAAGCATGGATGGGATGCTGCGTATGGTAATATTCCGTTAGTATTATCCTTCTTTCCCCTCGCTACTTCCAATAACCCAGTACCAGAGCCGTAATATTCAACAATTACTTCAACCATTTTACTCCTCAAATCTAAGATTTTTTCATACACCCTAGCATAATATACAGGTGACGATATACATCAACGCGCATCCATCTTCGTCGTTCATCAGAACATGTTTTTCTCCAGTGCGTGAAGAAATTAGGGAGGTATTTCGAAAAGCATTGCAAGTGGTCTTTGCAGCCGGAACTGCATTTGCTGGGTTGGAGTTCTAGCCTTTTTTATTTCTGGGGAAGGAATTTATATTGTAGAGTAAGCTAGAAATTTAATTTAGATTCATAATTAGATATTAGTGTCATGAGTCAAACGAAGAAGGGGGTGAAATCTGGCACTGTTATTGCTTCCAGAACGAGAAATACAACCACAGATGTTGAATTGATATCTGCAGAATTTTCATGTATATAGAGTTATACATATATCTAATAATAATAATCGATCACCTATCATAAATAACAACTTCTCATTCAAAAAAAAAAAAGATATTCGAGTATGCTAGTTACCTAATCAAAATCTCCTTTCCAGGAGTTGTGCTTGCTCTTGGGATCAAATATTCCATATTAACGTTAACAATCATCATCATCAAGCTCAAGCTCAAGCTCAAAACTTCCTCCTTCCTTCCTTCCTGTACTGTATGAACCAACTCCTCATTTCTTATCATACCACCAGCACCACCACCACCACCAATATTGTTGTCAGAAATGACCCGATTATGATTATGATTTTGTGATTTTGTGATTTATCTACCTAGGTATCTTGTGTTTTTCTCTACTGAATGATCGTCACATCAGAATATTAAAAAGACCGGCCAAATAGGTACTAGATCATAGACACTAACTAGTACCAAAGCAGGAAAATGTTATATAGATAGGTAGGTAGGTACCAGGTATAAATTTATATGTCGGGTATACTCATACAATTCATGAAAAAAATTCAAAAATGCAGCGCAGCAGCAACAACAACATATACAAGGTATCTCAAACATCAACAATCGACCCATACCATCCCATCCCATCACATCACATCACAGCCTTCTAGTTAGCAGCTAATATCTCCGCTGCTCCTTGGGATGGTAAATCCTGAATATGTTCATCGTGTTTCGTATGGATTTCTGCTTCTTTTCTTCTTCTTTCCTCGTGCTCGTGAGCCTTGTAGCTTGCGTATCTTAGGCTTGTTAGGACCATGAATGCCATGAATAATATTCCCATTACTGATCTTCGTGTGAGGACCCATCGAAGCCCTTCTATTTCGGATTTCGCGTCGCTGTTTAGCATGACAGTGATTTTGTAGTTTAGTTCTTGGATCTGTGGTTTTGTTAGTCATTGTGAAGGTGAGAATAAAGGGTGCATACTCCAGTTTCCATTGTACGTTGTTCTTGTCGTACAGTCATTTTACGATCGTCGAACATTCCTTTCAAATCATCTTTGAGGATGAGTAGCTCTTGAGTAAGCTTTTGATTCAATATGTCAACTTCATGTTGCAGCAATGTCCGTTCCCGGCGCATCTTCTCCTCGTTTGCTTTACGATTATTCTGTATTTCGGCTTTCAATTCTGAGCATGCAGCGCGGAATAGGTAGGTTTCCTAGGGATTAAGGGTCAGTAAATATGTGACAATAGACAAATATTTTACTAACGTTTTCTACATCGCTCTTGCTAACTAAACCCTCTTTCGCAACATCCAAGTTAAGCGCCAACAATTCTCTCACTGCTTTCATAGAAGTAATGCTCTGATCTTTTGTAAACCCCCCTTGCTGAACCTGCTGAACTAAAGCATATGTGTCGAAATGATGAACATAAGGTGGTGTCTGTAAATGTGGTGGTTTTAATGAATTTTGAACTTCGGCAGACTCAGGTGGTGGCATATGTAATACCGTTTCCAGCGGTGCCATCTTCCCAGTATTCACAGCAGCTTGTTGACGGGGTGTCAATTGTTCTGGTCCTTGAGCGGTAGTAGATCTAGCCGTAACTCCAGGATCTCCAGCTGTTGTTGAAGCAGCTTGCGTTTCTTCTGATAATGGCGATGCAGATGAAGGGCCCCTTTCTGCGATTCCATCATTGTCTTTTGGTTTGCTGCTTTTCTGTGACTCCCTCCCCACTTTCGCGCCCTTCGTATTCTCCTCCTCTTCTTCCTCCTCGACTTCTTTCTCCGGTAAAAAAACTTTCACATTACTTTCATTCTCTCCCTCTTTCAGGAAAGGCTCTACGGCTTTTCCATGTCTTTGCACAAAGACATCCCTCCTACTCTGCGTTGTGCAAAATTGTCTCGGTCGTTGTGGGCGAGATGCTCGTCTGGATTGTATTCGTACTCTTGGAGTAATAGGTTCGCTAGCTCGAATTGCACGAAAGAGGGTGGGATAGAGGAAGGTCAAGCGTGTTGTGGACATACTTCATATTGGTTGATGTTAAGATTCATGGAGCTCCTACTCAACAGATTATATGAAGGCCGATGATTTCCCCGTTCCACGTGGAGAGATGGTACTGCCAGCCTTGCAGCAAGGCTGAAATTACCATGCACGGATCTTTCCAATTCTCATAAGGCTCCGTGGATCACAACTACTTAGCTATAAATAGATTCAACGGTGGTTTCTAGATCTATACATCTTTCTTGAACTCGGGAAAGTCAAATGCTCCATCGAAAGAAGTACGATCATGTCATTCCTCTTTTTGGTGACACTCCATCATTCCCGGTTTAATGCATGGCTTTGGCATTCAACATCTTTGCATTTTGCTTGGACTATGGTTCCGAAGATGGCCTCGATGATAGGTCCAATATATATCCAAGGTTTGATAGCTATGGTAAGTTGCATGTGTGGAGGTGCTTTTGAGACTATGGTCAACTGGCTGTATCACCACGCCATAGCATAATAAAACAATATCAATCAGGCTCGGGTTGCGTGCTAGTGTTTTCAATTGCTTCACCTCAATGAAAGAATAATTTCTACTGCAAGATGCTTGATCCTATTTCCGCTTTCAGTCTTGCGGCGTCTATCATAAAATTTGTGGATTTCACTTCAAAAATCACCTCTACTGCTGCAGAGCTACATCACTCCTCTAGCGGAGCCTTGGCCAACAACCTCGAGCTCTCCATGATTGTCTTGGATCTCAGTGATATCAGCAATGATTTGAAGGCACGAAACCCTCACCAAGAGAAGCATGGCTACAGCAAGGATGAGCTGGCGCTCATAAGCCTTGCCTCAAAATGTGAAGAATTATCAGGCAAGCTCTTGCACGACCTTGATGGCTTGAAAATCAAGGGATCACACACATTGTGGGCAAGCGCTCGTCAATCAATACGTAGCTTATGGAAGGAAACTTATATTTCTGATATGTCAAAATGGCTAGATGGTTTCGAAGTCAACTGCTGCTTAGACTTGTAGCTCTTTTGAAGTATGATTAACTCTTCACAATTAGATACACATCTGTCATTCTAGTGAAAGCTGACTTGTATCACGTTCAGTGACCGACATTCTGCGATGAGCGCCGCGTTCATCGAACTGCAACGCTGTCAGGGTCGTATGGAAACGAACACGGAACAGAGTTATTGGGCTTGAAAGACGACTTGCTCGCTATATCTCAAGATATTTGCAAACATCAACAAACCAATGATAGAGGATGATCTCAATTATCGAGAACTATTGAACAAGGAGGCACACCCTTTACCGAGCGTGCAATCCTTAAAACATTGAGATATGAGGGGATGGGACAAAGACAGTCTAATATTGTTGAGGCACACATTGGCACTTTCGAATGTATATTTAACCCTCACCTAACGGGATTCATTGATTAGCTCCGCGAAGGTGGTGACATATATTGGATCAATGGGAATGCTGGCTCTGGAAAATCTACGCTCATGAAGTATGTAGTGGGCCACGACGACGTCAAAAACGCCCTCACAGATTGGGCCGGCACTAAACCTCTTTTCACAGGCAATTACTATTTTTGGAGTGCTGGGAATGAAATGGAAAAATCTCAACAAGGACTTCTACGATCTCTTCTATACGATATTCTGGGAAACTGTCCTTCAGTATTGCCAAAACTGTTCCCAGACAGATGGGTGTCACCAAACCACGCAGGCATCAACATTGATGGCTCTTGGTCGCAAGCCGAGCTTCTAGACGCGTTCAACCAGCTCACAAAAAACCAAGTATGACATGGGAGATCCGTCATAAATTGCACGTCTCTTGAAATCATTTGCAGCATCTGCGGAGGTGAAAATTATCGTCTTGAGTCAGAAATCGAACGTTTTCTCACCCCCATCCCAGGCCAATCATTAAGTTTACAAGATTTCACCCGAGAAGATATTAAAGACTACATTCATGACCTGATAACTGAGGATCCTGGTTTCTCGAACACACAAATAGACGAGCGTTATGGTAACCTCATCGACGAAATATCCGACAAATCTGGAGGTGTTTTTCTCTGGGTGGCCCTCGCTGTCCGGGAGATACTGAAGGATTGACACATGAAGATGCAATTTCTGAACTCAAAGCTAGACTAGAAAATATACCACCAGGACTGAAAGAGTTCTTTGAACGGATATTGAATAGTATCGACGAGTTTACCGACCTCAAACCTCGCAAATCCTTCAGATGTGCCTAGCAGCTGAGACGAACCATTGCCTCTCCTTACTTTTTCCTTTCTGGGGGAAGAACAGAAAAATCCGAATTATGCAATTGCGGAAGAAATAAATCCATGGACCGCTGGTCATATGAGAAAGGAGCTTGAGACTTTGAAGGTACGAGTAAAGGCTCGCTGCCGTGATTTCCTGCAGATTTCTGAGACAGGGCTCTGGGGGCCCGACAATCCAGACGTCTCTTTCTTGCACAGAACGGTTAAAGATCTCTTTTTAGAGCCCAGAAACCAAGCGCTTTTGCGTGGTTGGATAAATTATCCGTAAAATCCTCGTTTGTCACTGTGCCGCTCATTCGTGATGCAAATGAAGGTCTTACCGGTCAACCATTTGCTCTTAACTTTTTAAACGCCGATAGGTTTCTGTTTAAAACAAGCTGCACGAACAGAAATTAGCTGTGATGCAGTGTTAGTGTCAGCACTGATTGAAGAGCTCGACCGAATAGCAACTTTTCGATCTTATCTATATAGAGAAGTTAGCTACTCATTGCTGTCGACAAGTGAAAAAGAGGGTCATTGGGAACGAGCTCAGCTTTGGCCTTAGCCGTTCGATGTGGCGCTCATGGTTATGTTCAGCAGAAACTTCTGAAAAGTCGAGCTATGGTGAACAGTCTCTATTGGGGCCGTCCCCTACTTCATTATGCTTTCTTTAGGGCATCAATATATGCTACGACTTCTGATTTATCGTCTCGTGCCGCAGATGATTTGATCTTGATGGTCCGGGTACTTCTAAAAGCCGGAGCTGACCTAAATTGGACTTATTGCCGGGAGCAGCTGGATGAAAATCTTGGAAATTATCCGAACACTATCTGGGCTACCTTTATACGTGTGTTTTTGTGGCCAGATTTTGTAACTCCTTCACCGTAGAAATACATCAGAGCCTCTAATGTTACCTGGAAAGGGGTGCTTAAATTGTTTCTTGAATATGGCGCCGATCCGTTAGCTACGATCGACGATGTTGAACTTAAAAACCACTATACTGTGTCTGAGTATCTTGAAATGTCGTTGCCTTATTCGTTAGAATTTTATAGTCTCATTCTTGAGTACAAGAGGAAGAATGAATCAAGGAATATATGGAACGATATTTTGAAGTGAAGATTAATTCCACCGAATACCTTCAGGTACATCCCTGGATTAGGGATAGAAGTAACCTTACTAAATCATGTTGTACTGAACATAATCATCATTGTTTTGGAAATTCTTCAAGGATTTTTTACTGGGAATTAGGGCCATGACAAGAGAACATACAGGTGGAAGGATGATCATGATTTTCGGACATCGTTTTGAGATCTGGGGGGGGGTTTTTTTTCAGATATTATTATTAGGATAGTTTAAATCATAGGAATATGAATGAAATTTGAATCAAAGGTTCACTGCATACCATAACTAATCAAAATCTAAATCTTTCTCCTCCTCATATTTTCATCCCTCTAAGTCTCTCTTCTCCTATTAATCTAATAACAGACCAATAATTTCATGATCAGCCGAATCTCTCCTCGTCTATTAATCTTATAATCCCTAGCACTCTAGATCTTACCCTAAAATAATTATCCCTTTCTCAATTGTAACCTCCTCGCTAAATCTATCGTCTACTATTAATCATCTAATACTTCTATTAATAAAAACTCATATCTTATAAATCCATCCATAAACTCAAAAATAAAAAAATATTAGAAAATCAAAGTCAAGCAAAGAGAACCCCTCAAAAAAAACCAAAAAAATGGCAAGCTAAAAATACATATATTATTAACCTGCGTTCTAAAATTCTCACTCCTCTAGTTATAGCTAATTATATGAAGAAACTTTTCACCGTTTTTGTTCTCGACTTATAAGTCTTATTTTTGGGCGCATTTTCTTGATTAAGTATTTTCTATCTACCTTCATTTTCAATTGGATATATTTCAAAAGCACCTCGTCAGTCTAAACTAAGTCATAAAAACCAAGTGATATGGTACTAGGTTCGCAGTTTTCTTTTGAATTAGAAGAGGGTGTAACCTTATCCTATGTAGTAGAACTATTGGGGCATCCATCATGTGGAGTTTTTATTGTCTTAGATTTTTTTTTAGGTGGAGCTGCTGGGGCAGGGAAAGGCAATGTGAAGAGACATGGGGATGGGATGGAGGGGAAATGGGCCCGATTGTTTGTTTATGGGGTTGATGGTCGGTGTGGAGGTGAATAGGATGGCTTGGGTTGTGATGGTGGGCAGATATGGTTGGATTGAGGTGTTGAAAATTTGATGATATGGGTGTCGTCACATAGAGATTTAGTATAGTATTTGGAAGAGGGATGTAGAGGCAAAAGAAAGAATCAAAACGCAAAGCAAAGAGGAGAATATATCTTAATAAATCCAACAAGTTTAGAATTATATAGACCAGTAAAGCTTCCTAGCTTCGCAAATGATATCTATAGTGAGGCACTGTAAGTACCTATAATACATACAGATTTTACCAAGAAGGTGACGTCATGGTAAAGGGGTTTTATAGTTTTTAATTAATCCGAGATGAATATTTAGATTTAAGAGTCATTTAAATAACAGAATAGAAGTTTAATGTTTGAAAGTATCTAGGTAGGATGAGTAGTTTATATAATTGAGATAAATAATGAGAGATTAACTATTTATTTAATTTCCAAAAAATCATTAATTAATACAATCAAAATTCAATATTTGAAAATGATCTACCCAAGGGAAAGATATCATTAAGAGGGGAGGTACAGATGCACTTTCATATTTCTTTATTTTTCTATTATAGTGATTTTGAGAGATAACCAATCAATTATAATATGAACTTGGGAGAAGTATCCAAGAACCCCTAAACCCGCTCTGTCTACCTAAACAATTCCTTTCACAAGATCTAGACTAAACCACATATCATTGGTCCAGACCAATCCTCCGGGAACAAACAAAAACAAAAGAACAAGACAAGAACAAGTTGTCATTTCCTGAAAATACCAGTCGAACAATGCGTTGTTTCCAATATAAATTCAAACCCAATAATAATCCAAGTTATTCTTTTTTCCTCATCCATCATCTGATCTCAAATCTTCTTACAACTTCAATCTTTGACTTCAACACCTGAAACCAAAGCTAGAAACCAGTAATTCGACATCCAGATCTTAAATCTAACCGCCACCAAGCAAATCATTCTCAAGATGGATTCCCAAAATATCCCACCCCCAAACTCATCCCCAAACTCATCCCCAAACCAATCCCCAAACCAATCCCCAAAATTATCCCCCAGAACCCTTAGCGCCAAGCTAAGTGAGATTCTCACGATGACTAACGCTTTCCAAGATGGTAACACTCGTAAGAGTGCCTCTTCGGAGACACCCGCGGAATCATCCCGACTATCATCTCCCCCAGCATCTTCCGTACCTGTGGATGATACGTGGACCACTCGAACCTACTTTTCATGTTCCCATGATGATTCTTGTATTCTCCTGGGCTGCGTTATGATCGAGGAATTTATCCAATCTCTCGAACAAGAAAGCCGAGACGAGACGGAAGTGGGGCTGATGGAGGGCGCGGTGTTTATATTTGAAAATGCAAGACGATATGCTGAGTTAACACTCTTAATTTACCTGAGTGAAGAGAGGAATGATATACGTCTTGAGGAGGTGATGAAGGAGATGAGGGAGGTGGAAGAAAAGCAAGAGGATGCGCTAAGGAAGTTTCAAGAGATCGGGGCAAGAAAGAATTCTGGGGGAGTATTTTACAGGAGAAATAGCATTTGATAGTAGGTTGATGCAGACTTTCCTTTGCAGCTTTTTCCTTTCTCCAATGGACGCTGGCACGTCTTGTCTTTCCTAAACAGTCGAAACGATCCGAATCAGAAATTGAACAAGAAAAACAACGATTGATTGTATGTTGATCCGAGATTTTCCTTTTTAGATTTCTTTTGCTTTCCGACAAATAAAGAAACCTTTTTCCTAAATAACAAACATGTTAAACAAAATTCTACCCATGCATAAACGTGACTGATGACTTACAATGCAATTCATATAATGTTGTAATGTTATTGTAAGTTGGGCATTTAATCTGAAGAATTATTGGTCAGTACTGTACTTAATTCAGGTACATCATTTCTTTCTCAGTTCTCTCAATGACTTCCTCCCTGACTCCCCCTTTCCTCTTCCCCTCCCCCATCCTCCTTCTTTTCCTCTTGACATTAATCCATCATTTCTACTTTGAATATTGTCCAAGGAATTCATTCCATGTTCGGGCATGGTGATACTCATTTCAGGCTGGGCAATCTTACCTTCATTGTTGGAGTCCCGTCTTTCAATACTGACACTACGCTTACGTTGTGACCTTGTTTCAGCCAATGCTGCCTGGCTAACTGCGCTTTTAGTGTAGATATCCACTGCACAACTAACTTCCACAAAGTCTTCCATTTCTTCACTGACTATCTTCAACTTTTCTTTAACAGATGCGATTCCTTCGTAGCCTACAATATGCCTCGCTGGGGGGTTTTCATGACCTCCAATTGCTGTTAAGGCATGAACGGTTTCCATAACCAATTTATCCTTTGATTCGCTAGGTAGAATAGGAAACACTGATTCAATTGAGGGTTTATGGTTTTGTGGATCTATTCGAGTATCTGGATGTGAGTTTAACACATGCGCCAAGATGTCCCTTATTTGAGGAGCTGGATTGTTTTGAGTTTCATATTGTGGTAACTGTGGGGCGAAAGTAATTTTGTTTGTTAGTAGTTGAATTTCTTTATTGGGTTGAACAATCGTTATTTTAATGTTGAATGGAGCGACCTCGTAGGTCAGGGCATCACAAAACCCTTCCAGAGCCCATGTCGCAGCACAATACATTGACATTCCAGGTGTTCCTATGTGACCTGTAATGCCAGTAAGAATGAGGATATGACCATCACGTTTTTTTCGAAGATGTGGTAAAGCGGATTTAATAAAGTTGACCTGATTGAAGTAAATGGTATCAAACTGATCACGGACGAGGCTCCGAGTCGCAGGATTCGTTGAAAGCTCCTCCACAGTTCCGACAACAGCTAGACTGACATCAATATCGAGTTTCCATCAAAATTTCAGCATCAAATACCTTCAGATGAGCAGCACATCAGAATATCTATACGTCCAAACAAACTAATAGCTTCTGCGATAGCTGCTAAGCATTGCGATTTGGCCCTGTCGGAGATTCAGTACAGAACCATCCCATCTTTTGGCAAGAGAATACTTAGTAACCTTCCGTCAACCTTGATTCCACGAATTCTATCTTTCCAGCCCTCACACTGCCTTTTGTTACTATTACAGTCATTGATGAGTTCCTTGAATTCTCGACATCGCTCATCATCTTCAATTTCTTTTGGCGGTAGACCAGCGGCTACATAATCACCATGCTTGAGAAGAAGTCTGATTAATCTGACACACAATGGGGATAATGCAGACGTCATGAACCACACACGAGGTGAATTATGTGTCGCTATCATATATTATTAGTAGAGAGCTCTGATGGTAGAGGATGATCGAAATACGTACGAAATGATGCAGCAGGTACTTTAAGAGGATTATTTGAAGGGCCAGCTTCCGAGTTCTTTCGTTCCATTGTGGAATGGTATATCACCGTCTTTATCTATAAAAAAGATACGAGGATTAAAAATTATTAATTACAAATTGAAGTTTGTTTTAAAGTGATGAGCTGCTAGACTGAGGTTTGAGGTGATGGAAGGTGCAGGATGATCACGATCACGTGATGACAGGGATAAAGATTAATTCGATATATAACTAAACATCCCACTTGACGAATCAGGAAATCTGGGGTAAAGTTACATAATTTCTTTCTTCTTGACTCACTCAAATGAAGTCTTCAGAAAACATCACAACTTTCAACATTCTTTCAACATTCACGATTGATTTGAAGTAGGTAGTAAATAATAGGTAAGCTATCTGCCATTTGGTTTCCTAGTTCCCCAGTTGAAGGGAATTATGTTGAGATGTTATCAAGCAATTGACAGCACAGTCTAAGTACAGAATGAATTGACATTGAAACATCATCATTACCATTAAACATTAACATTGACTATTTTATCTAGAATCATTTACCTGAAATCCTTTCCAAAGCCCCAAACTCTACATACAATCCTACTACCCTGCAAAGAATGCCTTCTCGTTCGGAAATCACATATTTTGGTGCAGGTCCTGCCCTCCTCCCAACCGATGTTCTAAAAACCTCAGCGGCAGCTCTTGTCGATTATAATGGCACAGGTCTCGGCTTGGCAGAACACTCACATCGTTCCGAAATTGCTGCGAATGTTCTGAATACTGCGAAAGCCGATTTAGCAAAATACCTGGAGATACCAAATGACTACGAGGTACTTTTTATGCAGGGTGGTGGCACTGGGGAGTTCTCGGCGACAGTATACAATATGGTTGGAATATGGGTTGAGAAGAGGAAGCAGAAGATCCTGAAGTCATTGGGCATTTCTTCTGATAAGGATATTCCCGAAGATGCTCTTGTGAAGGAGCTTCAAAAGGCTGTGGATGAAGAACTCAAGATTGATTATTTGGTTACTGGTTCATGGTCATTAAAAGCTAGCCAAGAAGCCGCTCGACTGGTTGGCTCAGAGCACGTCAACATTGTCGCAGATGCTAGAAAGATCAATGATGGTAAATTCGGAAAAATACCAGAGGAAAAGGATTGGAAACTTTCCAAGAATCCAGCCATGGTTTACTATTGCGACAATGAGACTGTCGATGGAGTCGAGTTCCCCGGTTTCCCAAAAGCTTTAGAGACAACCGGTGAAGATGATGAGCCAATCGTAGTGGCAGATATGTCCTCGAATATTTTATCGAGACGCATTCCCGTTAAAAACTTCTCCGTCATATTTTTTGGTGCTCAAAAGAACCTTGGTAGTACCGGAATCACCGTTGTAATTATCAAGAAGAGCCTCCTTCCTCCAGTCGTCGCAACTCCTGCCCCTACTCTATTGAGAAAGCTTGGTTTACCAATTGGCCCAATCGTATTCTCATACGAAACGATCGCCAAGAACAATAGTCTCTACAACACCCTAAGCATATTCGAGTAAGTCCACCTGATGCCTACACACCCACTAATACTAACCACCATGACTAGTGTCTACATTGCCGGACAAGTTCTCCAAAAGCTTCTCGCCACCTACCCCAACGGAATCGAAGGTCAAGAATCCATCTCTAACAAAAAATCCTCCCTCATTTACTCCGCGCTCGATGCCAACCCCAGCTCCTACAAAGTAGTCCCTGATGTATCCGCCCGCTCAAGAATGAACATTTGTTTCCGCGTCACAACCTCTGAAAACATCGCCGATGCAGAAAAAGCATTTTTGTCTGGAGCTGTCGAAAGAGGTCTTACGGGTCTTAAAGGTCATAGAAGTGTAGGAGGTATCCGTGCCAGTAATTATAATTCGATTTCATTAGAGGGCGCACAAAAGCTAGCGGAGTATATTAATGAATTTGCTAAGGCAAAGTAAGGGGTAGCGACATTTAAAGTGGATGATGGATTTATGATGGGAAAAGAAAATTGGTGATTCCATCTTACAATACGACTACTAAGTACCTAAGCACGATGAGATAGAAGATGCGTTTCAACATAAGTAGAAAATTTATATTTATCAGGCGAGCGGTTCAGTAAGGTTAAGGTTAAGAAATGAATAAAGGAATAACTAAATTATTTATAATGAAAAAGAAGTGTAACAGAAAGACAAGACGAGACAAGAGTTTAACACTCACTCACCACCTAATTAAACGTCAGTTAGCTTTTCAAAGAGGATACAAAGTGCAATTAAATTTTTTATCTATCATACATTTATACACTCATACACTCAACATTCAAATATGAAAATCACAGATTCTAGGAAACACAGCACAGTATGGATATCATAACTACTTTAAAAGAAAGCTACTTTAGAAACTTCTTGCTCTTAATTGGACAAAAAAGACAGAAGTTGCCCAATAAACCATGAAAATGAGTATTCCCATCCAGCAAAGCAACTCACAGACGCCTTTCCATTTCTTCCTATTTTCTTTTCTTCTATCATCTCCACAAGCATTCATACCACTTAAAAAGAAGGCTTCAACGAATTATTACATCTAACCGATGAAAGAACCATACAGACTCATTATCGACCACATGAAGAAGAGAAAGTCAACAATGATCCATGGTTTTTCTCATCTAGCAATGCTCCGACACATTGCCGATAATAAACACATTTACCGAACTCCGACTGTCTGTTTTTACGCCTGTAGATCTACAAGAAAAAGGCTAAAAGGCCACCAGCTATGGCTGCAAATCCCACCCCAACAGTAGCAGCACCGGCTGTGAGTTGAGTTGGTTTAGTGGCAGTAGTGGTGCCATTCGTCTTGCTGTCAGAACCAGAACCTGTACCTGTACCTGTGCTATTTGTCTTGCTTGAGCCAGTACCGGATGTCTTGTTAGATGAAGTTCCAAAGCCTGTGCCAGACTCAGTTTTAGGTGCTGAACATGGACACGAGCCAGAATTCGAACATGGACACGAGCCAGAATCCGAACATGGACACGAGCCAGAATCCGAACATGGACATGAGGCCGAGCCCGAGGCTGAACACAAACATGGACCCGATCCAGAACATGAACATGTGTTGGATGGTGAAGTTGTGCCATTGGTCTTGATTCCGCCTGAAGCTTTGCAAATTAGGTAATTGTTATTGCATAGATTGCTGGAGGTTCCTGGTGCTTTGTAGCAAGCGGCCTTGGCAACATAGCATGGATCCAACTTAGGCTTGGTGATAGTTTGGTCATATGAGGCGCAAGTATTATTTGGTGCAAGCGGGCATGTACTGTCAGTGCAAATGGATTGCAACTGGGCTCCTTGACTGGGAATAATAGTTGCAGGCGGCAAGCAACGATAACCGAATGATTGCCGAAGTGCATAGCCGATGATCATTAGATCCGAGGCAGAAACGCCAAAAGATGAGGCGGATAGTGCAACTTGTTCAATGAAGTAATTAACTTCAGCATCGGAGAGATCCATGAACCTATTGTATTGTTGTTAGAGATTGCGTTGGCTTATCACCGGAAGTAGGTTCGATTCACGAGAAGTACTATGAGGCATTTGGTTGACTTACTTGTGAACTTTATACTGAGAATCAGAACCAGAATACGCCGGAAATTCAGTGCCACCTTGCTTGGAGCATCCAAGTAGTACACCAAAGTACTGGTAGAGATGGGTCATGAGGAAACTATCGTGGTTAATTTCTTGCTGTATTTGTAATCTGGGGAGCTTACTATTGATTGCTCGACATGGAATCGGCAGCTTTGTTAGACGAAAGAGTAGCCAATCCACCACTATCGAGGAAGTCGACAGATATAGGCTTTCCTCCCCCGTTTGTAGAGAAAAAGCCACCGTCAAAATATGGTAATAAATTGACTTTGATACCATTGTAGGTACCAGTGTAGAGGATACCGGTGACATTGACACCAGGGCTAGGGGCTGCAAGGGATTGATGAGTGAAAACCACCGCAGAACTTTCAATGGAATACTTACCATGGTTACCAACAAGAGCAATGTTGACAATGCGCATTATCAACTGATGTTGAAAATCGGCAGTATTATTTATAAACAGAGCAGTGGTATAATAATCGCAAATACTAGTATCCGTGGGACGTTGAGCAGTAGCCGCACCAACAAGGGCAAGAGCCGCAACAGCAAGAGCTTTAAAATGCATGAAGAATGAATTTACTTCAAATTAAAACTTTGAGTGATAATTCTCGGATGATAATGCAGGAAGAATGAAGTTCCAATGTTACTAGAATGGGTGAAGCAGAAGGCAAATATGCAATAAAGCCAAATGATTTTGATGATGGATTGTTGATGTTCATGAGAAGAATGAGATGTGAAGAAGAGAAGATTATATAGATATGGGTGTAACTAAAGTAGGTAGGTGAAGGAGTGCAATTGCCGTAATGAGCTGCAATTGCACATTGGGAAGGAACGTTGCTGGATTGAGGAAGTGCCAACCACTGAGGAAAGAACAAGACGCCATCAAGGATACAAGGCAAATTGGCAGCAAGTTTGCTTTGAAGAAACTCGGTCAATTGATGCAACATATTACCTTCAATCCGAAGAAACTTCTTGTAGTCCTGATCAAAGACGAGAAAATGTGTTAAGATTACAAAAGAAGCTTTGATTTGAGTTTTTCAGTGGACGAATCATGCTCCTTATCTGAGCTGATATATGCACCTGATACATATAAGTGAAGTAAAGTAATCCCCGTGCTCAGGATAACTTGAAAAAAGTAGCAGATTTGACATGGCAATATGTTGGCATGAAGAATATTCCTTTTTTAGAAGAACGATACTTGTTGAAGATGGAAGCTTCGGAAGTGAAGTCGACGAGCCAGTTCATCACTCGCTTGAGGAATGATCCCCTTGATGATAGTTACCATAGCTACTCATCATGAACATGAGCTTTGACATTTGAAATATGCAGCAAAATTGTTTCCCGTGTCAAAGCCCATGATTGAATGGACATTTGCTTTATCGATGGAATATTCTGGGCCATGGCCGTGCACCATCTGGACCCCCATTCAGAGAGTATAGATGATCGACCGTTTCCAGGTTTCATCTCATCCAGTAAAGAGTGTAGGGCTGAGGGTCCAATTGATAAGTATCCATCGGGTAAGTAAATCCCTGGCATCCAAAAATAAATCGAACCCCTTTTCCTATCCATTCGGGGTTCACTTGTCCGCTGGAAGGTGTAGATTCTTTTAAGAGTGATAGATTGAAAATTGTAAAGAAACTAAAAGGTAGACGATATCCTTTCGAAGAAAATAGCATCTGAAGGACTAATCAAGTCTACTTGTCTTACTCAATTGCAGGCATAGATACTTTCGTAAGATTACCTCGAATGCTCGAAATCGCGAAATTGTGTAAGCGGTGTGTCTTGGTAAGTTTGAAGACTTCCGGTAAAATGCCATAGTGCCCCCCAGGCTTTAATCGTACAATTGGATGATTGGAAGCAGTGATCATTTGAATAATAAGTGAATGCTGTTCTCTGGGACGATGCGAATTGAAATCATCACGCGGAGTATGAACAGCCCCTTTTAAACAGAGCTCCATCTTGACGAGCACCAGGAATCCACGAAGATTTTGGTGGTAGCATGAACTTTGCAGAGATGGCTATTGTTACCATCGGCTCTTGTATTGAGACAGTCCGATACCGATACTTATCTGATTGACATGAATCTGAGTTACCAGTGTCCAGATATCAGAGATTTAACATGTTTGATGAGCTGTAGACCGACCGTCAAATATCTGGAATCAAGTAACCTCGGCAATGGCTATCACTCCGCAGTAACATATTCGTCATACAACGTAATCTCACAAAACAGCCTTTCATGTATTTGCTGCTCGATCCAGCTACACTGATCTAGACACAATGAGTGCTCTATACAGTCAATAGTGAACAGTCAAGCTTCTGTAAGGAGAAAGATCGACTTTCCGAACCCCAAGTTTCGTGCTCGCGGTAAAACAAATTGCGCAAAAGATTCAGATCTTATCGCCTGACGTGCGTTTTGTACTCATTAAAGTATGGCAAAGTCTCAGGTTAGTAGTCCCGGAATCAAAGATATACCAATTTTTACAAACTCATGGTTCGATGATAGCCGGTGGCTGGGGAAACAGTAGAGTACTTGATTCATATTCGGCGATGTATCTGGAATGGTAACCTTTTTGTGGGAGGACTCCGGTTGATAAGTGCGTACTCCGTAGCAGCCTGGACAGTCATAAGTCGGAATAGTCGGTATAGTCGGTGGTAACATTAGCTTTCACCGTTTGACACCGCAATTATGCAATGATTCAATGACGCCAAGATTTGATAATTCTTTCGGTGTACGGGAGTAACCTTTTGTTGATGCTTTCGGATTTATGAATCGAATCGATGTTCCATGGCCATAGAATGAGGGTTTTGACATAGAACTTCCAAGGTCACCTGCATATGTCAAGGATTCCTCGTGGGCTTATAGGTGGGACAGTGAACTATGGTGGATTGTGGAGAGGAAGAGATCTCCCGGGAATCCTACTAATTTGAGGTTAATCGACTGATGAACGTTCCACCGTACGTTCCACCGTTCCTGTAGATTATGGATTGATATGGAGATAGGGGATATGGAAGATCGCTTATGAGCGGAGAGGTACATTGCATATATCTACCGGTATTCGTCGAAAGAGTAAAGAGTATCTATGGAGTACGAGGGGGTAAGGTTACATGCACACTTCTGGAATCGAAAGCTTTCATTATTATTGTGCAAAGTAATTGTGGTGATGAGCCATCAATCGGACTATGGACCATGGATGGCATATTGTGTAGATTTATTATGTAGATGACATGACCAAATTAATAAAAGTTATATACACTTATTAATACGGAATACCCGGTATTCGTACAGTTAGATACATCTTCACCAAACTTCATATATTTGAAATCAAAGGTTTCAAGTATTAATAATCCCCATCAACTCTGTCAAATCTTCAGAATGTCTAAAAATAATATAAAGAAGAGAGAAGAATACGGAGAGAATTATCCACTTCCTCACAAATCGCCCAGCCATTTTTCACTCTCCTCCCCTTGTAAAATTATGGGCGGTAATTTGACGCGCATTGAATAATCCATTAAAAGACATGAAAACCCATGAAAACTTATGAAAACCATGACAAAGACCTATCGGATGTACCAATTTATCAATACCTGATGTATTAGCGAGTTCACCCAATCTCCCATCAACACATCTTCTGGGCATCGATGGGTTTGTCCATCTTTTTTTGTTTGGTCTCTTTGACTTGTGCTGCTAGGTGATTCAATTCAATCCAATCCAATTCAATCCAACCATCGTCTTTTCTTCCCCAATTACTATCCTTTTTCTTAACCCAGATTCCCACTCAATTCCCACTCAATTCTCCTCTTTATTCCTTGTAATTGCATCCGAATTCAAACATATCCTATCAATCGTTCCATATGCTGTCGCCATCATTCTATTACACTCATTACACTCTCTATCGTATTCCTTGAACATCCGGAAGGTCCCATTCAACTAAAGCATATCGTACATACAAGGGGAAACAGAAAGGAAAAAACTCAAAATCTCCACCGAGAAAGAACGAGAACACACGACAGGACAATCTACAATCTCTAGTTCTTTCTTTCTGCATGGTGTGGTGTTCAAGACAGCTTTGTACCCCGACCCACCCTACCCTACCCTACGCTACCCTAAGAATCATGCAAACAACCGCCTTGAACGACGAACGGAGAAGCCTGTAATAAGACGGCATCACTCGAAACAGCTTGCATCACCTCCACCTTGACCTCCACCTTGACCTCCACATTGGCCTCCGCCTTCTTCTTCACCTTCTCTTTGTTATTCCATTATTATGTCTCAATCCCTCTTATGCTTGTAGACCATCACTCTCTTAAGGTCTTTTGAGCAATGCGACTGCTATTTCCTCATTGAAAACTAACTAATCATTACAAATCATAAATCATGGAGAGTACACCAGTTATGACATCCTCTGCGTCGAGGCTTGCCCCTCCATTGCTACACCCAAGATCTTCATCAAGAACAAGATCACCAACCAGATCCTCAAGTCGATCGCACCGGCTTTCAGACGACCTCCTTTCCGACCTCACTCCTGCCACAACCCTGCAAGCTCTTACTTTTCCAACAGGTAAATTGAAAGCGAGTATTGAAGCTGCCTCCCCTGCAGATCGAGCATTCGCCATACGCGCAACTCTAGCTTCGAAGAAAGTTCAAGAATGGTTGGAAGAATTATCAAATTGGCCATGGCCGAATACTGGCGGATCAGCAGGCTTTGGAGCACCAGCTTCGTCGAAGAGAATAAAATTGACACCACCTCAATCGAACGATCAATCTGAGCAACAGCATGAAGAAGGTCCAGAGCCGCAGTATTGTGGGAGCCTTTCGTTCGAGCAGGTTGCAAGATATGAGTACCGGCTCGAAGAAATTGGGGAAGGAATGGATGATTTGAAAGTGGAGGAAATAAAACGACAGGTCCTGGATACACACTTTTCTGGGAATTCTCGACTTTCATCCTCCCCCTCAATTGATATGCCATCCTTCCTTGCTTCTTACACGGTCATGGATGATTTCACAGCTATAGTTACGGCCACGGTACTGCAGGCACTACCGAATTTGGCAAAATTAACACGTCTAATGGATATATGGGGTATTCGTCTTTCTGTACTTCGAAGGGTACCATCTTTATTACTCGGGTTGGATGATGCGGAGATGGCGTTAAATTCCGGATGGCAGGCTATAAAAATACCAGGCACGACCACTACTGACGGTCAAACGGGGAACACAGTTCTATCACGACAAACTTTCGAAGTCATGAAAAATGTTTTACAAGCCAAGGTTACGATTCTTGGGAGAGATTTGGATTATATGCTCGATATCTTGGAGGGCAGGATGGATACTCTGCCAGATAGCTGGTTGGACCGGATGGAAAGCCTTGAACGGGACTATGGTGAATGGGTTGTTTCAGCCGATCGTAAAATTACAGACGGTGAGTTAGCCGCAATTGCGCCTTCGCGAATGGCCAAAAAAGACATGTCCCAGGGAGAAGATGCTGAGGCCCCTGTTGGGGCTGATGGCAAAAATGCGAACAAAAATGGAGAGGTCCAAACCCCAAAAGCCGAAACGGCAGCACGTGAAGGATCTCGTGTCGCATCAACACCAGCGATCAAAGGTGGTGCCACAGAAGCAAATACAATTCATTCCGAGCAGGAGGCCGCTGGGATTTCGACTAAAATAATATCACCATCGCTGGACACCCAGCCAATCATTCAATCAATTTCTCGTGAACCTACGTATACTCCTCTCACTCGCTCGACCAGCGTCAGAAGTGTTAGCAGAATACCCAAATTTGGCCACACTTTTGCAAACGCTTTAAGACGTACCATGTCGAATGAAGAATCACCAAAAATGCAAAGCCTTGATTCTCTCGCTACGTCTCCCAGAACCTCGTTACGGCCATCATCAATGATTCTCAATAAGTTCCCGAGTCCACCCCTAATGTCACCAGAAAGATCTGAACTACCAAGACTTCGTAGTTCGAGCTCGCCACTTATTGGACAAGAGCGACTGTCCATGGACCATTCTTTGAAAGATGGATCTGTATTGGGTGCACCTCCTTCCAGTATTGCGTTAGCACAACAGCTCGGTATTTCCGCATCGCATGAAAATCTGGATTCCGGTAATTTAAAGGCACCAGCGCATTTACCTAACATACTTTTTCACCTATCTACCAATTCCCACACCTCTACAATAGCTAGCAGTGACGGAGCCTCTGAAAGTGTACAGAGTATTAATCCCGAAGGCATGGAATTTGATCTTTTAGATGCCCAAATCGAAGCACGCAGGCCTTCCATAATCGTCGATAGTATTCACAACAATGACACTCGCGATAGTGATGTTTCGGATGATTCGCTCTCGGACCGTTGCAAATCTAAAACGACACCACAAGTCGCCTCCAGTCTTGCCGACCCAGATTCTGATGACGCATCTACAGTAACATTTGAAGATTCACCTTTGCCACCTGGGAAATGGTCACATGATTTACAACAATATGATAAAACACCGCCTGGTTCACCACCAGGAGCTCCAAGAAGATCTGTTCGTCGCCCTCCTCAACTCCTCGAAAGTCCCGATTTCTCACATTTGATATCCACTCCTGAAGACTCCTTTCTTCAAAGCATTCCTGCATCGCCTGTCAACGGCAGTAGCGATGATCAGATGCAACAACAAATTAGTTCCTTACTTCAATCGATTCCAGCTCATATTCGTCTTCGCTCTGAGCCAGAAGAAAAGTCAAATCCTAAAGGAATTCGTCCTCCAAAAACTCGCCGTTCAGTTACTCCCTCGATGCCCGCCGTTCGTTCACAATCGTCAATTGGAAGTTTACGTACTCCTACGCCTTCGTTTACTCTTGCCCCTGCGTATGCGAAAACTAGCACTCCACGTCAAAGAGCTCAAAACGGTCATCCAGAAATCAAGGTTTATCATTTATCTTGCTCTAGTGGTGAGAAACCGATTAAGTTATTTGTTCGCCTGGTAGGGGAGAATGGTGAAAGGGTTATGGTACGTGTCGGAGGTGGTTGGGCAGATCTTGGGGAATATCTTAAAGAATACGCAAGTCATCATGGACGTCGAGCACCAGTTGATACCGATAAAGTCGAGGTTCAAGATTTACCATCACGTATCTCATCTGGAGGCTCTACTATTCGTGATAATGGGCGGAATACACCTGGATCTGGTCGTACTACACCAGGGCCTCGTTCGGCATCTGCAATGGGCGTCCGTCCATCAACTGCTGTTGATCGACCTAAATCATCTCTCGGCATTCGAAAAACGAGGAAATCCACATTTTCTACTTCTGATGGGGTTCCTCCACTTCCAGCTACACCTTTTGCTGAAATTCAACGTGGACGTGAGGGTAATAATACACCTCCATCAGCTGCATCAAGAAGTTCCTCAAGACTTGATTGGAATGAAGAAGATGCTTCATTAGGTCTTGCGGGACCGAGAGGTAAACAAAAGGAATTGGATCAGAAGGATTTAGAATGGGTAGAAGGTATGAAGGAGAAAGTTATGATGGCAAGTGCGGAAAAGGAGAAAGAGAAACGTAAGGGAGGTCACAGACAGAGTTTAGGAGAGATGGATAAAGTTGGAGCTACTAAGAGATTGTTTAGACAAACTTCAAGGTTAGAGCTTTGAGTAAGGAAGTTTGACTATTCTTTGCATTGCATTCAAATATTTTATTTCATTATTGCATAGCGTTGCTTCTTAGGGAAAGGCTTTATTTTCATTTCATTTGTATGGAGTGAGGGATACAGCGGCAATTGAGTGATAGGATGGATGGAACGGAATGGGTGGGAATAGGATGATGAGGGTCTAGCTGGTTAGCATGTTCATGACATGACATGACATGACAGTATGGCATGACATACATGAATGAGCGATAGCGGACACATTGGACTATTTCTTTACTTTGCGTATATTCTTCTTCGGGGCCAGATGGCGAACATAGGATTGATGGGATAAGATGGGATTATTATACAGGGCATGCATTTTCTGGGAAGGAACTCAGATAATGAGGACAGCGAAGGGAAGGAAAGGAAAGGATACGGCATTTTACTTGGTGGATAAATGGATGGATGGATGCATTGATGGATAGAACAAATAGAGGCCTTGATTGAGGAACTTTTGTGTGTAACTTTAAGAAGTGGGTGATGGTAGAGGATGGATGGTAGGAGATGGATGCATGAATGGATTGATGGATGGATGCGCACTTAGATATACAATACAATACCCCTTTTTGTTCTTTTCTTATAAATAATTAACTCCATATATTTCTTATATACTTTCTTATTTTTTTTTATCTCTCTTTCTCTCCTTCTCTCTACCTTTATATTTCTCTCACTCTCTCTATATAAAATAAATTAATTTAGTATTTAATATATTCTATAACCTCCAGCAGCCGGCCCCTCAAAGCAAAGAGCCATTCTACACAAATACATTGACTTATTTCTTAAGCGTATGAAAGATTTTGGTAGCGGCGCTCTAGGAGTTAGCTTGCGCACATGGCTTAGCTGGCTGTGTATAGATCTCTCAGCTGATATGGCCTACAACTGGGAGATGAATGCTAGTAAAGTCTCCCATATTCACTCGCTCTTGGAATAAAAAGAAATGAATTAAGATTAGTCAATGATCCGTCATATGTCTCTCAAATTTTGTGTTTCAATAAAGCCCTCGTTTCGTTGTCATCCAGACGGATGTCATGCGGTTTCCTCTTCTAAGCCCCCGCAAGTATCCGTTCTTTACATCTAATTTATTACTACCCCATTCTCATATAAGAGATTATAATCGTGAATAGTTAAAGAGACGTCTCCGGTGGAAGGGTGCTGTCGGGTATCTTGACTTCTTTGAGTAGCTCGTCCCAGAGAATCAAGAACTCCCAAAAAATCAGAAAGAGATACGATATCTCTAACAAGTTACATGCTAGCTACTTATAGCAGGCTAGCTATGAGCCTTTAGCAATCTGGCTTTATTTTGCCATCTTTAAAGTACTAAGAAACCCCGGAACTATAAAATCGCTGGTGAAGGAGATTAGGAGTACTTTCAAGAGCTACAGCGATATCACACCGAGTACTGCAGCGAGTCTAATATATTGTAAAAGTGGTAGGTCGAGATACGTGCGTCCCGATAGCATGCTGTGAGGAGGGAATTGGAAGAGAAAGCTGAATTAGATTATATTGTAATATGTTACTTATGGGTAAAACGGGATTCACAATGGTTTTGGGGTTGATATTATATGGGTTCAAATGTATATATGTAGAAGGTTGATTATTGTGAAAAGAAGAGGTAAAAGATTTTTCTTTTATATCTAATTACAGAAGGTTATGTGATTGATTAGCTAAAACCTTTATGTATTTGGCCTATAATTCCAACTTTCTCATAATATCTGACAGCTTGCTTAAAAGAATCACTGCGTCTGATGCTGAATGTACTCACAGGAATACCGGTCGTTAACTCAGTTGTTGTTGTTGTTGTTGACGGAACTTTCATTCCAAAAGAAGTATGTTTTTAGATCTCTCATTCTACATTTCTCTTTCGGTGCTCTGTTAGTACAATTGCAAAAATGTAAGTTGTTTGCAAATGCAGTCCTTTCGCACTAGCAAGAAACCCGTGTAATTTTCACGAACCAACCTCTCAGCTTCCATCCTGATCGATGGCTGCCAAAAGGCCATCCCCTTTACGATACGAGGGTTGCTGATGATAATCGCAAAGATTTTCATCCCGTTAGTCAGGGCCTTCGAATGTGCGTAGGAAAAGAGATCGTCTGGGGGCATCTTCCTAAAGCCTGCGGTTCGGGCTAGATTCGTGCCCGCTCTGAGGACAATGGTAAGAGTAGCGGTAACTGTTCCAAGAGAGCAGGTCTACAGATAGACATCAATTTTGAGGCCTGAGTGCAATGAATGCTACTAATCTTTAGCATATTTAGTTAGCTGAATGTACGATTACTTCCCGCGAATACAAGGATTTCTTAGCTTTCTAGTATTTGCACAAATTATTATACCACGAGAGATCTGAGAATGCTACGATGTGTGTTATGATTAAATTATACCTGGTGCATATAGTGAATATAGTTATCTAGATATATATAGGTTAGAAGAATATACGATTTGCCGCAGAGAGTGAGGAGAATGGAAGACCTAGGACTTTCAAAAGTATTCTATCTTTGTTTAAATTATTTAAAAAAGTTGGTTCTTTCTGCTTTGACTGTTAAAAATGCGCAGGATCATTTGTATTGTGCCAGATGTTAACTTTAAGATATCTAATTTCTCGCGCCGAGCTATTTGACGTTGATATTCTCACTCAAATTACACGAGTTCATAAATAGAGTCCTCGATTCCCTACCAGCCACCGTTCTCAGAGCACCACACAAAACAACCATGACTGACTGCTAGCTTCTTCTCCAGGAACAATCCTGAATCTTTACAGTACTGCCTTCGGTTTCCTACTCGCCATATTCCGTTCAATACTTAGAATCGTCGCAACCTGTTGACTCAAAGCCACAATCTCCCATCCACATCCCTTATAAGTAAATCCATAGCAAACCTACCATCCCTAATCTGCTTCGTCGTCACTCTAACAGTCAACCACTCAACACCTCGCTCTGGAAGCGCCATTTTCACTTCCAAATTCATCGTCAGAGTTGGGAACCAGAAGTTCGCACGTTCGTCTGTTACTTCCTGTTCCTTGGCATTCGTGTTGGCCTGTTTTTGCTGTGCTTCTATAAGCGCACGGAGCTCTGGTATTGCGAGAAACATGTGGAGATTGTGTGGAGAGGCGTCTGTGACGTAGGCTAGCGCACTCTGTAATATGCTCCCCGTTCGACAAGCGGATCCACATATCCGTCGTTCTTGATACCAGTGGGTTTCCGCGCGGCATGTAAAAGCGCCATTTGGTTAAGTAGCTTAAAGATGCAGTTGGCCTAGGTATTCTTGACAGTTCCCAGTTGTAATCTACGTCTCGAGTCTCGAGTAGCTCGAAGTACGGGATTGGAGGTAGCGCCACTGTCGGTGACACTTCATATGACGTTGGTATCGTGATGCCTGTGAAGGTTCTGAGATTTGTATGGCTTGTATAGGCAAGTATTACACGGCGCGAAATTAGAGGTGTGACCCATGGCGATTGCGTTAGAAGACCATCTTGCCAAAGGATGAGATGGATCGTAGACACTTATCTGCCTAGCTTGACATCCTCGATCGTGACAATGGCGGGTCTGGCAGCCGTGCAGCTGGGATATTCAAAATGCGCCGTGGGCGTGTCGGGCAGTCCTCGCGAGGAGCTCGCGGCAGCGAGCATACACGAGGCTACGTAGCCACCGTTGGGGACTGTAGAGGTTTTGGTTAGTGACGTAGACCAAAAAAATAAAGAGACGACTTAGACCTAAAAATCGATAATAATCAAGTTGAATAAAGAATTGATGGAGGCAATTGAATTTAGTGGCAATCTCGCCCTCCCCATACGTGAAGCAGCGCAAAATGACTCGTCGAGAGTGACTTTGTATTTATGTGAATCCAGTTTTACTGTCTTTATAGCATTGGTAAAAAGGATACCCATTTCACTATCTGAGCTCATGGCTAGTTTGTGTTTGTTATGCTTTTAGTGTGACAACAGTCGATTAAGAGGCTCGCTCACTTAATACCATCAGGTATTTCCATGAAATAAGAAGGGGATCATTCGCAATGATAATAGTTACTGGTTATACTACAGTAAGCGGAGTAAACAGTGCAGGCGGCGAAGGCTGCACAGTCCTCTGATATATCATTTTCTACGAGAAAAGCTCACAAGGAAGAAGTTTTAACACTTAAGAAAAATAAAATTAGAGAAAGGGAAAATGAAGTAATCAAATAAGGTGAAGCTTTAAACACGGCAGAATAACTGATTTGCATCTTTATCAGGTGTTTCATTTGAGGTCAAAATGCATCTTCCACAAGCAGCCCTACTTCCTTCAGTCGGGTAGTAACGATAACATCATGATCATGATTGGGATAAATAGTCAGTCAACCAACCCGGGATTGAGGGGAAAGAAAGAAAAAAATGAATCCATCATCTACCGAATCTGCTTTATCATTTCCTTGTGTTTTCAGCTATGTCTGTCCCAAGAATCCTTACTCGCCACCCGACTTAATCATGTACTCACAAATTTCTCCCCCCATCCTTCCTTAATCATAACTCCCATCAGAGCTTCGGGTAGAGTATATATCTAGCCTAATTCTGCCCAATAAACCCAGCAGCCTACAATAAGAATCCTCAAACCATTTCCACAGTGGCAATAGATATGCCTGTAGTCTCTTAGACGTCATACATACGGTTTCTTGCTTCGAGGGCACCTTTGATAGCTATTCATAAGTTAGTAACCATAAAATAAGATCAATTACTCATATTTCCATCCTAATCCAAAAGCATATTGGAGTAAATGAGACGACTTACCATCACAACTATCCTTGGCATCACCAAATAGCATCCTCGTATTAGGCATATAAAACATCGGATTTACAACGTCTGCATACCCACTTGCCATACCTCTCTTCATAACAATAACTTGCTTACTCTTCCAAGCATGTAAGACAGGCATACCGGCAATTGAAGAACCGGGTTCGAGAGCAATTGGATTAACAGTATCGTTCGCGCCAATAACAAGAGTTACGTCGGTTTCTCCGAAATCATCATTAATTTCATCCATTTCGAGAACGATATCGTATGGTACACTAGCTTCCGCGAGTAGAACATTGCATTGTCCAGGCATACGACCCGCGACGGGATGAATGGCGAATCGGACATTGATACCCTTGCTCTTGAGCATTCGGGTGATATCACTAATAGCATATTGGGCTTTTGCAACAGCCATACCATATCCAACGACGATGATGACGTTTTCGGCATTTTCTAGTGATTCCACAACTTCGTCAATATTAGTTTTGGTTATTTGTCCTTCGATTTTATGCTCGGTTTCTGCGCTGGGAGCTATTCCTCCGAAAAGGACATTTGCGATGGAACGATTCATTCCGACGCACATAATGGATGACAGAATCGAACCACTAACTCCTATCAAAGAACCTACTGTTGTCAATAAAGGCATGTCAAGCATGAAACCTTCAGACACTATTGCAAATCCAGAATATGCATTGAGTACTGTAATGACGACAGGCATATCTGCGCCACCAATAGCGGCGGTAGTCGTGTAACCTTTAATGAAACTGAGAACTGCATTTCCTGCTAAGCAACATGCAGCAATTAATGGTGCCCCGGGTGCAAATGTGATGAAAGTAGCCATGCTAGCCATATTAAGAGCAAGTAGGGAGGAATTGAGTGCATGTTTTGGACCTGGAAGTTTGATTGGTTTCGAAGACATTCGACCTGCCAGTTTGAGATATGCTACTATGGATCCGGTAAATGTGACGCCACCTAATAAAGGTTAGTATAGCAAACGGAGTAAAATTATTGACAAATCTTTTGCTCACCAATGAGAACACCCATGTAACCAGCTACGAGATGAAGCTGTGATATGTCTCCAATGTCTGCCATGACTGACCCGAAACTTGTCAAAACAGCCGCAAGACCAACCACGGAGTGAAGTGCAGCCACAGTTTGAGGCAAATCAGTTGCTGTCGTACGTCGTCCAATCCTTAATCCTAGAACGAACCGTTAGTTCATTGACCCTCTTTTTACACGTGATGGAACACCTACCAATGATGGCACCGCAACCGGCAACAGCTGCGAATTGTGCAAGAACTTCCACTGGAAATCCTACAGCGGCTAGCGATGCAAGTATACCAGCTGCAACTCCCAATATACCCAACATATTTCCTTGGCGCGCTGTTGTTTGAGATGCAAGGCCAGATAGTGATGCTGCTGGAGTTAGAGATTGTTTTACTACGAGTTCAGAAGAAGAAATTACCAATGCACAAAAGACTGCTAGCAATATACCCTGCTTGAACAAGCCCAGCCATACCAGTAGATGCAGCTGCTATATATCCAACACCAAAAACAGCAGCAGGTATAGCATATAACCATGGGTATTCAGGTGGATCAGTTGGTCCTGCAAGAAGTTAGACAAAGCACTATGAAATAAATGAGTGTAATACGTACGCTTAAACATATCTAACATCCGCTTCGTAATAAGAAATCCACCAGAAACATTGACAAATGCAAGCGTTACAGATAAAGCGCCGAGAGCTTGAGGAATGGTATGTGGTATGAGACCACCTCCCATAATGAAGAAACCACCTACACCAACCATGCCTGATATAGCATTCGTAACACTCATGAGTGGAGAATGAAGTGCAGGAGCAACTCCCCATACCGTTCGGTAACCGATCAATCCAGCCAATGCAAATGTAAAGACATTGTTCATGAATAATGGTCCTGTTGCTTTACCAAGAAGAAGTGCAAGACTCATACCCGCAGTAACAGCTCCGACTTCTCGTGTTTGTTTTTGCCATGGAGTTAAGGCTACAGAATTAGCGGTTGAAGCATTTGCATTGATAGCTGAGGCAGCTTTTGGCGTTGGAGGTAATGGTCGTGGTGCAGTAGGTACAATTTCACCATTGTGAGTCACAATAGAACCACGGACAACTTCATCCCTCATGTCAATGCCGAAATGCTTTTCCTCGGGGGCAATTGAAAGAAGGAACTTGGTAATATTGTTCGAGTACAAAGTAGACGATTGAGTCGGAAGTCGGGAAGGAAGATCAGTATATCCTGTCGAGATATTAGTTTTGCTGCACAGCGCATCAAACTATACGACGAACCTATGACCTTGACCCCTTTATGTTCAATCAATTGGCCGGCCACAGTAACATCACAATTCCCACCCGCTTCAGCTGCCAAGTCGACAATAACAGAACCAGGTTTCATTGCTGCAACCATCTATAAAACCAGTCAGATCATCTCTAGTAACCAAGATTCAATAAAACTTACATCTTCATGAATCAATTTAGGAGCAGGGCGACCTGGAATCAGTGCAGTACAAATGATAATATCAATATCACGGCATTGTTCCATGAATAATTTCTTTTCGGCATCCATGAACTCTTTCGACATCTCTTTACCATAACCACCGGCGCCAGAACCATCTTCTTTGAAATCTACCTCGATGAATTCAGCACCTAATGATTGGACTTGCTCACGTGCAGCTGATCTGGTGTCAAACCCTCGTACGATAGCTCCCATGCGTCGAGCCTAATTAGAGATGATGTTAGCATTCAGATCTAAATTATATATCATACACTTACTGTTGCAATGGCACTCAATCCAGCCACACCCGCTCCAATGACAAGCACTTTACAAGGAGGAACCTAAAAATATTAGTGAGAAACTAAAAGTGGACACCGAGCACTAAAGTAAGTACCTTTCTAAAAGTCACCTAATTAGCTTAAAGCACTAGCAAAATGGGGACTCACATACCCAGCAGCAGTGACCTGACCAGTCATGTAGCGTCCAAAATGATTGGAAGCCTCTAAGACTGCCTTATAACCGGCAATATTAGCCATAGAACTAATCACGAAATTGTGTGAGCTTTTCTTCTTCATAAGTGTGATATGGCATTACACCTGTACCTTAATGCGTCAAAAACTTGAGCTCTCGAAATTCTAGGAATCATATCCATCGCGAATGAAGTAACTCCTCTATGAGCCAATTTCTCTACCACGCCTTTATTCACCGCCGGGTATAAAAATGAAATAAGTGTTGCATTGTTCTTCAAGGAATCAACTTCATTGATAGGTCCATCCACACTCGGCGGGCGGACCTTCAAAAGAATATCACTTTCCGACCAAACATTCTTCCTGCTGACTATTTTGGCTCCTACAGTCTCGTATGCTTCATCCGTGAATTGTGCTTCTGCTCCGGCACCTCGCTCGACAAGAACTCGGGAGAAGCCTTTCTTAATCAAGAGCTGTGCATTTTGTGGAGTAAGTGCAACTCGTTTTTCGTTCGGATATGTCTCGCGAGGAATACCAATTGTCAGGTTTGAATATGGAGTGGTGATTAGATTCGGAGCTACCGCATTAGATGAAGCTGTAGACAGGGACGCAGAATTAGGGACTGTAGACGCAGGCGAGGAAGTAGTCGTCGATGTATATCTCTTGCACTTAGTATGAATTGTTGGATGAAGTGATCGTACGTGAGCAGCTAATGGAAAGACATATTAGTCTCAATCTGGTAATTGATGGACGACACGGCGGGCTAGAATTGATATAAGGAATGGAACGCACCAAGAATGCCACCTAATGGACCTGGCGATACCTTAGCTTCTGAAAAGTTATTGGCACGACACAATCTAAGTATCGGCTTCATTGTTGAAGGCCAGGTCATCTTTTAGACCCGCATCTGTAAGTGTCGAAGTTGGTCTGTAAAAAGGGAAGAAAGTTGGGTTGGTACGTTGTTTCTAGGAAAAGGAAATATTGTACTCGTAGGTAGGGAAATAAGAAATAGCGGTTCGAGAGAGTACAATGTGTTGTTAGAGGATTGCTATTGCATAAATGAATGTTTGATCATCTGCACAATCGATTTTTACCGTGTTATACCATTTTCGAATGAATGGAAAGAGCGTATGGTGAAATAGACGGTATTGATACTGTTTGGATGTCGTCTTATATATGGGAGGAGGAAGGGTGTAACGTTCTCGTAGCTAAAACGGGTATACATCCACAGTTACCTATCTACTCACATGGTTTCCGTGTAAACAGGCTGATCTGCTGGATCTTCTTGAATGGAAATGGAATCAATCATTCGATGAAAGTTGCAATGGAACTTTAGCTGCCAAAGTAGGTTTAGAGTCAATGATGGCCCTTGCTACTTTCATAGCTTCCTACCTTATTCCCCCGCAATGGATCACATTTCCCCGCATTCCTTTCAATCAATTGGTTTATTCTGTTTTCTGTTTGTTGATTGACCGAGGGAAAACAGAGAGGCGTCTTTGATTCTTTGGTTCGCCCAGTTGGTGATACAAGAAGAAGAAAAGTAAATCGAACAAACGCTTGGAAATGTGGTGAAATGGAATTAAAATCATCCGACCAAATATCAAATATGATGAAACTGTCACGATACACATTTTTGTACTTCTATTGGAGGCTTGAAGGTCCGATTGATGATGCAGTGAGATGAAGAAATGCAGCCTCTCAATGCAGTGCGATAGGATGGAATCTTCGGTGCACCAGCCACCAAGCTCAAACACTTTCACGTGACGATCTAGATCTCGCATGTTTGAAATGCTTCAGTCTTTGGTAGTATTTATTATATACATAATTTTGTCAACGGTAGTGCTCAAAATATATTCAATCTTGCCCATTAATCATATCAACCCATCGCGTCATATACATCCCATCCATAATCCACATTTTTCCGCCCGTTCTTACACCAAGTCATCGCTAACCTCCTTCATTCCTTGTCAAGACCAAATTTATGATTCTTCTACTATAGTTTGCACCAGTTGGTGTTGGCTAGCACTGCCGGTGATTTCTTGATTCCAAATTCTATCTTGCAACCTATTACACTTCTCCTCCAGCCCCTTGTTATCGCGTAACATCTCTCGTTAAGGTGTGCTTAGAGGGCTATGGTAGCCCTTTCGAGACCCTTGGTAAACTCTATCTTCCTCCACACGAGCGTTCGTTCTGCTGGCGTTATTTATAGCTTCCGAGTCACGCAAGCTGGTCTCTAGTGACTTAATCGTCTCGGCACAGTTAGCATGATCTTCTTGTGCCTTTGCGAGTGCTTCGCAGACTTCTAGCTTCCATTCTGGGACCTTCAACTTGACTTCCGAAATTCCCGGTTTGCCTTCAAGGTGCGCCTCCCTTGCTTAAAATCTTTCCATGTTTTGTAGTTCGATGCTATCCCTAAACTGGTTGATCATGTCGAGATAACCTTGCGTTCCATGATAAAGAGTCGCAAAATAGTCAGTGTCATCCCGTGATTTTTTTCATCTCATTAGTGAACTACATGCAAGCTTGGTTAAGTCGGAGCCTGATATACATATAGTATTCTCATCCCTCCATTCGAGATTAAATCTTCTTTGAATTTTGCTCATGAAAAATAATACTAGGGTTCTACCTTGAAGTGTCCTGTGCGTATTATCTGTAAGGGGATGAACAAAGCTAGTTGCGAGGTTTTAGATGTATGCACATAGTTCGTGGAGCTGTTTGCAACAACGATAGATCAGTCATTCTAGAGAGCTTCAAAAAAATAATAAAAATTGGTGTTTGATAGCAACAAGGCAGAAGGAAAATTCAGTTTGGAGAAAACAAAACGTCAATGGACTTGAAATGCTGTTCATTAATTGTAAAACAGTTTCCACTGTCCGCTGAATTTGGTGTTTTCAGCGAAATCAGAGTTGAAATTATATATAATCAGTAAGAATACTACAAAATACGTGATCGGATTCTTGCTAATAAAGGCAAATATTGCAAACATGAGATCCAGCGAAAATCTTTTTATGTAAGATCCTACATCAGATTTTGGGAACTAAAACAAGAAACAGCGAAACTAGCATTCCAACCAAACAGTATATCAGTACCAAAATCATCCTTGACTATCCCATCCAAAAGCCGAACAAGCTTTGAAATGGGTAATGAATGAAAACAGTAACAACCAAAAAGAAGTATCCAAAAGCACTTGCCTAGGATGCATTTGAGCCACCACCTGGCCTACGCTCAGATGCTCTCAAAATTTCTGGCTTGGACTTCCTAAAATTAGCCGAAGACCTCAGCGCCGTCTTCGAGCTTTTCTTAGGTGGCTGTCTCTGATTTTCACTCCCGGATGAATCCGGTGCTCTAGTACTAAGAGAATCCGTTGTATCTGCTCTTTTTCTTGACGATCCTGTAGTAGCAGTTTCTTTCCCTCTAATTTCCACTTCGGGGTTCTTTCCATTGCTGGTTCGCGTTGGCACATCAGATCTGCGCGGTCTGTTGTCCGTCTCATCTCTCTCGTGGCGGTCGCTCTGGCGAGGCTTTGGTAATGTCCTGTAAGGAAGCTCGGGACTTGAACTTGGCAGTGGTTCCTGTCTCGCTCGAGATCTTCGCCTTTCCTTTCCATGCCTACCGGATGTTGACTCGGAGTTTCCGCCTCCACGACCATCTCCTCTTTCAGATGGAGTATTACTTGCTTCTCGAGGAGCACCGCGTGAGGAACTTGACTGTTGTGCAGTTGGCTTGTCAGAGGCTTCAGTTTGCTTCCCGCTGCTTTTGGAAGGCTTCGAAGCTTTATCTGCTCTTTTATCTCTGCTCCTGTCTCTATCGGTTTTATCAGTCCTTCTGTTCCTGCTCCTATCCCTATCAGTTTTGTCGGTTCTTCTACCCTCACTTTCCGTTTCATCCCTGGTCTCAGTCGCTGTTTTCGATCTTCCTCCAGCTCTTCCATCTCCCGTCTCACCATCACTGCTTGTAGTCAGTGCGTAATCTGAGCCTGTGGGATTATTCTTTATGAGACGAAAAGCGGTTTTCAAAAAAACAGCATCGCAATCCAAACCCGTATCCTTGTATTCATCCCAAGTCCGTTTATCCGGTTCCCACAATCCAACCAACTTAGCATTTTTCATATCTCGTGACCTAGTAGGCCTTTCCATAACCCATACTCTCATAAGTGTGGATACACATGTGAGTGCATACAAAAAGGGTATTTCCTTGTACTCCTCCAACCATTGGCGACAATATCCTTCTACTTGCGTCTCCAGCGCCGCCATCCTACCTTTTGTCATATCTTCTTTATCTTCCGGGTGTCTTTTAGATTCAATCATCATTAAACCAGTTTCAAGATAATGGACATTTGTGTAAGCCAGGAAATTGTCCACTTGCTTTTCAGGACCATGTCTTGGAACGACTCCTTTCTGTGATTTATTTAAAAATCGCTTTTCGGGAAACTCGGCAGTGATAAATTGCTCAACGAACCCTACTGTCACAGATTCCTTGGACCGATTCCCTTTAATATCATAAGCTGCAGCAGCTTCCAGGTAATCCCGCGCAAGGCGATAACCAATCAGTCCATGATTTGCCCATGCTTCCCTATTCACAACATTTTTCCAACCTTCTAGAGCATATTTGTATGCGGTCTTCTTCTCTTTATCTTTGAGAGCGAGTCTGATGTCTCCATACCACTTCACTAACTCTCTTCGGGTTTCCTTTTGTTTTTCCCTTACCTCGTCATCCACGGGAGGATTTGAAATTGGAGATGGCGCCCTCTTCGACATCTATTTTAGTGGATAAAAGTTAGGCTATCCAACAGTCAAGGGTCAGTATTCATGGAAGGATAATAACTAGGACTAAGGAAGCGAATTTCAGTCTCTGCACTTACAAATTTACTCAAAAAGTATTAAATAGAGTTGTCGAGAACTCGATCTAGGAAAAAAAAAACGGTTCTTATTGTGAAAAGACAGTTACTTTCATAAGCTCCAGTCGTATATCAAATCTGTACTATAAATCGATGAAAAGGTTCGCCAAGGTAGTCCTATTTATGCTGAATTTCCAATCAAATGGATAGTATCCAACAAATACATGGCCAATAGGGCAAGACCCAATAGTACTTCTAACAGCGTTGATGTGCGAGTACATCTCCAGAAGTAAAGGCCCTGACCAGGCCTCTGAATTCTATTCTACAGGCCAAAAACTAACATTTAGCTATATCTTGGCCAAACAGATGTATTAACACATCCAGCTAGAGAAAATAGAGACACACAATAGGTGTTCTAATTCCATTATAACTAAAATCCGCCCAAACTGTCCATTATGTAATTTGGAACAAAAAAAAAGGCCATAGCCTATGCTATAATTATTATTCGAGTGGGCCACCAACAGATCGTCCCAAGAGTGACCGTACTGGTAAAACGAAACTTGAATTGCGTTTTGGGCCAAGGTATTGTGTTGGAGAGTGTAGCAACTTAATATATGCATAGCGGCTAACCACAGCAGAATGAGTTTAACGAGGGAATATATATTTGAAGGGCAAGAAAATGGGCGCATGAGATGAGTATGGCTATATATGTATTCTTACTTTTCCATTATACTACCAATGGAAATTCTTGCTCGGCAAAATAACAAGCTCCCACAAATTCCTTCTATAACGACGACTTAAAACAAATGAATATGCCTCTTCTATTCAAAAAATCCCCTGCCTTTGTGAAACTATCACATCCATAACCACAGTTACAAACGTAAACCACATCCCCATATCCTACTAAGAAACAAACATTACAACAATCAAATCCTCATTATCCCGCGAAGCTCGTGTTAAATCTCATAACCGGTCCCAACCACGTATCATAATCCTCAATCTTTCCTACCTGCCCACCCCACCTCAATACACTGGCAAAAAAATCGATAATCACCATCTCCCACGTTGTAACTAATTCCATCATCGCCAGTTACTTGTGCATTCGTCCAATATTGTATATAATTGCCCGGTTGAATAGCACCGCTCGCAATTGTTGCCGAACGATTCGTGTAAGTTCCAAAAGATGGGTGTCCAAAAATTGACGATTTAGGAGTAGATCTTGAAGAATAATAAGAGAATAATTGGGGTGACTTAGAGGCATTTGTATTAGCAGTGATGTTTGTATTGGCAGGCAAGAGATCGAATCGAAATGCAAGTGTATATTGTTGCGGTATATCGGCAGCTATTCCATATTGTCTAGTGGGGTTGATTTCCAGGAATCCGTTATCTTTTTCGGGTAATCCTGCTGTGTTAAAACCGGCGACTTGAATAACGGAGATGTATGATGTGTTATACATGGAATAAGGAGGACCAATATAGGGGACAGTGTACGTCTCACCCGCGGAAGAGGTTATTTTAATAAAGCCACCGAAGACGGGACGATTTGATGCAACGACACCAGTAGGTGGAATGATGGAGAAATCGACGGTCTTAGATTCACCGCTTGCGAGGGTGACTGTTGGAGTCGGGAATACACCTGTTCCATAGAGAGCAATTTGGTTGTAGTCTTCACCGGACAGTTGACCATCTGTGTAACCGGCACCAACATGGGATAAAGTATAGGTTTTGCTGGATCCTGAAGTATTCTCAATCGTGATATTTGCAGCACCAAACACAGTATGAGTACTGTCATCACCAAGAACGATTTGTCCAGGTGAGATTACGCTTTGCGCAAAGATAGCATCGTATGCATTGATAAGACCGGCGCCCTGTTGTGCTGTCGCGGAAAGAATCGTGCTATCCCAGACCCAATTGACTGGCGTAGCTGTGGCTTGTAGTAAATCCAATATTTGAGATATGCTGGCGCTGGGAAATCGAGATTTGACAAGAGCAAAGCACCCTGCAACATAGGGAGTAGCCATGGATGTTCCTGATAAAATCGCATAGTTGGAATTTGGCCCTAGAGGATAGGTTGAAAGAATGTGTCCACCAGGCGCAGAGATTTGTGGTTTCAAATCATAAGTGAAATAGTTTGGACCAAAATTAGAATAGTAATCAACCAAGCCTCCTGAGTGCTGAGGAGGGCTCGTGTATTTATTTCCCGTGAAGGTCAAAGTATAGCTCGGGAAACCTCCAGCCAGACCATAATTATTGACAAGAGTCGCTCCATCGCCAGTGTTGAGATTTATATATTGTATTGCGCCAAAGAAGGAAGGGCTGAAGACGTTGTATTCGAGTAGATATGGATTTGAAATGTCTGAATTAAAACCCAGAACATAGCGGGGCACTGCTGTACTTGAACTCCAATCCGAGGCAATCTCATTGGGATTGCAGTAACTAGTTGTTTTGAATGCCTCGAAGGCGAAAATTGTGGAATTGAGAAGACCACTTTGACTCACAATGTTGAGGGCATTGGTCCATGTTGCGCTATCACAACCGTCGGATAAAAGGTAAACATGAACAGGATCAGTGAGGTTAAGAGGCCAGACAGATGCATAGCCGAGACTGGCATTGGTGGAGTCAACGGCCGGATACACAAGAGGAAAGACTTTGTTCGCAATAGCTCCCACGGCAATAGCGCTAGGGTCTACGGAAGGATAATCCGCCGCAAATAGCTCTGTGGCGTATTGACTTACAGAACCATCGTTGCCAACTGCTACAATCACAGCAATACCAGCTTGTCTAATACTTTGTACAACAGAAGCCAATGGATCTGGGGTCGAAGGCCACTCCGTCCCAATCGCGAGGGACATACTAATGATATCGACGCCATCACCTTGTGCTTTCAGCATGCCGGCCATAATTGTGTCGCTACCGCCTGCGTTTGCACAATCAAAGGTACGGTACATATAAAGACTAGCTCCCGGAGCGACGCCGCTGATCGGAAAGTAACCATCTCCAGAAATTGGATCCATTCCGAGAATACCTACAAGTAATCAGTTAACCATGAGGCAGGGCAAGAGAAGGGCTGTTCTCACCCGACACATGGGTTCCATGTCCTCCAGTGATACATGTGGACAAAGGGTCAGGACTATTCCCCAAGACTCCGTTATCATTCACAAAAGAGTATCCACCTGCAATCTTGAAACCGGGTCCAAAACCGCCACCTAGTGCTGGATGACGATAATCAACCCCAGTATCTATAATCCCAATCTTGATTCCTTTACCTTTGATACCCTTTGCATGTAGCTTATCGATACCACCCATTTCGAGGGCCGAGGCCAAATTTCCTGCCGCGGTTTCTTTTGACTCTCTTTTCCTTATAGAAGGAATATCTACACTGGAATTTTTGGAGTCCGTGAGATTGGAAAATAAACCAGGTCGGGGAACCTCGTAAACTGGCCAGACACCTGCTACACCAGGGATATCCAGAAGCTGTTCTTGCAGTTCTTCATCGGTGCCACTTTGTGTGACAGATATTGAGAGCCCGGTGAAAGCTGTTGAATCAAATTCGTGGCGGATATTGTAGCTGATTGACGCCGCCCGTTTGTGGAAGATACTGCGGCGATCTTGTCCGGATAGAGAGGTATTGATTTCTTGTCCAAATTCAACGATGAATGCTTTGTTGACGGTATTAACAATTGGATACAATGTAGTATCATCAGTGCTTCTGCCCGTCAAGTCACTAACTGGTAAAGTAACTCCATATACAGCAACGGCAAATGACAGCAAAGGATATGTAATAAGCATTCTTCGTGTTGTTGGGAAGGATCTAACTCTGGGTGAGCACTCCGTTGGCATAAACGACAAGTACTGACAGGGCAACTTTATACTTCACTTGTCCCCGACCGCTTTCTACAACCGCAGCCTACAATATCGACGGAGATACCACAACGGTCGAAGTTCACCTGGATTCGAGATGCTGAGTCTGATACTTGGATTCCAAACAAATTCTACTAGCCTTTGGCCGTAGGTAACGTCGTATAGCCATGAAGGGGGGTTGAGAAGGACCGTTTGTGGATAGAAGAGGCTCTACACTAGCGCAATAGCGTGAGATGATTGGGTAGAGCACATTCTCAAAGTTAAAAAACAAGCCCTGCTAAAAATTCAATATCTTTGATCTTTACTAATATTCTTTTATGAATGCATATCGATGAAGTGATTTTGCATGCAATACTACACATAAGAGCTAAAAGTACAGAACATGCTAGGGTCTAGGCTGTGATAGACAGAGTATCAATCGTCTTGTAGACATGAGACTGGGATAACCATTTGGTAAAAAGCTTTAATTGCACATGGATGCATCCTTCCTGGGGGCTGATGAGCTGTCGAGGACCCAGCCGATGGCAATGCATGTTGGTAGCTATTTTATTCAAAATGGCATGGAAAGAGATTTGCAAAAACAACAAGTCTAGATAAAAATTGCAAATCTCGACCAAGTGCAAGGGTTTGACCAAATGGGTGGTATCTATGTTGCTCAGAGTAATCTCAATTGAGGCATGGGTCTCGATCAAAGATGGAACTCATTTGATCAATCGGCTCCTGTCCACTGGGACTTGAGCATGCACTGTATGCATCTGGTAATCGAAATAGAAGGTATCATTGCTGTCCGACTGTTGTTTCACGACAGTAGAGCGCATTTGATAACAGAAGTAATGAAATTTTACGGAACAGAAATATGACAAATTGATCTATGTAACTCGGGGCTGGCTACATGGATATACTTACCAACTCTTAATTTAGAAGAGTGACGTAGGCCAGATAAATGCCGTCGAAATATCAGGAACTGAGCATCTGTTGAACATGTGATGTTGGACGATAAGTAATATCGAGTCCGAACAGTGGGTGGTATCAGACCTCTATTGCGTAATCACGAAATAGCTTCGACCTCGATTATAGTCAGTTGAATATACTTGGCTCACAAATCTGATGGTGCGATGTATTTCGGTTGAAGTCCCGCAGCCATCCACGCTCGTAAGTGGTGAAAACACCTTCTTTAGGCAAAATATCACCGCTGTAACGTTTCTGCATTGCCCACATGTACATAATATTGAGAGGCGTGTCTATGCCTGCCGCAACACTTGCACTGATCCTTGGTTCCCGTTTGATCTGGTAGGGTTGCATAGTTCTAATCTCTTCTCGTCCTGCAGCAGCGTATCCACACTTAGCTTTTCGAGACCTTTCAACAATGGAAATAATCAAATAGGATAGAATGTTAGCTACCGATTAAAGTATTAGCACATTCGTCATTTGTTGATCTGGCTCTCGTCGTATCGCTTGGAAAAATTAGTCCAAGCAGGTGCTTGATTGGCTTGTCAATGATAGACTCAAGATCTAACATGATTTCGAAATAAAACCAGGGACACATTTCAATGGTCTGATAATATATCTGCAGTTCGGCTTCCTAATTGCGTTATCAGTGCATGTCGGCACTCATTCCGAGCAGGCCGGCTGGACCTACGACTCCATAAACGTACCTGCAGCCGTCCCCATATCAGTAGAAAAGCCCGCTTTGGTGGTTGTTCAATTACAATAGAGCAGATAGAATCGCTTGCAAGCAACCTCCGGAAAGCCTTATAAAAGCATTGGTCGTAAGTACGTCCGGACAGCTGCACTAATGTCTACTTGCGCACAGATAATGGTCGTTGCCTCATTTCATATCAAAACTCATAATAAACACTTTAAATTTTTATATATTCAATTTTTATTTTATGTTATTTAATTTATATTGTTTTATTTATTTATGATTGACATTTAAAAAAAATAAGATTATTTATTTTTAAAAAATTTATTTGATGTAAAATTTATATATAAATTTGAGGTTATTTTTAAATATATAATTTTAATTAGTAAAATAAACAAAAACCAATGAACTTTTTAATAATATTTTTTAAAGAATTAAAATAGTTATATTCAAGTTTTTTTAATTATTTAAAAGTCTTAAAAATTGATTTATTAATATCGCAATTATATATATTTGTAATTTCAATCGATTATAATTATCTAATATAAAAATATTTATATTTGGAAATATAATAAAATCTTGATTTTAGATATGTTTTTCATAAACGGCCATTATCAGTGTACGGTTACTGTAAACGTATCTAGTCCTAATATTATAGAAAGATGGTACAAGATTTCATTCAAGTAAAAGTCATGACCTCGATGTTGCACTGCCCTAGGTGTAGACTATAATTAGGCAGAAACTTCTTCTTCCCATGATAAAAATCCTAGAATGTTGAACAGATAGCAAGAGTTTTAGGTCCATGTCTGTTTAAGGTATTGCATCTGTGGGAATCAGGACGAGAGGTTTGACGGGATAATATATATCGATGCTATAATTATGACATTGTGAGTGACAACATATCTTCGGCACTCAGCGAGTTTTCTTGCCATTGATGGATGGCCGCAAAGATGCATTCTTCGCTTCCCACTTCTCCCACCCAGCCTGGCATAAATCTTCCTCCACGACTAAATCTCTCATCCTGAATAACCTCGTCACCGATAAATCCAAAATCCAAGAAAGTAATCCCGATTTCCTGACAACAGTGGTCAATAAAAACCACGATATAGCACTTCCAGCTCCAGCAACACAACCGACAATTACCTGTTTCGGTGTGTGATAGTTAAGATAAGTTCTGCTCCAAGCCACTAATCCGGCGTTGATCAAAACTAGTCCAGATAGTCCAATTCGGGCCATGAGACTTAGTGGTGTATGTGACGATGTTGGCTTCTTTGGAACATGTCGAAAAAGCAAAAACAATGTCAAACTTATGGAAAAGAAAGCCACGAATTGAGAGTGGGAGGATGGCATTCCATAGCCCTTTCCATGCATTTGCTTGGGACGTTCCTCCTTCAATATACGCTTCAGAATAAAGTTCAAGGCTTCACAGGCCATTTGTCCACCAAACATCATGAGAATCTCAATTTCGCGTGTCGACCAAATGAGGGTGGCATATACGACGCAGAGTCCTTGGGGTACGAGAGCGAGCCATGCGCAAAAGTATGAGACCGGATCATTAGGATCCTAAGAAGGTTAGCATAGTTCGTTCATATGGGAATGAGAGACGGGCACATACATAATGCACATGCGTCAAGGAAAGTGAGGCTAATGGGGTGTCTGCCATCTTATTGATCTGCTGCTCGCTGAGAGGTTTAAAACAATTTCCCCTCCCTTTGTGAGGAATCTTCTATATTTAACGCTTAAATTTCGTTACCGAAGGAATTTGATGAGTCGGATTCGGTACGGCATTATCTATGCTGGTACATCAAACATCAATGCTTTGCTCGTGGTATTGAGTAGCAAGAATAGTTGGTGCAAGCTCTGGACCTTGGCCACCAAGGGCCTTATTTAGAGAGCTGCTTTAAACCAAAATGTTATGCCGCTTTAACAATTTTTCCGATACGGTAGGGCTACCTAAAATAGTTTCCTTAAATAATTCCACTCACTCCTTCACTTACATATTCATCCTTATCGAATCATTACACATCACCGCCACCGAGAATATTTTCTGCTTCCAGTCACTAATTTCAAGTGTGTGAAGCTTGAATGTCTTGGTCGTTTCGCTCATATTTATGACCTCTGTGGTCTAATTACCTCCACTCCCCGCAGCAGAAGCTCATCCTTCTATCATTCTTCTTCTATCGGTTATTGTGCTATCGTATATAAAGATGGAGGACCAGCGAACAGAAGAGTTTGAATGCGTCGCCGCCATCTTTCCCGAAATTGAGTTCAATCCTACTGATCGGTTTCACGCATCCATTGAATTACCCGTTAATCCTCAAAACCCCGTCACAATCGCATTTCCCACGGCATCCGATGGTGTGCTGGACATCCCTACCCCGCCACTGTCCACGAGTTCTGGCAACGAGGAAGGAAACTTTATCAAGAACCCTCAAGTTAACAATACCGAATCGCACGAAGTGACCTATCTACCGTCGCTACAACTACATATTACTTTGCCAGAAGGCTATCCAGAAACCCGGCCTCCGAAGTTTGAACTGTCTACAACACCGGCATGGCTTCCTCAAGCCCGCCTTGACGAACTTGAGGCCGATGGCGTTCGCATGTGGGAGGAAATGGGTCATGATTTGGTAGTCTTTGCATACATTGATTCTCTACAACAAGGAGCTGAGAATGCTTTCGGTTATGGGGAAAAGGGGAAAATATTAGAAATGCGTCAAGATGATAAGATCTCTTTGCTCGATTTTGATATCAAATCTATACAATCAGCATTCAATAAGGGAACCTATGATTGTGGTGTCTGCCTGGGTATTGTACTCCTTGGTTCTTATAATGTTCATTCGCTGACTTGTGTTCAGATCCGAAAAAAGGTTCCGCCTGCCATAAAATGATCGATTGCGGACATGTCTTTTGCGTTGAATGTTTGCAAGATTTCTACAATAACGCGATCAAAGAGGGTGACCTAATATCAGTTCGCTGTCTCGCCCCGAACTGCGCAAAGGAGCGAGCCGAAAGATGCACCAAAAAGACTCGAAAGCCGAAAAATCAACTGAGCCCCAGCGAACTCCTTCAAATACCTCTTGAACATGATGTTGTCACACGCTTTGTCAAGCTGAAGCACAAAGCCCAGTTGGAATCCGATAAAGATACTGTGTATTGCCCACGGGATTGGTGTGATGGGGCCGCCAGGTCAAAGAAATATCGCAAGCCAGAAGGTCTCGAGGATGATGATGGTAGTTCTGACGATGAACCCGATACGGAGATAAAAGGGAAGGGCAAAGGGTATGTTTCGGGGGCGGACCTTCTCGCAATCTGCGAGGACTGCTCTTATGCATTCTGCAGTCGATGTAGACAGGGTTGGCATGGGGAGTTTAAATTATGCGCTCCAAAGAGAAAGAGTGAAGAGCTTTCTGAAGAGGAAAAAGCTTCGTTGGAATACATGCAACTTCATACTACGCCTTGCCCTACATGTGCAGCTCCAGTACAGAAAACGCACGGATGCAACCATATGATTTGTTTCAGATGCAACTCTCATTTCTGTTATCTATGCTCGGCTTGGCTAGAACCTCAAAACCCTTACAAGCATTTTAATCAGGAAACTGCTGGTTGTTTCCAACGACTTTGGGAGCTTGAAGCTGGTGATGGAGACGACGTTGGACGCGGTTTTAATGGTGGCGTGCAGGAGGCCAATGTTGTGGTTTTTGAAGAAGAGGGAATCGAGGCACCTGAGTTGGAGGAACCAGAGCCGGATATTCCGCAGCCTGAAGAAGAGATAGAGCAAGGCGAAAGAGAGGAAGTAGAAAGACAAGCCCCTCTAGTTTTACGGTTGAATCAGCCCCGTCCAGTAGCACAGCCTGCACCTGCAGTTCCTGATGCTCCAGAAGCCCAACATGGACAGCCTAATAGAAGACATCGACAGAACCACGGTCGTGGTAACGGCGCTCCTCGTGCTCGTGCTGGTCGTTTGATTGGACAAGAAGGCCAACGACAACCAGCTGGACGAGGCCGAGGCCGAGGTGGCATGGATGTTGTTGAGGATAATCTAGGTCAAAATGCAGCAAATCAGCTTTGGGTCCAGAGATTCGTACGAATGGCGTTACTGGACGAAGAAGATGAATTAGAATGGGAAGAGGATGAAGAGAATCATGCTGTTTGGGAAATACCAGTTCGGTAATATTTATGATGAATGATAATGCGATGAGATCTAGGACGTGGATTATGACGGCGCTGGAGTTAGGAACTGCATACAGACTGCATACAGACTGCATAGTCAGTGGCTAGCGTTACATGGTCTTTCAGGGACTCGGATATCATGGTTTGCATATAAGGAACGGGAGTACATGAAGGGGATACATAGACCTCGTTAAATTGGTTAGGATTAATTAGTATAAGAAAGATTCTTATTCGGTAACCAGCAATATGGCACTATTAATCTCTAATTGAATAAGAAAATGTGAATCGTCCTGGGTGCACCAAAAGTCTTGACTTCATTTATTGAGGGCGTTGAATTTATATGCTTCTCTTACTACTTTATACTAGATTTGAGTTTAAAGTCAAGTGACGAGCTTCAAAGCTTTGGAGAGGATGACAGGGCGTGAAATTGATAGAAATGTTCCAAGTTGGTATTTGAACCAGGCAAAGATACATTTTCCATTCCGAAATCAGAATTCAGAAAGCATTTGGGATTCGTGTAGACGTGCAGACAAGCTTTTCGAACAATATCTCGCTTCGTCACTTTCCGAAAAACATAGCTAGAGTTGAATTCTAGCATGTTGGTTGATAGTCAAAGGATTTTATGTGATACCTGACTTGTCTTCGATGCGCTTAATCGATGACGTCACGAGTTAAGACTAACGTTTTTGAACAATACGTAAAGTCACATAATATTAATCCTTCAGTATTGATATAAGATTAACTATCTCATTCTCCACTGCCTATTCCTCACATCCCAAGCACTGCAACCAAATCCACAAATTAACACCCCAACACAAAATGTCAACAGGCCACTCAACAACCACACCCGCCACACACCACGAACCTTACCCCGACCCCATCGCCCTCACCTCCACACCCTCAAACCCAAACAAAGTAAACTACACACCTAATCCCTCCTCCTCTATCCCTATCTCTCCTTCCCGTAAAAAATCGTTGATAGTATTACATCGCTTTATAGCGGTAGTTGTGTAGAAGGAGGAACAGGAGAACAGGATATGCGTGTTTATGCTGGGAAGGCGATTTATGATGATCCGTGGAGTTATTGTGATGATAGGTTTAAGATTGCGGGTCAGTGGTATGGTGAGTTTGGTCTATTGGGTGTTGTCTGAGAGATAAAGAAGGAGGAGAGTGGATAGATGGGGTGTGGGGTCAGAAAGCTTAAGGGGAACGGATGGAGGAGAGAAGGAAGAAGGGAAAGGGGCTAATTTGTGGAATTGATAGGAATTCCTATGGTAATGGCCTCGACCAACACACTCGCTACAGAGATAGTTAAATCCTCAGATGATGAAATCGTTTTCAAGTTACGACAGGAATATAAGCCGAAACTTTCACCTAAAGCTAAGATTATTGATAATATGTATATCCTTCTCCCTCAAGCTCCCTAGTTCAAGGATGTATAAAAACATAACTTACACGAAATAGGTCTTGTAAGTTTAAAGCCCATCAAGGAAGGAGATAAAGAAAAAGTTATCTATCATAAAGATATGTGGAATGAGAAGGATTATAGTCATGAGGGGCTGGGGAAAGTTTTTAAAACGCTGAATGGAGATTATTTGACGGGGATTAATAGGCCGCCAAAGAGTTTGTGGGAATCTTTCATGAGTCTGTTGGGACTGAATGGAAGGTCTGAGGTTTTGACGTTGGGAGGAAGTTTGTTGTTTCGTTTGTGAATATGATGTAGTAATTCGGCAGAGTTCTGGAGTGAGCTCTTTAAAATAAAAAGGTGGCGCCTAATCGGTCCATTAAAAATGCAGCGAAAGATGATTCCAAGCAGCCATCTCAATGATTAACAAGAGACTGTAAATGAAGATCATCATTGTCATGTCCTTCTGTCGAGAAGGGTCGGGTTGTTGAAGGGGCCATAATATGGTATCAATTATCCCCAATATGACCCGCCTTGCTATTCTGTGCCATTAACATGAATTTGCTTTCTTTCAAGTGCAAGAAATCTTTATTGCAAGTCGGGAAGGATAGAAGAGATACTATTGATACCTCACCGGTGGTTTCCAATTGCAAGCTGCCATTGCATTATACATCGTTTTGCAAGTTGCGGCAACAAACCACCAGTACTTATCAATCTCGTCCTTTCTGGCCAAATTCGCATAATATTCCTCCGCCAGCCCCCTTTTCGCTAGCGCCAATTCGCGAATACAGCCAAGATAGAAGGCACGATCTCGCTGCATAGTTTCCGTATCTCTCGCAGCCCAGTTAATATCTTGACCTTTCAGGGCGGGATCGTGTGTGAGAAATGGTGGATAAACAGCTGCGAGCGCTATTGGTAGCATTTCTGCCTGGCCAAGATCGATGACACTATTACGTTTGATTAGACATATTCTGCTTTAACGATTCATTCTGACTATACCATTGCAATTCAGCATTCTCGTTAACAATTATGTTGTTTCCACAGAGATCATTGTGGACTAGCACATGAGGTACTTCCTCGCCTTGTAGTGGTAGATATCGATCTATCAATCGCTCCTGATCTCCACACTCTTTCAGCATATTCGCATCTTGCAAGGCCCCAGATTCTACTCTATTGATCTTTCGAGTAATTTTCGTTCTCATCCATGTTCTTGCAGAGCAGCCTTGACGAAGTTGGTCAGTAATCTCAAACATACCGCTATGGTAATACCGAGCTTTTGAACCTGGAGAAAATCAACACTTATCCGTGCTATCCCCTCCATGAGAGCCATCCGTCTTAACTGTTGTTTCGGTTGCGAAATAGACCATTTCAAGGTTTCGCCGTCGACCCAAAGGGAAGCAATCCAAGGATGTCCCAAATGATTCTCATATTCATCATTGAATGCGATCATTTTCTGGAGTCCGCGAACATTTCTTTCCTCAAGAGATTTTCGAAAGTAAAATTCTTCCCTGACTTTGTCGGGAGTGAGCCATTCTGCATGTGGTATGCGGATTCCAATCTTCGTTTGACTTTGGTCTTGAAGAACATATATCAAACACTCCCCGCCACGAAACGGGGCAGTATCGGTGCCGAGAATGAAGGAACACCGGGGAAGTGTTAAGAGCTCTGCCTGCTCTCGTACTCTTTTAATATCAATAAAGCTAGACATAGCTTCGTTGAGGGAGAGTGGAAGACTTGGAGATTTGGAGAGGATTGCATGGTATGAAAAGGAGGTAGGTGATAGGTGACACAAGAAAAAGCAAAAGAAAGAAAATTTAAAAATCTTATGTACGACCTTAAGATATGCTCTCCTTATCAATAAAATAGGCTCAGCAAAGACGCTAAAACACCCCAGTCACCAGATCTATCCCAGGTATTTCATTACCCCGCGTTTCTAGATGTTGCTTTCAAAAACAACAAATTTACTCGCACTCCAATCGCTCTTTTATATTAACGGCAACAATTAAGAATTAAAAACGTTATCAACAACTAAAATAAACAAACCGAAGGCATTTCATTTACTAGGTATATAGCCCATCCACGAACTGCATGCCAAAGTGATAAATAACATTCTTATATAGGTTGACATATTTAGACCTAGACTGGGAAAACCGAGCAACAGTACCAGCGCCTTGCCAATAACACACAAGTCCATATTGCTATTGCCATCAGCCAGCTTTTCGCGGAAGACATGAAAGCAGATGTCTCCAGTCTCCATCCTCGAACCCTTCACATCAAACCATCCCCGTCTCACCATCCCCTACCACCCACCAACCCCGCCACCAGCCACATTCCCACCACCCACTATCCCTCCACACTACTCTCCACTCTCCAACCGCCCCTGCATAAACCTCCTTTTAGACATACCAATCCAATCGCAAAACAGAAATAAAGCTGACAAGATATACAAGCGAAAGGCTTAGCCTAAACTTAATATGGATAGGGCGGCGAATTGCTCTAGAATGATCGGCATCTTCGACGTTACGAAAGTTGAGATTGTATAGGGGATGGTCGTGGCGGACAGGGTTCGATGTAAGGTATGTGTGTTTAACGGTCGAGCGGTACGGGGAGGATTTTTTTTCTGGAATAATCGAGAAGGATGGGACAGAGGGGTAAAGGAAGTGATCGGCGGTCATGGTTGAAATTGGAAAGGAAAATAGACAGTTTTTAGAACTTAGAAGTAATATGTTTCTTTCGCTAGGAGTAGATATGGAATCTACCTGTTGAACTTTATTCACAACTAGATGAGTCGTTATCGTTCTACTTCCACAAAATTCTCCGCAAAGATTTCCTGTTTCTATTCTTCTAAAAATAAGGAAATTTGTGGCAAAGTAAATATGAAACATCGTGTTTGCATGGACATCTCGTGCTATTTTCGTTTTAGTTGCGAATAAGTCTACATACTTTGGACTTTCGTTTGGATGTTCCAGAACACCACAAAAGCATTATCCGGGAGGTTAAAAAACTAGGTAGGGGCACCGCAGCACCTATCGCTATTCATCAATGGAGAACCAATTTTGAGATGAGATTGGCGTGAAGTTGCGAATGCGAGATCGTGAGATTATGGGGAATTTGAAAATGGGGTGAGATGAGATAGGCTCGGTAGGCTAACGTAAGACAGTGGATATGAGAAATCGTTGTGAACAGAAATGTGATGATGATAGTCATACCAAGTGTCATCTCATAATGATCAATTTTTTCTCAGTAGGGAGGTACAAAACAATCAGCATTTTGTATATCCATCACGTGAAGTTCATCGATTCGTAACTTTCGTACCTCGTCCCAAAATATCTACACACTCCCTCTCCATACCATACTTCCAAGTAAAATATACAAGCCATGACCTCTTCTTCTACTTATTGTCAACCTGCAACCATAACCCAAACGATACCATAAGAAATTTCTATGCTACTAAAGAATCATAGAACAAACAAAGCGTATATAGGTCCTAGCTCAAAAGAGATAAGCTTCCATCCAACAAAACTTCCGATTGTCTGCGGTAGGCAATAACATATCACGGTATATAACGCCACATAGTAGAATCGAGAACTAATCCGCCCATCCATCAAGCCATCCATCCCATTCCTTTTCCCCAGAGATCCCCATAATAAACACCAATGAAATAGAAAATATCAAAGCCCAAACAAGCAGGTATAATTAGATTCGAAGAATTCCGTCCCTTCAGCTGGGCCGTCTTTCTTTTTTCTCTCCTTGTACAAAACAGACCCCATTCGACCGAGGGAAATCCCTGTAATCTAGGGTAAATCATATCCATTGATCCTTACTCCCCTGCCTAAACTTTGAATCTCGACGGTTGAAGTCCGAGCCGGTGATAACGGTCTTTGCAGAACCGTTTCTTTGGAGAGAACCTTTAGGTGGTGTATACACAGTAGGGCTAAGCTGAATGATTGCTTCGGATTGTTCTAAACGTTCGATGGCTGGTTGTTTTGGAGCAACGGATTTGGGTGTTGCCGGGAGTGTTTTGTTTATAAAGGATGGGGATTGTTGGGGAGAGTTGAAGCGAGAAGGATTTGATCTATTTGGGAATCGTTGAGTGGCGGTGTTTGTATCAACAGGAGAAGGTCGGAAAGGTGAGCGAGGTGGGATTTGAATGGTGTTTTTGGCGAGGTTTCTTGTTTTTATTGGAGGTAAAAGAATTCTAAGCGGAGCAGACGTGGTCTGTATGGAGGGGTTGAACTTCGATGTAGGAGCGTAAGTTGTCGGGGGGAGAGCTGGGGCTTGGAAAGTTGTGGCGGGAAGTCCACTTGCTTTGTAAGTTGATGGTGGGAGGGCAACAGATAGCACTCCCGCAGCGGCAGGAGGGGGTGGTGCATGTGAGAAGCGAATACCGATTTGTACTGTTGCTGATGAAGCTACAGAAGAGCCTCTTCTGTGGCCTTTCTTGCCTTGGAGGGAGGGAGGCGCTTCTAGATCCGAAAGGTCGCTGATATCGTACACTGATTCGAAGGCAGATCTGTTCATGCGAGGAGGCAATAGTGTGTTGGGACTCTGGAGAGCTGGTGCGGGAAAAAGGGAGTATGATTGTTTTCTAGTATGCTCGGATGGAAAATTTTCGGTCGGTGTCCGAGGAGCTAGTGCCGAAGTTATTGGACTAATGGCGTTAGAGCGTTGAAGGTGCGCTTTCGTCGGGGAATATGGAGGTAGCTGTAGGATAGGGAGCTCCGCCATGTTAATAGCGACGCTTTTGTCGGGCGGGAAGATAAAACTTTTTTGACTATCCGCTCGACTTACCATTCCGGACCAGGGAGACACCGGCGGTTGCACAGGATCCATCATTTGATTGTTAAATGCTAACTCGTTTGGTCCCCATATCCTGATCTCATGCTTATTACTAGGATAGGACCTGCCTCTTGGCCCAAATGATGTAGTTGCAGTGTTTGATCGTAAGAATAATTGGAGCAAACCGTTCATCAAACCAGATAAGTTAAGGACCACGGTTGCCATCATGGCCAACTTCAAGTCGCCATGTCCGATGGTTTGGGAAGCAAAATACGGAATCACAAAACTCTTGTAGCCATTAGCCAAAGATATAGTCAACTAGGGGGATGAAATTACCAATGAAACAACACCTATTAGTAAATAATATACCATACGAGACGCTGCAATCCTTTGATTTCGCTCTATCAATGCGGTTCTGGATAATCTGGCAAAGATGACGATCGAAGTGATGATAAGGAGACCGGCGACAGCGGAAAATAGTATGAACCCGAAATTTCCAAATTTTGACACGAACCATAGCAATGAAGCAAAACATCTATCTTTTTCCGGAAATAAGTTTGTTGGAAGCCAGGTGCCAATCAACATTAACAAAATTATCCCCAAGCAAATTGTTACATCGTATTTTCCTCTCGGTTGGAATGGTGTTTTCCTTAAAGATCGTATTGCACATTCGAGGCCGAAGACAAGTTGAATGTATGGGACTATGAAAAGAGCTAAATAGCATTAGTATCAGGGTTTTACGAGCATCAATCTAAACCTACCAATCCACATGAATTGAGCGATGGTACTGCATCCAGATATGAATAATGAATGAAGTCCCTCTCCTTGGACAACAGCAAAGATAAGTCCTTGAATTACAATACCGATAGATAGTACCAAAGGAAAAGTTTCCGCCGGATGAATCATCGAAACGCAGAATTTCCTATCGCACTTTAGTAATCTTCCACCAGAATATAATCAATTCCCACTTACGAAGCTTTGAACTTCGGGTTGCACCGCTTCGAGGCCCAGTAAGAATCATAAAGGATACTGGCTGCTGTTGCAAACGAAGCCAGTACATTAAAGGCTGCTAGAATGATAGTCGATGTCCGGACCGATTTGCTTTCTGCAAACACCAAATTTTCTATAATTCCTTCCGCAAGTGTATTATTCTTAGCATCCTGCGCATCTTTCAAAAATGTCGACGCTGATTCCGTGCCATCCAATAGTCCAGCTCGGATCATCAAATACAAAGCTGAACTGGCACCCATCTTAATGTCGAGGCAGTCGATGTAAATGTAGGCAGCGAGCCGTGGCGTTGCCGTATGTTTCGTTAAGTCATGAGATTTTAACAATGAAGACTATTGATAGTGTTCTGGTAAATAGATGAAACGTTGTATGAATTTGATGAATGAAAAGGCGAAAGAAAGCAATTAATGGAATATAAAAAAGAGTGGATCGTACCAATGATCCAGCCAGCTGGCACAGAATAAGACAATTAAAATAAGAAAAATATCTGAACTAGCAGTGATGAATAGTGCACCGCACGTATCGAAGAGAATAATGACAGACTCGAAGGTAGGGAAAAAAATCAAGAGAACGTCAAAGTCTCAGACAACGATTAACAAATGGTACCGAAATGCATGATGTATAAGAAAGCTTATCCGACAAGGCGAATGGGGTGGCCCAGGCGCGGATTTACTAACTCCGTCCTGGCACGCCTACCCTGCGGAGGAAGTGTTGCGGGGATACTGCTAAACTAATATGGGCCACGCCGCCGCCACGAAATGTGGGTTTCGACTCTATGGGTAGTGTGAAAGTGCTGTGGTGCCCGAGGAAGAAAACTCTACAGGAAAGTGTTTGGACTTCTCGATCAAGCAGAGGATGCAATAAATTTCAAACAACACTATCGGCATTCCGAGAAGTTACTGATTCGAGATTCTCATCACGATAACTTGATAAGTTAATTAAGTGCACTTGGCCAATTAGCATTTGCGAAGCTGTATTTGCTAACTGAGGTATGAGAAGCTTGACTGTGTACCATTGAGGTTTCGACAATGTCGCAAATATTCGCTTAAGACCCTGACTACAAGGTCCAAGCAATGCGGGTCAGGCAGTTCATGCAACAAGATAAAGTGACCAATCAAACACAGGAAAATAAGTTAAAGGAATTGAAGGTGTAGGCAATTATCCTTGATCCTCACCGTAGATGCTTCTGCAGAATATTCCATCCTAAATAAAATGATAAAATTTGCGGTTCTCGAACTCCGATTCATTATAACTCAAATGGGATTTGGATCAGGACACTGACCAATCTGCGGTCTGTCGAGAAAAAGGTAAACATCTCCAGCAAAAAAGGTTCAGGCAGTACGTTTTCGCGATTAGTAAGACTATCTGTGGGTAGCTTTCTTTTGACGACACTGAACGGGCAGTAGTAATAAAATCAACAATGGCAGCAATTGAAAATTTCTCAAATTGTGAACCTTGTCCATATGAATCTCAATCGTTGCCCGAAGTAATCAGGAGGACTGGCGCAATATTGGAATCCATTTGACATCATTGACATGGCTATCTTAACAATAGCACAGCTACAATGGAGTCTTGAAAAATTCTGGAAACAAACAAGTCGGCAATGTTCGAGACATCCAATTTTGGTCTCCATGGAAATTTCGATGGGTTCGTCCAGAAATGGCTCGTTCTTAGGAGTTGGAAGCATATGGGTATTCATGTAGCATGCCCATGAAGCTCATAGAGTATCAAGATGGCTGGGGTGAAACCATCCCCTTATTGATCAACAACGTGCTCTGAAGAATTTTCGTAAAGACGCGACGAACTCTAGAAAATGAATGGTACGATGACAAGGAAAACAATCAATTAGGGTGTCGGTGAATATGTAAAGAGTTTGGAGACTTGCTAATCGAACGATGTATTATTGATGTTGATGTTGTTGTTGAGCGACAATTCACATTTCAAGCGTTTGATTTGTCGCTCGAAGACTAATCTCAGTATAGACTAGCGCCATAATCGATAGTATCACGTGATATTCAATCTTATCATCCACATCAGTGATGATGTTTCTTCTCAATTTTAGATTTTCAATGGTGAGAATGACTCATTTGAGTTCAGATTCCGTTCTAAGTGTTTGTGAAATGCTTCTGTTGTTACGAAATTCGTCCCTTCATTTCCACAAGTTATTGAGGTAAAAGTCAAGTCCAGGCTTGTTGCAACATATCCAAGGACCCTAGCATTCACAAAGGTACCATCGCCTTGGAACTTCGCCATTACTATCACCACCAACCATCTTGCAATACGCATTACACTATGATTCATCCTAGTTCACTATTGAATTTGAGGTCTAAATGATAGCATTTCATATCTCCAGAGCTGACCGTTCCGACTGACACAAACCTGCCGATTGTCTTTGGAGCTTCACGTCTGCTTGATCTTGGCTATCATCACTTGCTCAAGAATACGTTTTTCTAGTAAGTTTGAAATGCCTACGTGTAATATCACGAGCTCCTGCTTAAGCTTTTGCTGCCCTGCCATTTTAATTTATCCGCTTGGGTCCCCAATCTCTTCCCATGTGTGATCTGTCACTCTCAAATATTCCTTCTTTTCAAAGCTCCATGCATGGTCCACTCAATTTTGCGAAACAATCCATTCAATTCTCCAAAATACAGTCAATGTCACCAGAAGCCTGGCTCTAGTGGATGTTACGGCTGGCTCTAAGTCGGATGTGAACCGTGATGAGTTTTCGGCGTCTTTGTGCTTATCCAGTCTATAACTTACTAGAAGACTTAATTTGCATACCAGTGAGATAGTTTATGCATTGCGGCGATAATTGTTGAATGAAGTGAACGGTATTTCTAAAGCCTAAAACTTCCTTTTCCACGTCAAAATTGCTTCTGCCCCTTTTCCTATGTCTCTCGGCCTTGTGTGTAAACGTCAAACCAGTCACTCGGGCCTGGAATCATTCAATTTTCCAGTGTTTCATTGGATTGATCCAAGTGTTTTCCAGTCCCAATACCATATCTTCTCATAATATGGAAGAATGCCTTGAAAGTGAGCATTTTCATTGCATGATCATAATGTTCATTGCCACGGGGCATGTCATAAGTAATTTCAAGGGCGTCGGGTCACACAGCGTCCTCGTCTATCATAAGACTACCAGGGCAGCTTTTCATCCCATCTCGAACACAAGACAGCCCTCTGGTATTATCAAAAATAAAAAGGAAGCATTGTTCTCATGTTGGTATTGTTACTAACGTCCTTTCCCCAAAACGCCCATCATTTATTCGCAATTCTTTCAGTATGAATATGATTTTCGCCCTTATGAAGTTGGAGAACTACACGTATCCTACATCATTCTCAATGTTGTGAGAAACGGGCTACCACAATTGTTATATCAATGATTTTCTGTGTGAATATTTAGCAGACTTCAATTTCAGGATTAGAGATTCGTAACACACCCAGCCACTATTATAAATTTTCCAGCCTCTGCAAGGAAGTGGGGCAGCATCAGTGCAAGTGAATTCAGTCACCAACATCCATCCTAATTTGAACAATGGATAGCACATGGTTGAGGTTAGGTTAACCAGTTCAATTTTCATTTTCTCATTTTGATATAAATAATCCGATAAAATAAAGAGTTACTGTTCATTAATTATTTGAATGCCTCAATAAATGCTATCTCTTCTTCCTTTCTAGATTCAAGACCACTGGCGTGAACGCCTCAAATACTCAACACCCGTCACCTCCTAAACTGGCCCGTTTCTCCTTAAAGCATCCGCCTCCCACTTAATCTTACTTTCCACCTTATTTACACCAAAGTCAAACTCATAAAAGCTCACGTCCCCACCCTCTTTCCCTCCCATTTCTAACCCCGTCGCTAAAACGTCTAGGAAACTAGGCAATATAGCCGTAATATCCCTTTCCATAGTTGCACAATAGACATTTCCCCTTCCAATCCCACAAACATATTTCCTCGCTTTCACCACAAACTCCCGAATAACCTCCTCATCCTCCTCATCGCAACTACCAGCCCCCGAACTTTTGATTGCTCCTGCCAAATATCTTTTTTCTTTACGCGTAAGTTTTACCCATGTTTTGGCAATCCCTATATGCATACATGTATGTACTTCACTTGGCCGCGCTGGACTTTTCGTTACGCCTGGTAAGCCGGTTTCGCTTCTTTCCTCTTCTTTGGAGTCCCCTCCGAGGACTGCAAAGACATCGAGTAAATGATCTCGTCTCTTCTTTCTGACCTGATCTAATAAACGTGGCACCCATTCTACCTCCCCATCTACAATCTGCTTCAATGTAACTTCTTCTGGGAGGAAAGAAACACCGCATTCTGGAGCTCCGCATTTTAATATGGATGCGCCGAAAGGATTGGCGAAGGGAATAACAACGTTTTCATGGCTGGCGTATAGGTCCTTATTTTTGAATTTTGGTGTGGACTCAATGAATATTCCCAGAAGTATCTCCCTAACCGCATTTTCTGGAATCGCAGCTTTTGCATCTAGTAAAACCAGAGCTAGTGGTTCCTTAGACCGCAGCTGGGCGAAATATGTCTTGGCAGATGTATGTGAAAATTGGTAGTACACCATCCAGAAAGCTAAAATTTGTATTCGTGGCATCATGTTCGTGACTTCTTCTTCTGTCCAATTTTCCAAGAAATCATCCCCGGGCATAAATTCCATCAGCTTATTCCAGAATCTTGGTACGGAATTCAGTATCGATGCGTTGCCTACTAGGTCCTTGGGGATTAAATCGTCGTTGAAATCCACGTACAGCATTTCCAATAAAGGCTTAGTCCACTCGCTGGATTACCCATGTTTTTATATAGACGTGAGAGGAAAGTGGATACGAATGAATGGAGCAATTTAGTATTTTTCATGTCAGTGATAATTTCATTAGAGAAAACATTTAGTGTTTTTCCGAAACGGAGAAGTTGCATGAAGCCCGCGACGGGATAGTTGATGCACCAAGATGTTAAGCCTTCTCGTTGGAAATCTTGCGCTACCCAGGTCAAAGCGAGAGGGTATGTAGTCCATTCACCTAACTCGTTGAATTTCTCTCTGACGCGGAGATTAGTGAGGATATTATTCAGTAGCCATGTTATTGCGCCTCTTCTCTGTCGCTTTTCCGTGTCAATAATTTCATCCCCATTTTCAGCATCCGCACCAGCCCACTCCCTCTTTCTTAAGGTCCGGTCCAAAATCGTTGCGAACAATTGTCCCATAGCCGGAACTCCGGTTTTCAGACCTGCATTGAGAGCTTTGTACAATTGCTGATGAATGTACAACTTATTGCTTCCCGTATATTCCAATGTTGGAATAACAGCCGAGATTTCCTCCCCGTAAATCGAATACCCAGGTCTTCCAAATAATGCACATTGGAAACAAATACATTGACTAGACAATATATTCATATTTGCCTCAAATCTTCCTGCTGCAAGGGGGAAATCAAGCGCAAAGTTATCGGTATTAGCCGCCATAGTATCTGCACTCAATACTTTGAGAGCAATAGACAGTACTTCATTCTCGCCACAGCAAATTTGACATTCACCACTGAAACCTGATGCCTCGAGATCTAACACTGAAACGTCAATTGCAGAATCTGCAGAAATATTTTCGGCACGGCGGGCACGGTTTGATCTTCTTGACAGCATTTCTGCTGTGAATCTCGATTTTTCGGCATCAAATAGAGCACGTATTGCTGCGTCTACTGCCCTGTTACGATCTCGGACGTCCTGTAATTGTAAATCGT